GGGCGCCCAAGCACAGCGCCCCCCCCCCCCCCTCTCCCCCCCTTTCTCCTCCAAGGCCTGTGCCTCTGGTGCGCACACACTCGGGTGGGTTGTCTGCACTCTCTCCTACAGCCATGATCGTCAACTCAGATCCTTCCATCCTGGCCACAAATCCACCGGTTCAGAGGGTAGATCCGCTGCTCGCACGCACATCGATCACTCCACACGCTGAATCTCTCTTCTTCTTTATTCCCCGGGTCTTGTCTTTTTGTTCGTCCTCTGTGCCCGTCCACCGTTATTCTCGCTTGCTCACGCGTTTCGTCCCCCTCCGATAACAAGGGAAAAGAGGGCGCCTCCTCCACCCAACCCTTTCACCCCCCCGGCTGCACGCGCAAGCCGACGTTCCGTCCGTAAGATGTCCAGGAAAGAAAAATGATAATGATAATAGGCCCTTTATGAACGGAGCCTGTACAAAAACAGGCCCGTCTCTTCGGCTGGCACCAGCCCTCTGATCTCCGGCCGCCACCCTCTTTAGGCGGCACACCGTGGCTTGCGACTGGGGCCGCGGAATCTCCAAAAAAATTTTGGAAAAAAAAAATAAGGAACGGTGGGGGCTCTGATAGCAACAGCGAGGCGACTTCGCGTACTACTACTGCTGATAGCTGTTTTTTTGCACGCAACACGCGACGTGCCGTTTACGCTCCCCTCGCCCCCCAGGCCCCTTGAGGCTCTAAAATAAAATAACCACAACTACAAATGACACCACTTGGACCCGTCGCACTTGGAACGCGACATTTCCCCCCGGGGACCGCCACAAAGCCGCGGACGGGACGTCTCGACCACCTTCCGGAGCCTGGGTCCCCTCTCCATTATTCCCTCTGTGATCTGGAATCATTGGCTTCACTCTCCCTACTGGCTGGCTTTCCGTCTCTTGCCCGCCTGGCCTGGTCGGGACGCCGGGCACGCTGCATGATCCCTTGATGTTTTTTCCTTTTTTTCTCTCTTCGTTCAGGTACCGCGCGAACGAAGCCTGAGCCGCACTTTTTTTTTTCTCTGTACGTGTACCACAGTAAGAACCAGTGAAGTGAAAAGGCAACGCCATCGAGGGTCATACTCTACCCAACACATCAGAAACGTCCCTCGCTGCTTTCGTAGCCCTTCGTCCCTTGCTGGATTGTCCGCACGGCTCGTACTGCTTTCTTATTCGGCCCGAGGCTGTGAGGACGACCAGGAAAAGAAAATGAAGACGCAAACAGTAGTGCTGATAGGTTGGCCGTGGGACAGCCCGTCTGGCTCTCTAGCCTTTCTTACTAAGTTACGCTCTCCTTGCAGCGTCCCGTGTGCGAGAGGAACATCGTCAGCCTGCCAAAAGACAAGCTGAAGCGGGCAAGTGCGGTGTAACAGCTCCGCACGCTCCATGCAAAACGCCGCAGGCTCGAGACAGGCTGATCCCTGGACGACAAAAAGTGACAGCATCTTCAGGCTCATGCAAGCTGCATGGTTGCAATAAAAAAAAGGAAAAAAAAAGCACTATGGAAAACGGTTTCGATCATTGGGAATCCCGAGGCGTTGGCTAGCGCTCCCTCGAAACCTCTCCGCACGTTTTCCACCTATGCCGGCCCCAGACAGTGATGCTTCAATGCCGTCCGTCTGGCCTCGAGTCTGTCTCACATCTTCTCTTTGTACTTCTGCCTCAGTAATGGCAATCGGCCCGTTCCTCCCTTGTCGTATGTGTGCCCGTACTGACATGAGCAAGGGAGGGCAGGGAAAAGGACAAAGAGGGAGATGCAGAGGGGTAAAGCAGCAACGTACCGACCTTTTCCGGCTTATCAGCGTCGACAGATCTAAGAAAAGAAAATGGGGGAAACCAAGCAAAGGGAGAGCCAATTCGCGCCCGTTGTGCGCCGTGATCGGCCTCCCCGCTGCCTTGCTCCGTCCGTCCTCTTCGTCACGTTGTGTTCTGCTCTGATCCACGTCTTTTCATCTCCGTGGCAATGTAGCATTGTCATTGCAAGCACCGACGTCCCGCGTTGGCTCTTGCGCGCGGACTGCGTTGACGAAATCCCGCAGCCGAACGAGAAAAAAAGGAAGGAAAAAGAAAAGGCTTGCCGAGAAGCTCCGCGTGCTCGTACGTGTGTTCTGTCCCACGATTTTGCACAATGTTGTGTGAGACATACGACCGTCCTCTCGTGACCGAAAGGATCGACTGATCTTTCCACATCCAGTCCTTTGGATTCCGATCCCATCGGCCTCTTCCTTCCTGCTTTCGCCCAATCCTCCCCTCTGTGCCGCGTACCTGATGGTCTGTCCCCTGCACTCTCGCCTCGTTTCAGGACGACGCTTTCTCTCGCTGCACGTCCGGCGTTGTTACAGAGGGGGATCAGTTTTCCAGAAAGAGCATTAGCAGATTCACATCACCGTCGCGGACGAAAATATCCACTGTGTTTCTTTTTTTTTTTTTCCTTCTTCTTTTCTTTTCTTTTTTTGCGGTCCTTATCTGTGATGGGATGTGGTCAGCCAAAAGCGGACATGGGCGCTGGAGGAACAGGCTGAACAAGTGTAAGGATCTCTCAGCCTTACGGATCCGGTTTCTATTTGCCACCCACTGCTCTCTCGCTCAGCACGGTAAATCTTGCCCTCGTCGCGTTGTTCCATGTCGAACCAAAATCGAAGATTCTCTGCCACCCCTTGGTACATACACGGTACGGCACGCGCACATGTGGAGACAGACGCAAAGCAAGCCGAGTGTTTGGTGTCTCATTCTTTGCAGCTATTGCCAATGACCTTTTTATCTGGGCCCTCGACCGTCCCAATTCTTTCGAGCGTGGCTGCTCTGGGACGTCGAACATGTTCCGACCAGGATCGAACCAATGACGCTCCACAACGCTGTTGTCTGGCAAGTACCAGTGCTCTTTCGTTCCAATGCTGTTGCACCCCTCGCTCAGGTAAATCTCCGTGGCTCGACGACGACTTGCACGAGAATGAAAAAGCGCGACGAGACGGCAAGGGATAGACCGGCTGACAACAGCTGAAACGCGAGCCGTACGTCCAGCATCAAACGTCTCACAAGCGGTGCCTTGACGCTCCATTCCGTCGTCTTCTGCCACGGGTGTTGGCGTCGACGACATAGGATCGTGCACATGTGACTCGTTCCTCCGACTTCGATCACCTGTCACGACTTGCCACCCCTGCGCGCACATCAATCAATCATACATGCCTCCTTGACTCGCGGACAGCCAGCAGTGCGACGCAGAGCCAAAAGGCGTCGAGTCCCGTGCCATCGGAGAATTTGGCATACCACGAACAATTACTCGCGCCTCCCGGAACCTCTCGCGGACACAACCTTATCGACGCCGACGCAGGGTCTGACTACTGCATGGGCCTGCTCAGCTACACTTTGCGTCACGATTCATACGCTGCGCATCGACCGCTCGCACGCCTCGTAACCTGTTCTTCTTTCCTTTGCTTTTCGCCACTGCCAACGGAACAACACAAGACGAACGGTCAGTGCCAGATGCCGAGTAACAGTTCTCTGTTCGTCCCCCCTCCACCCCCCTTCCTCCTCCTGAAGGGGGAGGTCGTGTTTGAGGGAGCCACAACAGTGGTTGGGGCCCTTCTCCTGAGAAGAGAGTCGTGTGCAAGACAGGACGTTCGCCTCTGCTCTCGCGCACAAACCCACACACGACGTCATGGTGCTTGTGCGCCATCGTTCGCGTGCATGAGTCGCTGCCATTCCTTAACTACATGTACTACCCACCACCAGAACGACTACTACTGTCACTACGAGGACGACCACTACTGAGTCTACCCGCAACTTTGTAGCCTGCTGATCCGATATAAGACAGCTGTGGACCGGGCAAATCGGCCACCTCGTGCACGGGCTCGCTTGGCGCAGTTCTTGATATCGAGATCCGGAAACCATCGTTCTTCTTCGTCTTCTTCTTGGCCCACCGACAGGCACAGAGGACCGGGAAATGGCCTTGGGGAATAGGCAGACGGAGTGCTCGAGGAGAAATGACCCACCTTGCTATTCTTTTTGTCCCTCCTCCTCTTCACCGTCCTCCCCTCGTAGTTCTAGCCTCGGAGCCGGGCATATCAGCCAATGCGGCCGGCAGTGACGAAATCTTGGAGAGTATTTTTTTTTTTTGGACTTTGGCTCTCCTAAAGCGACGCAAGTGTCAAGAGGCGTACGTCTCTCGCCTCCAACACAGCAGCGTTTTCCGCGTGCATTCGTCGTCATGATCGTCCGTCCATCCGAGATCCTCTCTTTAGCCGCAGCCCCTCTCATGCAACCGTGCAACAGCGCACGAGCGAAATCGTCCCCACACCATCATGCACGTCTTCTTCCATGCTCTGTCTCTCCCTCTCCACGATTCATGTCGCCCAATCCAAAAGGCCACCTAGCCGTGCTCAGACGACATTGCCATCACCGTAGCCCCCGTCGACTCAAGATCGGCATTAGCGAGAACGTCGACGCAACTGCCCAAGTCATTGTTCTGTGCTAAGGAAGCCCAGCTTGCTCGACCGAACTTAAAAAAAGAGTCGCACTGGATCCTGGACGCAACATGCAGCTGTTCAGAGAACCGGCGCCCGACGCGTCGGGTCGATTTTCCACTTCTTCCCCCCCCCCCCTTACTCGTCCCCTTTTTCCGTCGCCATCGGCCAAGCCAAGCGATTTCGTTCTCGAAAGCCCGTGACTCGCTGGCGTGGATCCTTCGATGAGCCGCACGACCCTGCGCAAACTTAGTGGTGATCTCGTTTCTTTTTTTTTTTTCACTTCCTCTCTATCTCTTCGGGTGGGGAATTCGAACATGGTTCGAGAAAACCGGCCGATATCGAGGGAGCTGACGAATGGGGGAGATCAGACGCTCACTTCCCATCATTGGACCGCTGCTGTTGCTGCTGCTGCTGCTGCTGCCGCCGCCGCCGCTCGGAAGTTCCGTGTCAAGTTTGCCTTGCTCCGTTACATTTTCTTGTCAAGCGCAAACGCGGGTTCCTCCGCGGCACAGCAGCGCGAAGTGTCTCTCGCCTTTTTCCCTTTCCCTTTTTGTTTTCTCTGTTCTTCCCTTTTCGTCGTGCCGGATGTCGACAGCCGAACGGTAAGTTCCCCGGGCTGCTTGAACAACAGGACTTGGCGGCAACTTTTGTCTAAGCTCTGGTTGCAGCACACGCGCACGTGGATTCTCTTTGAGTTTTCTTTTTTTTTTTTTTTTTCCCTCTCTTTTTCTCTCCCCCTTCGCTGGCTGCGATGTTCACACCTCAGTCAGTTGAATGCGGTCGCTGTCACGGGAGAAATACCCGCGCGCGAAACGGGGGAAAGAAACTATTGGCGTGGGCTGTGCTTTTAGCTACGGCACAACAGTCGATTCGTTATGCACAGTTGCAAATGGTCCCATGCATGCATGCGCCTGGCAAAAAGCTGGAAAGAAGAAGAAAAAAAAAAGCTAGTGTACGAGGCTTGTAAACGATGCTACCATGCTTTGGGACCCATTTTAGCAACGCTGCGAATTGCCATCCTGCAAGCATTTTCCTTGCAGCCGCAACGTTTGGGTTGTCGTCCGCCGGTTGGTGGTGTGTGTGTTTCTTCTCCTTCTTCTTTTTCTGGAACGCCTCGTTGGAGTTGGCAGGTTTGAGCAAACGGGAATTGCTCGCCGCTTCGGACAAGGTCCTGCTCCTGACATCGTGTAGCGCGTTTGCGAACCATGGTCTTTCGTCTGAAGATAACGTCTTTTGACGCAGACTGTTTGAGTCACCCTCTCCCCTCCCCCCTCCTTTTCCTTATTTTTTGTTTTTTTGCTGCTCGGATCTGCGAGGAACAGCGTTTCCGCGCGGCTTCGTCCAACACTCGTGTGTCATGGAGAATGAAGGGACGGGGGATGGCATCTTTTGCCTCTTGGCTCGTCCGCTGGAGATGGCTCAGCAGTCAGCGACTCGACCAGACGTTTGAACGTCGTTCCCGTGCCTCCAGAATCAACCACACAGGCCAGCTTTACAGAAAGGCGAGAGTCTCGACTTGCCAAACGTGAGCTTCTTTGGTTTTTTTTTTTTTTTTTTTAATTTTACACGTCGTCTCCGGTCTCATAACTGCCAAGGCTTTGAGCGCCTATTCTATCGGGGACGGATCATGACGCCGCCCTGACTCTCCATGGCGGCTGTCTCTTTCTTTGGCCCCCTTTGTCTCCACTCTTCCGTCCGAACCAAAAGCTTCGCAAGTCTGTAGTCATCCCATGGTGCCAACGATGCGCATAGCATGTCACAGGAACGTGCAGGGCGACATTGTCGAGGTTCCCATTGCCTGTAGCGGAAAGCAATCATGAGCACGGCCGCGGCCGTTGTGAAGGCGAGGACTCGGTTCCTTGGGAGCGCCAGCACCAGGCGGTCCAAAGTAAAGAAGATGTGCTGTCCCACGCACAGGCAGGCGGCGAGGACGGAGAGGGCGAGGAGGAGCCCAAGGGTGAAGGCGGGGTGCTAGGCTGAATCACGTGATGAGAGGGTACTGAGTGGGATGGAGACCCTGGGGTTTTCTGGGCGGAGAGGAAAAGTGTCCAGAGCAATCGGACGGGCAAAGCGAAGCAGCGGTCGAATACACAACGCCGAAAAAAAAAAATATTCAAACCGACGTGTCCGCTCGTCTGCTCTACGCTCACCCCGCGCATTGCGTATCGACGTCGGATTGATTTTGCTTGTTTTTCTCTCGTTCCATACGTTCTCCGTTTGAGCCTGCGAAGGACGGGAGCGAGAACAGGACTCGGCGATATCCTCTCCGCTGCGTGTCTCTCCCTGTGTGCAGCACATACCGCACACACCGCCCTACACGGTGACCGCAACCACGCGAGCTCGAAGCCGCACACACAGACACACGCACACGCATACGCAGCCATTTGACGCAGCCATGGATCCATACTCAGCAGAAGGAGGTGCGGCAAGACTCACGTTTGCAATCCCGAAAAGACTTGGCCGAGTCGTAGGTTGACCAAAAACCCCCGTGCAAACAGAGCTCGTCAACATCCACAACGCCTACCACCAAGGCCAGTACCAGCACGTCGTCGACTTCGACACCTCCTCCTTCTCGCCCGAAAACGAAGCGCCCGCCCAGCTGCTCAAGCTGCGCGCCCTCGTCGCGCTCGGCCGCTACGACGACGTGCTCGCCACCGCCGCCGCCGCCAAGGGCGCCGCCAACAAGTCGCCCGACCTCGCCGCTGCTGCCCTGCTGGCGGGATACCTGAAGGGAGACGAGAGCGCGGTCGAGAAGGCCAAGGCGCTGGCGGAGAAGGAGGCCGACGCGCTCGGCGTCCAGATCCTGATCGGCACCCTGCTGGCGAGGGCCGGTCTCGTCGAGGAGGCGCTGGCTTTGCTGGCGAAGCATCAGGGTAGCCTGGACGCGTACGTTTCTTTCGTTCTATCCAAAACTTTCTCTCTCTCTCTCTCTCTCTCTCTATATATATATATATATATATATATATATATATATCACACACATACGCAAATACATGTATATATGTACATGTTCATGCTCTTCCTCCTTGGTCTCTTTCTAACTCCCCCCGCGGCATGTGGCTAACGTGCGCGCGCACAGCGTCGCCTTGATCGTGCAGATACATCTCCAGCAGAACAGGCTCGACCTGGCCAAGAAGGAGGCTGCGAACGCAAGGAAATGGGCCCAGGACAGCCTGCTGGTCAACATTGCCGAGTCGTGGGTCGGCATGAGAGAGGTACGCGCTCACAAGTGCGATCAGCTTGCCACTTTACCCCCCCCTCCACCCCACTCTTCTCCTCGCGTGCGCGAGAATGGCGACTGACCCGTGTCTGCAGGGCGGCGAAAAGTACCAGGCTGCATACTACGTCTTCGAGGAGCTTGCCCAGTCGAGCGCAACCCAGTCGGTGCAGTCTCTCGTCTCCCAGGCCGTCGCCGAGCTGCATCTCGGACGCCTGGAAGAGGCTGAGGCCGCGCTCAAGCAGGCGCAGCAGCTGGACCCGCACGACTCGGAAGTGCTTGCCAACCTCCTGGTGCTGAACACGATCCAGGGCAAGCCGTACGACGAGGCGAAGAAGAGCCTGGAAGAGGCGAAGAAGGACCACCAGCTGCTTGTGGACTTTAAGGCGCGAGAGGAGGAGTTTGCAAAGGCGATGGAAAAGTACAGTCCCAAGTTTGAGCCCTGATGGAACTCACCGTCTCCCAACCCATTTTCACCCCTTGGAGATTTTTTTTTTCCCCTTACCTTACATGAAGATGAATTAAACACAACCTAGTAAGCGCGCCGCAGCCCGTTGTGACGGGAGTGGGATGGGAAGGGAAGAACTTGGCTTTCTTTTTATTTGTTTTATTTTGGTCTGGGTGTACATTTGACGCCCGGGACGAGGCACGACTTGCTGCCTTGCAAAAAAGCATAAGGTATTTAGACACGAGGCTGGAATTGATAACTACGAACTTTGACACGGACACCCAACATATACACACACATATACACGCACATTTGCGTCGCGATGCGTGCCTACCTCGCCACTATCGCGTGATTGTGTCCTGGAGCGGGCCGTCGGTCACTACGTCAACCTTGTTCTTGTCTGCGTGCGTCGTCGCCTCGGTCAGCAAATGTCTCGTTCCAAGACCCAACGTGCAAAAGCGGTAGGCCCGCCAAATAAAAAAAAAGAACAGAAAATTGGGTCGGGGAGTAGGGTCGAAGAGCGGCAATGGAAACTTACAAAAGGCAACGTAGTCCTTGATCCGCGCGGCCTTCTCCATCGGCTCCGGGTAGAACCACGCCGCGTCCTTGACCTCCCTGTCGCCCACCTTCACAGTGTAGTAGCTCGCCCGGCCCTTCCACGCACACACCGTCGACGTCCCCGTCGGCCCGGCCAGGAACGTCTTGTTCACCGCCTCCGGCGCAAAGTACACGTTGCCCTCCACGACCTCGTACGCGCCCGCGTCCGCACTCGCGAGCACCTGCCCGTCCACAGACGCCGTCGCCACAGGCATTCTCGCGCCCTCGCTTTACCTCGTCCTCTTCCTCGTCGTCGTAGAGCGCGGGATCCACCCCGGGAAGGGACGGATGGAGATGGAAACGCGGACGCTCTGCACGTCTGTCCAGCGGGGGCGTGGGGGGGAAAAGAGTAAGAAGAAGAGACTTTCCTCTTCTTTATTTTTTTTTTCCTTTTCTTTCTTTCTTTCTTTTAAATTCGGTTAAGAGTTTGGTTTGTCGGGGGTGGGTTGGGGGAGATTGGGAGGTCTTTTTTTTTTTTTGTAGCTCCCCTTGTCCCTTTTCACTTTCTTTTGGGGGACAAAAAAGAAAGGAAGAGAGAGAGAGAGGGATGGATTGGATTGTGCACGACGAGAAAAGGCCGTGGTGTTGGTGTGGGGTTGTGCTTACTCCCATGGGGTCCCGTTGCGGGGAAGCTCAAGAGCAAAAAATCAAATCACCAGCCACAGTGGACGAGGGGATTTCTTCATCTTCTCTGTCTGTCTCTCTTTCCCTCTCTCCCTTCCACCCCCCCCCCCCCCCCCCCCCCCTCTCTCTCTCTCTCTCTTTAATCACGGATCTGGACTGGGGGGCTCAACGAAAGAACGGCAGGCAGTTCGTCGTTCAGCTGAGGCCGAGGCCGAGTCTTGAAAGGAAGCCCGATTGACTCGGGCCCATCTCACGGACGCAACTTTGGCTTACGACACACAGAGACCGCTTGCAAAGCGGTAGACTGAGCGTAAGCTGACTCTCGCGTGCCACGACGGAGTTGGAAGTCATCATGGAAAATCTACGTCTTTCGGACGGGGGGAGTCTTAACCTGAGCTTGCCGAGCGGGAGACGCTCCTGATATCGTGCTTGCGAGGTTCACTTTCCTCCGAAAGCTTGAGACGGCTGCAGCTGGTGTACACGCAACGCTCTCATGTTTGGAGAAGAAAAAACATTTTATTTATTCCAGATGATCAATTTTGGTCTATAACAATATAATGCTACCGCACGGAATGCCTCCACGTCGGATCGTCTCGCATATCTTCCGCTTACTTTCAGGTCGCATTCGCAGCGATGATCGCCAAAGCATTCTATGATTTGAACTCACTACGTCGCCTTCGTGCATAGGTCAAGATAGCACGTCCAGGAAATAAAGAATCGAACATGCATTGTTCTGGACGAGTGGTAGTTCACACCAGCGGTTTGAATCCTCCCGAATCAGGTTTAGCGCCTCTTTTTTTTTTGGGAACGTTCATCACCAGCCTGAACGAGCTGACTTCGCGCCATGGCTGTGAATCCACTAAGTTATGCGGAAGACTCCGATAGCACGTTCGTTCAAACCGGTTCAATTGTTCACATGATTAGAAAGCTATACCACAATGCATACAACGTCTCCGTTTTTGGTGCGCTGTCAAGACAGGGAAACCCCATCTCTCGTAGAGCAACTTGTTGACCACTCGATTGTTACCGACGTTGATAACATTCGTCCACAGCTTAAATCGTGGACAGAATACCCCGTAGGACGTGATTATGTCACGCAATTGGCTGGAGTATAACGATTAGGAAACCTCATTTCAAGAAATGACGAACCTGCCTGCTCAGTCCGAGCTCCGTTTTTCCTTCGAGATTCACTATTGCCGTCGGCACACCAGGAGCGACGGCCTTTGCCTTGTGCTGGATTAACACGCGATTCATCGACAAGGCGAGCAGCGTGCAGGGTTCACAGAGGTCATCAATAGCATGCAAATATGGCATGAAGCAGCTACGATCTGCGGTGCTCATCCAGGCGACTCCTAGCATCTAACTCAGCTGTTTCAGCGCAACCAATGGTTCACACGAGTTTGGACCTTGCGGGGGTCTTTGGCTCGATCGAAGGCGATCTTATACGAGAGAGAGAGAGAGAGAATGGGCCTACGCAGGCATCAAGAAGACGCGGTCCGGATCAAATCACAAGCATTACCGGTGTACGTGAGTGGCCTCTGTGCCTGAACGCGCCCACTGTTCGGAAAACGGCCTGATCGAGCCGCCGGCCCGTTTGCAACCAGTTCGATGCCAACCACGGAATTCTCTGCTCGCAAACCCCGCCACGCAAGCAAACCACCCGGTGTGACCCAGGTCCAGACTCCTGTGGACGGCCATCGTCGCATACGGATTCTTGACCCCCCCCCCCCCCCCCCCCCCCCCTCCCTGCTGGCGACAACAGGGCCGGCTTGCCGCGACGTCTTGGCCGAATCCAACACTCGCGGAGCCAGAACTTCTCGACAGCCTCGGGAGCGGAGCTCACGAGCGCACATCCCCCATCACAGGGGAGGACAAAGTCGGCTGCCTTCCCAGACGAACAAGGACTCGGTTCCTCCGCTGGCCTTTGTCATCTCCTCCTGCGGGCGAATGAAGACGCGCGCCCGCACAGCACCTGCTCGAAGGGCGAGAATCGACCCTGCTGTATCCCGCTTGCAAAAAAAACCCTAGAAAAGTGATTCCCTCCCTCCCCGTTTGTGCTGCTTCGGCCTCCGTGACACGCAGGCGTCGGCCCCGAGCGGCACGCATTTCCAGACAATGCATGCTTTGGGCACTTCCCTGATCGGCTCGGGCGGATCGTTTCACCTCGGCCGCGGAGGCATGTGCTGCACGTCAAGGCGGCACGGGAGGGCCCCGACAGAGAAGGTGGAGGAGAGCGGCCCGAATGTTTTGATGGCCGGGCACCTGGACGAGGATGCCGTCCGAGGCCCCCTCCCTCCTTTTGGCGGCGAAAAAGGTTTGCTTCGTCAGGTCTCCCTCGCGACCGCAGCGATTGAGAAACGGTTGAGAGACTTGTACACCATCGCAGTCCAGGTGTCAAAAGGAGACGAAAGACCATGGAGATAAGATTTCATCACGTCATCTATCAAGGCAACATAGAGAAAATCTCAAATACGTTTTCTTTCTACCTAAGCTCTAGCTCAGCATATTGTAAAATTTGACAACGCTTGCGATTTGGTATTGTGCTCCGCAGAGCAAGAAAGTCGATGCAGAACGTTAGGAGAGTGCGGAGGCAACAACAACGTGTTTGGCTGCTATGCTTTGTTTCCCAGTTCTGCCCCAGCGCCAGTGCCCCTGTGCCTCGTGATATACTGAACCGCTCAGTCCTACTTTCCAGCGATTTCCTGGCCTAGCAATCTCAAAACTCAATCCTGACCCTGAATTAACTCAATCACGCCGCGTCAGCTTTTAAGCACTCGCTGGCCGCTCTAAACTCGGCCATGATCTTTTCTTCGAGCCTGCTGTTTGCTTTGCTCGTGGTGTCAAGAGGCCGCAGTCTGATCAACTCCGCCTCCCTCTCGTTGGCGGGAACTACGAGTGGGCCTAGATTACTTCTTCCCATCACGAAATCATCCACATCGTCCTTGACGCTCCTCTCGTCCCACTCCAGCCTTGGGAGTTCCGCCACCAAGGTACCTGACGCGACCCCGGCAGCACGATATCGTTCGACTACTAGCCAAAGCAGGGAAAGCGAGTGAGTTTCCGAAGCCAGGCTGAGGGAGATATGGGAATCGTTCGGTCGAGTGCCGACGGGCGAGTTGCGATTCGCCAGTTCCGTACCAAGTCGATTGAGCTGAGCAGGAAATGTGTTGAGAAAGGAAACTACCTCCGCGGCGACAGGAGCGCCGACGGCGTCGAGAAGGTTGAGGCACAAGGGAAGGATGCCACGAGACCAAATCGAGTGCAGGCGAGTGGGATTGTCAAAAGGTCCCATGCCCTTGGCTCGCGTGTACAGTCGCATTATCTTTGCAGAGGCGAGTTGTGATAACACTCCGTCAACTGCGAGCGTCTCAGCTACAGGAGGTATGCTGGACATCTCAAGAAGGAAGAGGATGGCGAGCTCGCCATAAATCGGATCTCCATCAAGCAGGAACTGGTCCGACCAGGAAAAGAGGCTTGTAGCGTTGAGGCTCGTGTTGTTATTCGCAAAGTGTAATGAAAATTGCGAGAACAATAAGTCGATGCCAGGAATCTTAAGAATTATCTGCAGCATTGCTGTGAGCAAAACGAAGTCACCAGGCAATGCTCGTGTCATATCTTCGTGAAGAACTGCTGTCAACGATTTGAAGCCTTTGATCACAATGTAAACCAAAACTTCGATCAGTTCGTTTGCTTGAAGCGGCTGATGGGATGTCGCGTCACGTTTGGAATTTGGGGTCGCTTTCGTTAGTGGCTTCAGAGTAAGGAAGAGGATCTGTAACAAGGCACGGTAGTAGGACACGTCGCCGCCAGCATATGCAGTGTCAAAGTCGAAGCCACTTGTCCGAATCGTATCCCACGTGGTGCTAAACAGCTTCCTCAGCTTGTTTACCTGCTCTACATCCTTCAAGTCCAGAGTAACCAGTTTCTGGAGCAGGTTCAGTGCAAGCTCCAGACGTTGGAACCTCAGCTTCTCGAAGATAGCTTGAGGTACAGTTGACTGCGCGTTCTCCTCTAAGCAGTGCCCCACAACGTCGATTAGCATGGCGGAGAGCGTTGTATCGGGCTTGACCGTCTTTGCCAACTCAGCAGCGAGTAATTTCCATCCTCTGAGCAGTGAGATCTGCGCATCCACATAGGACAGATCCTCGTTCGCTTCTTTCAGATGCTGCTCTAGGCCCTTGAGTAGTTTGCTTTTAGCTGAGCGCCGCACGTTGAGAACGCGGCTGGCAAATGGAACGTCGTAGAAGTAATTTCCACCGAAATGTGTTGGAAATGTAAGCGTATGCTTGAAATTCTCCAGCCGCAGGCCCTTGTGCTGCTTCTCTAGATTTGCCTTCAAGTTCTTGTGCAATGAGTCGTTGTACTTAGGAGCAGCTACACCGAACCTCTCGAAATATTGGAGGTGATCTATGATTTTCTTTGCCGCAGCATCCAAGTCACCAAGCTGCGCACTCGAATACAAGTACATAGCGAGAATCTCGCTGATTGTGGCAGCAATCGCAGCTTCGTTGGTGAGGCTCATCGTTGTATCGGTTGGTTCGCGGTGCAAGTGGCGGATATAATTCTTTGCGATTGCATCAATGAATTTGGGATGGCTCCTTAGTTCTGATACAGCCCAAGCCCAGTGGTTCTGGCAGCTCGCCACGAAACGCAGCATCTCGAGTGCAAGCTCCGGTGGAAGTCTGCGCCAGACTGGTCGACCTTCCACGAGTGAGACCTCGCTGAGCTGGTTGAGTGCACTAGAGAATAGTGAGACGGTCCTGTTTGACGGTTGATCTTTAGATTGTAAGCGCTTGCTATCCTTGGGGATCTTGCCAGTAAGTAAGCATATCGCGAGCCATTGCTGATTCGACGAGACGATCGCGGAGAGCATCCCCCACAACTTGCGCTCTGTATGGACATCTTCATATGGCAGATCCAGATGACCCAACACGGCCAAAAAGTCCTTTGCTGAGCTTGGGCTCAAGCTACCCAAAAGCGATGGTGCCATTGATCCCGTATCTGCAATGGCTGCGGCATTCGTAAGCCTCTGGATTAGATCCGACACGGGAGCTTTGAAGCCTTCGTACCCAGCGAAAAGCCGTACAAGGATCGGTGTGCTCCTGTATATATGCTGCTCTAATCCAGATAACGAGGTGTCAACCTTGGCAGCCCTGATGCAAACGGCGGCATTTATCAAACTTATCGCTGAATTGGCCTCCTTCTTGCTCATCCTGCCGAATATTGCAAATACCGACCTCTTAAGGCTGGATACTGCATCACTCAGCATGTCAATCAGCGCGTCCGAGAGACCTTGTGCGACGGACTGTTTCAACAGCACCTCTTTGATGGTCTCTCCTGCTTCTGCGAGCACTGAGACGACAGCCTTCTGATGAACATCGACAGCATCATCAAAGCCATACACATATTTCAGGACTTTCTCAAACGACGCCGCAAGGTTCGCACTGATCTCCGCTCGATCCCTTAGGTCAATATACCTCCAGCTTCGGGAACTGGTGAAAACTTCTAATAGTGTCTTTGTGAAACAGGTTATCACCACTGCTGCCATCCTCTGCGGGAGTGGTTCGGCTCCCGCACGGATCCCTCTTCTATCACTAAACCGTGTAAGCGCTCTCCCTTCACTAGGAGATGTCGCGGCTCCTGGCCACAAAGACGCATCTGCCAAAGCCTCAAAGAGACGGATACAAGCAGCAAGGAGGTCGTATCGCCCTTCAACCATTTCTACGGCCGCCACAATCGCTGCAAGATAACCGCCCCGACCATCGATCTCCAGTAACTTGCTACGAGCGAGGATGGGCCATAGGCGTGCAGGATGTGTCAGGGCAACTGCATGAAAAAATTGTATGCACTGGACGAGGACATCTAGACTGCCCTCTTGCGTGCCAGCAACAGATACAGCAGCGAGTTGCGCCTCGAACAACTCTGCTACAATCTCGAGAAGATTCCTTTGTGGTTCCGCTTCAATGTATGTTTCGTCTAGAATCGATACTCCGCCATCGCCATAAGGAATACCGGCCTTATGGGTTGCAAGTAACACTGTAGAAAGTAGCCCCAGAATGTCCACAATGTCATCAAGTGGTACCGGAGCACCTGTCGAGACGTCCACAAAGTCATTACCAGGAATGACGGTGCACAAACATCCGATCATATACCGTAGTGGAGAGAAATGCTTGTTGAAGCATATTACTGGCGGCCGCCCAGAAGCTACAAGCGATCCTACACTCCCAACTGGAAGACAAGTCTCAGATCTCTCGTCTTCATCGTCGCCCATGCCCCCATCAGTGATCGCGAGTTGAGAGGAGAAACTCAAACCTGCCCTTTGCGAATGAAAAAAGGGTACACGCTCGACCAATTTATACGGAATTTCATCGCCCTCGAACTCCACGCTTGCGGGATCTTCCCTATAACCAGAAAATCCAGGGGGAAGCTTCAGCATGAAGCTCTCTGCGTGCGTGATATATTCCATTAGATCTTGGACTCTCCCCTCATTTGTTTTGCAATTCAGAAACAGAGCCCGGAGAAGCTGATGGAAAGGACCCATTTCGCGCGGGTATCTGTACCGCATCTCGCCGAAGTAGTCCTTGAATCCGTCTTCCAATCCATCAGCTACAAATTCGATAACTGTATCCAATTGTGTTGTCTCTCGATCAACTAGATGCCAGTACGACCGGTCGCCGCCGATAATGGACAGGAAAGCACCAAGGGTTTCTGAAGTATATTGTATGAGTGGTCCTGACTGCTGGAACAGGTCAAAGAGTATATTCCGAGTTGTCTCCGCAAAAGTGCGAAGCATTCTCTCGCCGTAGAATTTGTCAAGAGCGGAGACAACAGTAGACATTTGTTGAAACACGGCGAGATGGCTCGTTGCGCATTGAGCGAGAGGAGTCATTATCTCCCCGAGTGATTCTGCGGGGCTGATGATTTCCAGGAAACCTTCGTTAAGGGTATCGGTACGCCAATGATTGCGCCGTATCAACGAATCAGTCAGCCCATCAGTATCTTCATCGGTCTCGATGGCGCCAGACTGTTGAGCGAATATTTGCAGATTCGAAACAAGAATGACCCAAGCAAAGATTGCAAATGCAGATGCATTGCACCCATGCTCTGCAAATACCACGAAGGCATCCTGCAAAGTCTTGAGACATGAACGATTGCATACATAAAAACCTCTTGTTTCCGGTGCATTCATGACATCCTCGTCCTTGTAGTCGGGCCGAATGAACTCCAGCGCAGCAGGAAGCTTTAATATAGCTAAACTTGCCGTTGAAAGGTTGAGCTGAAGTAGCGTAGCAAGTGTTGGCGAACCTTCTAAAGCGGACGTGATGATAGGCGTGAAGAAACCCGTGTCAAGCATCAGCTGGAAGAACGGCTGAACAGCATCCACAGACAACACTTTTTCGCTGCTGTCTGATACTAAGGTAATCGTTTCAAGAGTAGTGACGATTTCCAATAGCAAAAGATCATTGAGCTGCGTCCGCAAAGCTTGTTCGTCTCCGAGTAATTCTAAGAGCTCGCCGAAACCATCTGCGGTCTCGAGCGCGGCCTTGATTGAGTCGACAGCTTGCTGCACGAATACTGAGCCATCGCGGCGTGGCAGGAACGAAGTTTCAATTTCGACACCCAATTTGTTCAAAATCGCTTGACTGGTCTGCCCTGTTATCCACAATGTGCGTCGTGCGCTGAAAATGAGCCTGCTAGTTGCGAGAACGTATGTCTTCTCGGTGTGATAAAGGGCCACGAGCCGTGCCCGTCGCTGCAATTGCTGCTGTTCGGATACAGCCTTTTGGGTATCGGTATTAGAATCACCATTCGCTGTTGATTTTACGAACATAGACTGATTCAATGCGCTGTCCGCAACTTCGGCATCGTCAATTTTGGTTTCTGCATCCAGAGGTCTCGCCAACAAGCTCAAAGATGGCCTCTTCTGCCATTCCAGAACCGCAATTCTCAACGCGATCACTTCATCGACCTTGATTTGCTTAGACAGCCACAAAGCATCTTCCTTGATCTCAGTGAGATTATAAGAAGCGCTATCATCGGGCGTGATGTTGATAGCTGCAGTGAGATGCTCAAATCGCGATTTTGTTCCCGCAGAAGGTATATCGAAAGGCTTTAGCGGTCGCTTGAGAAGCTTGAGACTTTCGGGGTCGTCAAGAAAACGGTGTACTCCTGGAGGGAGCTCTGCAACGCTATCTTGCAGCGAAGTGTAGACATCTTTCCATGATCTTTTAATTTCATTAGACAAGTTTTTGCGAGATTCTCGTGTTTCGAGACTGACAGTAAAAGAGTTTGGTCCTTTAGACATTTATCCAGCGGCGGGAAGTAAACATCATCTGCCATAGGCGCCATCGTTTATAGAGCAGCTTGCGCTGTAAGGAATTGCGCAACGCCTGCGCATACGATTATTGACCGTTATATCATTTCAGTCATAAAAAACTCATAGGCGCTAGAATTGCAAGTCAAAATAGGTTGTGAGAAGAGTGACGCGTCAAAGGAGTTGATTAACTCTCTCTCAAGCGTTATGACTTTCAAGAAAGTTCATGGAGCTAAAGAAATCGACCGGGCGCTCAGGCCTGGACCTAAGTCTAGCCTTGCGGCCTTGCTGCCTTTCCACCCAGTCACCGCATCTCCATGAAATCTGACTCCCGTGTCTTATTCTTGCCATTGAGAACGGTATAATAATCCAATCCTCTTAGAACTATAAAAACATGCCTGGCCTAGACCTCATAGACCATTCTCCTCACCAGCCATCTCCGCAGCCCCCTCTTCCGACTGCATCAAATCTAATCCTTATCGACAACTATGACTCTTTCACGTGGAATGTATATCAGTACCTCGTTCTAGAGGGCGCTACTGTGACCGTGTACAGGAATGATGAGATCACGCTTGATGAGCTAATCGAGAAGCAGCCGACTCAAATTGTTGTGTCTCCAGGCCCAGGCCATCCGGACACAGATGCTGGGATCAGTAAGGATGTAATTCGTTATTTTGCTGGGAAGATACCTGTGCTGGGAGTGTGCATGGGAGAGTCAGTAATTTCAAACACCGTTATTCAGAAACTTTTGACTGACAGTCTCGAAGACAATGCATGTACTCCGTATTTGGTGGGAGCGTCGAGGTTACTGGTGAGATTCTTCATGGCAAGACCTCCCCGCTCCGCCACGACAACAAAGGTTGCTATGCCGGCCTGCCCCAGGATCTTCCTGTGACACGCTATCACTCTCTGGCAGGCACACATTCAACGCTCCCGGATTGCCTGGAAATCACGTCTTGGAGTGCTATGTGCGCAGATCCTTCCAAGACGATCATCATGGGCATTCGACACAAGGAGTACGTCGTAGAGGGCGTGCAATTCCACCCGGAAAGCATCCTGACTGCAGAGGGGCGACCCATGATCCGAAACTTCCTGATGATGCAGGGGGGGACTTGGAAGGAGAATGAGCGCCTGCAAAAGGAGAGAGCCAGCAAATCGGCAAATGGATTAAATGGCCCGGCAAAAGACAAACAAACTTCTATCCTGGAGAAAATCTACGCCCACCGCAAGACAGCAGTTGAAGCCCAGAAACAAATTCCGTCGTTGCGGCCGGCAGACTTGCAAGCATCATATGATCTGAATCTCTCTCCGCCACAGATCTCTTTCCCTGACAGGCTAAAGCAATCACCGTATCCGCTTTCACTTATGGCTGAAATCAAGCGTGCCTCCCCTTCGAAAGGCATCATATCTATCTCTACATGCGCGCCCTCCCAAGCACGTAAATATGCCCTTGCCGGTGCCAGCGTCATTTCCGTGCTCACGGAGCCTGAATGGTTTAAAGGCAGCATCGATGATTTACGCGCTGTGCGACAAGCTCTTGAAGGAATGCCAAACCGGCCTGCAGTCTTGCGGAAGGAATTTGTCTTTGATGAATATCAGATCTTGGAAGCGCGCTTAGCGGGGGCGGACACGGTCCTTCTCATTGTCAAGATGCTTGATCAGCCGTTGTTAGAACGACTGTACAAGTACTCTCAATCTCTGGGCATGGAGCCTCTCGTTGAAGTTAACAACGAAGAGGAGATGCGTATTGCCGTGAATCTAGGCTCGAAAGTCATCGGTGTGAACAATCGTAACCTTGCGAATTTTAATGTTGATCTAGACACGACAAGTCGATTGACGGGTATGGTCCCCAAGGATACAGTAGTCTGTGCTCTAAGCGGTATCTCCGGACCCAAGGATGTGGAGCCTTATCTTAAGAATGGTGTTGGTGCCGTGCTGGTTGGCGAGGCACTAATGCGGGCAGAGGACACAACGAGATTCATTGCAGAGCTACTCGCTGGTGACAATCTTCCCGTAACCACAAAAGAGATTCCTGTACGCAAAGTCAAAATCTGTGGGACTAGGTCTCCTGACGCAGCCAAAGTTGCTATTAATGCTGGAGCTGATGCAATCGGCATTATTCTTGCCACAGGCAGAAAACGGTGTTGTTCCACTGAAACCGCACTGTCAATATCGAAGGTCGTGCACTCAATGCCCAAACCTAATCTGACCGTAGATGCAGGTGGTGAGGAAACTTTACTATCAGCGAGGAATTACTTTGCCCATTCAGCCAAACTTCTAAGTCATCCGAAACGAGCACTTCTTGTAGGCGTTTTTCAAAATCAACCTCTGGAGTACATACTTGAACAACAACGTCTCTTAGACCTCGACATAGTTCAACTCCATGGTTCGGAACCAATTGAATGGGCTCGTCTCATACCCGTTCCCGTCATCAAGGCGTTCAAGCCCCACGAACAAGGATGGGGAACAAGGGGATATCATGCGATTGCATTGCTAGACTCCGGCGCTGGCGGTAGTGGTACAAGGCTAGATCTAAGCGAGGTCAAGAGGGCGCTAGCAAAAGATGCTGGAGTTGACGTCGTGCTTGCAGGAGGCTTACATCCCGGCAATGTAAAGGAGATTTTGAAGGAGCTGGACTCTGTGGGAGCGCAGGTTGTTGGTGTAGATGTCAGCAGTGGGGTGGAGACGGATGGTGAACAGGATTTAAATAAGATACGGGACTTTATTTCCGCCGTTAAAAGCGTTTGACTGGACTGTCCAAAACCAGTCTATAAGAAAATGACACCGGAGTCCTCTTTTATTTCATTAGACTAGTTGATACTCAAAGTCACATCAGCCTTCTGAACCCTCAGTTTGCCGCTAAAGTTCAAATTCGTCGCAGCTTCGATTTAAGCATCAAATTTACTTGGAATTCTAGTTGGGAGATAACATTTCTGGTGCTCGAATATCAACCCGCGGACAAACACTATCACTCACCCGAGAAGTTGATGGTATTCTGCATCTGCTTTAAAACTCAAACTCAGCTTCCTCCTAGTACGGTAAAAGCTGGATCTTCTCTTTCTTGTAACAAAATTTAACCGCATTTTTATCCCCCTTCGAGATCAACAAACATATCCTTGTTGCGAGGCCACATATCGTGTCCGCTTACCTCTCACTCTTGGTACGACCTTTCACGCCTACATTTCGAACAAAGAACGCAGCCGCGCTTCTCAACACCCCATCTTCGCTGAAGTCAAGAAATATCCACGATGACCAGGCGGATCTTTCACGATATGGTGATTGCGTTCGTTGGCGATTTCGGCGATGAGCGCAAGCCCAGGCTTCTAAAGCAATGGCTCGAAGCCAGCGGTGGTACATACAGCAACAAAGTTGAAGAAGGTGTCACTCATGTGGTTTGTACCACGAGGGCCTATGAAAACAAAGTCCCGGCCGTTTTGAAAGCGGAAGAGCTGGGAATACCTTTGGTCACGTACGACTGGTTTGAAGACTGTATGCATGACAAACGGAGGCATAGGCCAAATAAAGAATACACTTTGAAGGGTATTCTCAAAGCAAAGGAACAGAGGAGAGTAAGGAAGGCCAAAGAACGAAGAGTGATGAAAAAAGAAGGTAGGTCAAATTCACATGTTATTCAGTCGCGCGTCTTCGAACAAATTTTGACGAGTCTCATGTCATTCCGAATGTTTAACGTCGGCTGTTCCATGGCAATGACTGACCTCTATTCCGGTACGTAGGTAGTAGCTCCAATTCCGTCGCTAGCATTGCGTTAGGCTTCTTCAATAGACACATGAGAGATTTGAGCAGCAACGTACGCTCGACCAAGCCTGACGTCGAGCAGTATGCCCTCTATGACGGAATGTACAGGACGGAAGACGCAGACGGTGAAATACAAGCCGGAAATCACGAACCGGGAGACGATGCGGATAAACCGAGGATGGGCCAAGATGGCCATGGTCGAATGAGAGGCCAAACCCCCCGGGATGTCCATGAATCTGTAGACATAAACTCTGATCGCCCATCGAAGCCAAGGTCAGCATGGGTCAATGATTGCCTCTCAGAACGAGCTCTAGCAGCTGAATCTCCATATTCAGCAAACACTACGCCAAATCGCATCACACCCGAGCCTGGCAAAGACGAACTGGATACCGCTGTAAACTGTCACCTCTCCACAACGGCTAGAGAACTTGAGGGTCAGCACGAACTGAACATTTTTCGTACCCTTTCCGTCTTTTCTACCTATTGAAACCATTCAGGTCAAAGAGCGGCCTTTGTAAAGCTCGGAACTGCTATCATAAGAGGCTGGGAAGTTCTCCCTCTATTCTTCTCAGAGCTGTCGAGAGCCTGTACAAAGCGTCGGCTTGACCAGAATCTTAGTTTTCTTTCTGCCTTCTTGCTTGCACACAGATCGTCACATACGGTACTGACAAAGGGCCAAATGCAGAGAACTACCATCTTTACTGTGACCAAACGGGCTTTAAGTATAACGTCACGCTTATTCGCATCGACGTCGGCAAGAACTCGAACGAGCGGTTCGTCATCCGGTTATACGAGAGTCACACCACTCCGCACACCTATGCCGTGCACCTTCGTTTCTTTTCCGGAAGGAAGAAGTCGCGTCCAAGCGTGCCGGTCGTGGGCGAGCTGACAACCGATGGCGTGACATGGGCTCCCGTAGGGTCAGACTGGTCGTGTGCTTTCAAAGCCTTCAGGGACATCTTTGCGCAGAAGACTGGCCTGCAGTGGGAGAATCGATTGGATAAGCAGAATGCAGGACGGTTGATCCCTGGAGTAGAGAGAGAAAAGTACTTTACGTACGTGCTCCCGAGGGATGGTGAGCCCGTTGGCGTTCTTCCCGTGGGTTACCCAGTCCAAGCTGAAGTCTTCGACGAGGAGAGGGAGCGTCGCTTCGTAGCTGCCAACTCTGCTCAGGATTAAAGAGAAGCAGTATAACCGAAGGAAAATTGAGTATCTGTTCCGGCGCTGCTTGTGGAGATGACATGGCGCGCTATGGCCGTGATTTAGTTTGACACCCACGTCAACTATGAACAGGAAGGCTCTCGATAATCGAGCGCGACAAAATGCCGTGTCCTCAGTAGGGACAACCCAAAGAAGGCAAATTAATTTAAATATCTGGCGTGATACACGAAGTCAGGGAAGACATATTCTGCCTAGGCATGAGTTTAAGTATCCCTATTCTCTGTATTTTTCCTTGGCAAAATTTGGCTGGTTTGCGGCTCGGTTGAAATCATAACTACTCATGAAATGATATGCAGAAGCTTTACCGCACATGCTAAGCGGAACATCTCGTAGCTTAGACAGATAAAATTGATTCGCAAACTTTGACCTCTTCTGTCGACGATCTAAACTTGCTAAGATAGGAGCTGAGACGTGAAAGAATGCTTCAACCATCTTCAGTTTAATCTATCTCCTAAGCTTGTCATCGGCTCTATCATATTCATCTGGCGCTCATCTCACGCATTACACTTTGAGTACCTCTTTCGAAGCGGGGCGGCGTGGCTACCGTGCTCTGACGTACGTTGACGCCGAGTAGACATACTTTAGCCTCAAGTCCTGCTTTGTTGACGTGTAATCCTTTCGATGACCAATAGCATAGAAGCTTTCGCACCCTTCTTCGGTGAAGAGCTTTTGAAAATCGAGATTTCGAAGGCAAGGTAGGAACATGCTACACGCTAGGCCCCTATGGGTACACTTATTTGCGTGCTAGGACATTTGACCGCTTCTTACGATCAACTTTGTTTTTCGCATGAATGCTCAAGCTTAAAAAGAGGTGGATCAAAGCCTACTGACCTTGGCGATCCTCCGTCTCTAGAGCGATAATCAAAGAGTGTTCATCCAATCGTTCAAATCCTGCCCTCCAGTACCCGTGTCTCCAGACCCGCCAAATCCGTAGTCGTCCATGTTAAGCAAATCATTGAATGTGTTGTCTACATCTTGTAGGCCGCCACCACCGGCATCATCGCCTCCCGTATCAAAGCTTCCAAAGTCGATGTCTCCAAAGTCAGGTTGTGTGTCAGTATTGTCGTTCGGACCACTCTGCTGTTGTGGCTGTGCTATTGTCGTTGATGTTGTCGCCGGAGTTTCCTTCGCCTCCGTATTTTGCATCTGAGCTGTGGGATTCTCGTGCTTAGAAGCTGACTCGGCACTTGTGGCAGGCGCGGTTGAGTATTCCTGTCCAGATGCTGTCGTTTTCGCCGTTGTGGTGGGCGGTGGCATCGACACGTCCGACATTGCACTATCCGTACCAGCCATGTTTGCGTATGATTCTAGACCGGGAAGTAATGATGAGACATCTGCGCTCCTTTCACCAAGATCTCGGAAATTGTTGTCGCCTGGATTTGTACCCTCATCGTCACCCATGTCAGCGTCGCCAAAGATGTCCGAGAAGTCTGGCTCATCTGTCGCACTAGTTGGAAGGCCAAGGTTTTCTTGCTCAGTAGCGCCGGATACTGCGGTCGTAGGAGCTTGCTCTGCGCATTCTGATGAAGGTGCGGCTGATGTGATTGGAGGTGCAATCATGGCCGGTACTGTAGGCGCAGTTTGTGTCGGCGGGGCCTCTTCCCTCTTGATTTGATGCTGAGGTGCCATAACTGCCACGGGTGCCCGCTCCTCCTTTATGTCCTGCATATCCACGTCTTCGCTATCCTCCTTCTTGACGTTCTTCGCCTCCATCTCCATCTTTAGTTCTCTGGACGCTCTGACTCCTTCTTTCACCCTGTGCAATGCCAACTCTCGCTTGAGGATCCACTGTGCACTCTGAATCTCCTCCTCTATGCGGTCAAGGCCCTCGTGAAAGCGAAAATTGACGCTCGGAAAGAGAGTCTGCAATTTGAAGCGTTGTTGGGGATCACGCAACTGATTTGGCTGGGCGAGCGATCGACCGATGACAGTAAGCTGGTGGAATACAAGTCAGTTCATTAAGTTTAACGAGCACACGCTGATGAAGGAAGGGACATCGAGAGTCCTAAGAGCGTCGTTCTGACTGCCAATCTGGTATACTACAGGCCTAGCAGGCCAAATGCAACAGGCCATGAGTGAGGATCGGCTTTGGTAAGTGCACAGCGTATCGTGTAGTAGCAAATGAAGAGGGAGGGGTGAAGGAGCGGCATACTATCAAGTTCATGGAGCCTTGGAGGGACTCCATGGGTGTCGTTTCCGGACGCTGCTCGGACTTTTGCGCCATTGTGGATGAGGTCAGTAGTATCAATCTACTCCAGCAGATCCTATGAACGCGTCAACATCCACAGATCACATAGCGCACGTCAGGGTTCTATGCGACAACGGCAGTGAGCGATGCGACGGGTGGTCGACTTGAGCATCGAGGAGCGCCGAGCAGGTCGAGCGGCCAGTTCGTAACGCGCCGTCGCGAGATGATGCAGGGAAAAGAAGAACGCACACGCACGCACGGTGCTGCCAGTGCATCCGTGTTCCAGCTCCACGCCATCCCGGCGAACCAGCGAGCCAACCAGCCAGCCCCGGGGCCAGCCAGCGGGCCAGTCCAACCAACCAGCCCGCCCTTCGTTCTCAAATTTCTGGTGTCCGCATCGACGACAACACAAACGTGCGCACGATCATACGGAGACGGACGTGCCGCCACGAGACCGACGCTTCGTGCCTTAGGCTTGCGCAGGCAGCACTTCCGTAAATCAGGCAGGAACCACCAACCCTGCATGAGTCCCAGGGACCATTTGGCGCAGAAGGAGCTCCCAAGGCACTGGATTTGAGCGTGTGTCGGGCGCGCCTTCGAAATTTGGGGGAGGGGAACTGTGGAAGCTACGGCCGGCCCGCCATGCTAGCGCAAAGCAGGAAAGAGGCACCCACTCCAGCAAAGCCGCCATTCCCAATTTTTCTTGCGCATTATTCTTCTTGTGCCCTCCCACCATATCACGTTCCTAATACCTTCTCCTCGTCTTCCATAGGCTTTTCCTCCTCCTCTCTGTACTTCTCCTCCTCCCTCCGTCTCTCCACAGGACGCTCTTGTTTTCTCCTCCTCTTTTCCTATTCGCCTTCCTCCGTCTTCGTCTCGTGTCTCATTTTCTTGAGTCCGCCCCTCTCCCGGCTTTGCGCGTAACTGCGTCTGTGTTGCGCGTCGGTTATCATCCATCAGCGTCTCGTTGCTTTGCTCATCTTTTCTCCCTCGATAAGTGCGGGATCATAGCCGGCTGTTTTTATTTGGCACCATCAGAACACTAGGCGGCGTAGCTGGTGCACAGGCTGGAGCGTTTCGCGACAATATTCACCCACCGTCACCACGACCACGACTCAACACTTGCCAACGTTGTGTCCATTCATCCACCGCATCTTGCGAGCCGAAAAAATCTTCGCGGATCTTTTCATAGCGCTCTAGTCGTATACGCAAACATTTCATTCGACTTTGTTGCGGCTCTTGGGAAACAAGGCATACGAACGAACGTGTTTGCGCTCGTTTTAAACTCGAAGTTGTTTTTTCGCCACTCTGGTTCTGACAAGATTTGTGTGTGAGTGTGTGCACGTACCTGGCTGTTCTGACTATTTGCTGCTGCTGCTGCTGCTACTGCTGTTGGATTAAGTTGCGAAATTGTTCTTTACGTACAGCCCCACGAGCGCGTTCCATTGGAGAAGATTTTTTTTTCCTCGCTCTACCATCACCAAAAGGAGTTTTCACGAACGCCAGCGGGAATATTCTGCAACCACCCGGCGAGCGCACGCATTATCGCTCGCAATCATGGAGGACGTTAACTCTACTGCTCCAGCATCCGCCGCACCGATGCCCCCAGGTGCGCCTGGCTTTGACGGTAACGGTCAAACCCCAGGTCTGCCACCCCTCAACATTCCACCCAACACGAATCCGCTTCCAACCGCCATCACCTCGCCAATGAGCGGTGGTGTCACTCCTGGGCAGCCACGGCGAGCCGCTCCAGAACCGAACAAGCGTGCGCTTTATGTGGGAAATTTGAACCCTCAAGTTTCGGAGGACCTCCTGCGGCAGATCTTCGAGACGTCTGGCCATGTTGTTAGCGTCAAAGTTATCCCGGACAAAAATCTCAAATCATCTGGCCTCAACTACGGTTTCGTCGAGTTTGATGATCCGTCGCATGCTGAGAATGCGATGCAGAATCTCAACGGCCGCGTCATCTTGGGCAACGAGATTCGTGTTAATTGGGCGTACCAGAACAATAACTCCAACAAGGAAGATACGTCTAATCACTTCCACATCTTTGTCGGTGATCTCAGTAACGAAGTCAACGACGAGACTCTGCTACAGGCGTTCAGCGCCTTCGGCAACGTCTCCGAGGCCAGGGTCATGTGGGACATGAAGACAGGACGAACCCGAGGCTACGGCTTTGTCGCCTTCCGTGAACGCGAGGCAGCCGAGAAGGCTCTTGCTAGTATGGATGGGCAATGGTTAGGCTCTCGCCAAATCCGATGCAACTGGGCGAACCAAAAGGGTCAGCCATCGGTGCAGCAGCAAACCGCCATGGCCATGGCCGGCATGGCACCATTCCAACAGCACAACCCCTTTCCGACACAGGGTATGGCTTCGTATGAGCAGGTCGCTGCTCAGACTCCCGAATGGCAAAGCACTGTCTATGTGGGCAACTTGACCCCCTACACGTCCGTCAACGACCTTGTTCCTCTTTTTGGTAACTACGGTTATGTTGTTGAGACACGTTTCCAGGCTGACCGTGGTTTTGCCTTTATCAAAATGGAGAACCACCAGAATGCTGCTATGGCTATCTGCCAGCTCAATGGATACAATGTCAACGGACGCCCACTGAAGTGTTCGTGGGGCAAGGAACGTCCACCTCCGCATGCCCAAGGTGCGACTGGTGGTGCACAATCTGCTGGTGGATATGACAGCTACCCGCCCAGCGCAGTGCCGAACTCTGCATATCCGCCACAAACGCCTGGGGCTTATGGATACGCTCAGTACGCAGGACCTCAGTCTGCTACTTCGCCACAAGGTCAGTTCAAAGCAAAACATATTTGTCCTTAATCTCTCTCCCTAGTGCTTTTTCGGTCTTGGAATCAATTACTAAGTGCGTGAGACAGGTCCGTACCCAGCCCAGCCAGGCTTCCAGCAAACTCCTGGTGGATATGGCAGTCCCGCTGTACCCCAGGGAGGCTACCAGCAGCAGAGTTACGGTCAGGGCCAGGCCCAGCAACCTGGGTACGGACAGCAGCCTGCTCCGGGCGGATATCAGCAACAAGCGTACGGTGCCTATCGCCAGTGAAGATAAGACGTCGGTGTAACATGAGCCGAACGTTTGATCGGTGGATGGCTGCTGTCTCCAGGTTCCTTTCTCTACACATTGAAATGACACCACTACCTCACGTCGCTCTGCAACCAACTCTGCCAAAGTTTTGCTAGTGCGGACAAGTCGACTTCCAAATGCTTTGCACGACCACTATTCCACTTGACGAACTCTCAGTTATACACGCGATACATCTATTATATACGCACCAAAAGCATTCGTTTTCTCTAGCAGTTCTCGACTCAATATACTCGCCGATCTATTGCACATCACAAACTGACACTCGTGGCGCAGATTGGCGCGCATGGCGACTCTTACTACGGATTCATGCCTTCATTTCCCTCGATACACGGCGTAAGTCGCAAAAACATTTGTGGTTGCAGAACCAATTTTCTCTCGTCAACAAATAGGAAGAACAAACATCAAAAGCAAAGGAATATCTCAGTGGTTTAAACAGGTAGAGACGGGGTCTGGCTTGTGAAGAGACCTTCGTTCGTTTGGCTGGTCATTTGATTTCTGGCTGCACTCTTGCACTCTGGCGGTAAGGAGGGAGGTCTTTGGGGTTTTGGATTTTCTTGGGGGACGTATTTATTCTTTCATTATGCTTGTCCTCCTCATCCTTTGAAATACCCACAACATCTTTTCTTATGCCTTCTCTCTTGCTTCTGAAAGTTTGTTTTGAGAAATTCGATAATCTCTTTCCGCAACGACACCCTTTTTTGACATGATACGGCAATTGTGCTGCGTTCGCTTACTGTGTAACTGCCTGCGCTCACTCACTCGCTCGCTGTCTCCGTCTCTGCGAAGAAAAGCGAGGGAAAAAACAGAAATAAGTCGACGATGTAATCTGCTTACGGAGTTATCTGCCTTTGCAGTGCTTTTACTACACCTACTTGCTTATTGTCTTGTGGGCATCCAGGCTCAGTCAGCCGGGAACACGCATGCACAGTCGATATGTATCCTTTCATATATGCTCCCATATCTTTCCCGTCTTCCCCCCCCCCCCCCCCTTGCGTGTTTGACCTCATTGCATTCGAGAAAAAAAGAAAGGTCCTGGTCGATTAGATACCCCCCAAAAACATATTGGCGATGATCTATAGGTTGATGTGAGTATTGTTGGAGCAAAAGGCTTCTGCCAAGAAGCGAAGAACAAAGTGTTGCGAAGCATAATGTGAGATCGAATATAATAATGGACGATGTAAAGATTGAACTTGTTGATTATCCAACGCGATTCTCTTTGCTGTTTTGGGTCTTCTCATAATCGTGTTTGAGCGAAGACGATGCATGTTCGAAAGTTCAATAGGCGAAATCACGACGAGCGATCCGGACCATCTCGCAATGATAGAAGACGAGGTAGATCACGTCTAGGAGGATGTACCATAAGTTCTGGCCATCCACTTGTATCGTAACGTGATCTTTGACCGAGTTGTTCTAATTCCTCTGAGCAGGCTTCGCGATGGAATGGGCAGTGCCGTGTGCTCCGAAGAATGCAGGACCAAGATCGGGCGTCGAGCTGCAGAGAGCGCCGTGCATCACACACTCAGCTCTGGGGCCTATGGCAGACTGAGTGGGGACGAAGTCCTGAAGTCTCTGGAATCACAGATCACATCTTTGCTTTGCGAGGATATGGCACTGGCCCAGACGAGAACGTGGAGCGCAGTGTGTTCTGGGGGCCAGACAACGGGACGGATATACGCAATGAGCAGGTCAACGGCCTGGGAAGGATGATCTTCGGTTGCTAGCACGCTGCTTTGCTCCGATTAGCACGTCGACGTTAGCCTGGGGACGCATTGCAGAACAACATACCGATGAAGGCCAGCGTCCGCTGCGGTGCGCGACTCGTGCACACGCGCCGTACACGGGCGAGCTCCACTTTTTCCTCGTGAACGACAACACCGTGAAAGGCAAAGGCCGTTGTCAGCCCGTCGGCACCTCCACCGCCAATACTTTCGAAAAGCCAACCGGTGTCCCGTCGCCTATGCCCGCTAATGTAGTGGACGACCTCTTCTTCATCGCATTCTTCTTCCTGCCGCTGGGCTTGCTGCTGTATATGCTTGTGGCGAGTGCGGAGGCGAGGGGCGCGCTCTGGGGACTGCCTGTGCAAGTGCTACGCTGTCTATATACCTCGCTGTTCGTCTCCACATATACACGCTCTGCCGCTTACACGACGCGCCTCGAACCGTCAGCGATCGCCGGCGCGCTTCAGAAAGGAGGTGGACATAATTCGTACTCGCGGTTCCGCACTTCTTCGACGCGTACATTTCCGCAATCGCTGCCATCCGCTGTGCTGGACGACGAGATGTTGAAGAGGGAGCTGGACAGGCACAACAACACCGCTGCGGTGGCTAACAAGAGGAGAGCCACGCAATTGACCTTCCAGTCTAGCGCGCCGCTGAGCAGCGCACAGCTGACACAAAAGATCATCACGTCGTCGCCGCCAAATGCGACACGTCCCTTGGGCATAGGAACAGGGAACGTGTTGCACAGACCTACATTGAACAGGCCTATATCGTCTTCCACGAGCGCGACGGGACTCAAACGGAGTGCGAGTGGATTGGCCAAGGCGCTTTCTTTCGGCGATGGTTTCGAGCTTCCCGGCGAGGAGGTCAACTCGAAATGCAATCCCATCGTGATTGATTCACCAAAGAAAACAAGTACTGGTAGATGCCAGGGGGGAACTACGGACAACGGCGTTGGGGTGTACTTTGACGAGAACGACTTTGACAGTGACCTTGATTTTGACATCGAGGTGGAGGATCCGGGGAGGAAAGGTCAGGTCAAGTACCCAGAGCTTTCACCTGAGCGAACAAGCGCAAGACCGACCTCGAGGTTAAACCTAAGCCCCTCAACGAATCGGAAACAAGAGTCGGTTTCTACGAGTGTTTGGAATACAAGTTTTGAACAAGATCAGCAGGCCATTCCACCGTCAGCGCAGAAGACGCCAGGAAGCAACTTGAGGTCGACGCCAGCATCACAGCAATTTCCCTGGTCGAGCTCGCCGCTTGAGCACTACAACAGCAAAGAACAACCAAAGAAAATGCCACTCTGGGACCCAAATGCGGTTGGTGCAGAAGATTCTCAGAGTTGCAGACAAGCGGAAATCAGCTCTTCCAAGGCCGCAAAAGCTACGTATCGAAGCGATGGTCGTTATCAGAAAGCACCTGCGATTGCTACCATCGATGAGGAGGGCATGATGGATGAAGAGCCGCGACCGGTGAAGAGGAGAACGATACCGTGGGCGCAAAAGCGGGAAGGCGAAGAAGGAGAGTACCCCGTCTCCGAGGGTGGTGAAACCACGCCAGCATCTAGGAAATCGTCCACTTTGCCATGGAACACGTCCGCAAGTGCAATCAAAGCGCAGCAAAAACAGCTGCGACAGGCAAACAAGAAACTCATCAAGGAGCACGAACCGTCCCCAGCGGAGAGGAGCGCTGCCCTTACGGCGCGGAAGAGCAAGCAGCTGCACACTGTGTTCCTCAGCGAGGAGCAGAAGCATGTTCTTGACCTTGTCACCGAGAAGAAGCAGAGCGTGTTCTTTACCGGCTCGGCGGGAACGGGCAAATCCGTACTTCTGCGCGAGATCATCTCTGCGCTGCGTAAGAAGTTTGCCCGGGAGCCCGACCGAGTCGCCGTCACTGCCTCCACAGGTCTCGCAGCGTGCAACATCGGCGGCGTCACCTTGCATTCTTTCGCCGGAATAGGCCTTGGAAAAGAAGACGTCCCCACTCTATGCAAGAAGATCCGTCGCAACCAGAAGGCGAAGCACAGATGGATGCGCACCAAAGTACTCATCATTGACGAAGTATCCATGGTTGACGGTGAGCTGTTCGACAAGCTTGAAGAGGTCGCTCGTATCCTACGCAACAACGGTCGCCCTTTTGGGGGGATCCAACTCGTAATCACTGGCGACTTTTTCCAGCTACCTCCCGTGCCCGAGGGCAATCGCGCAGCACGGTTCGCATTCGAGGCCGCGACATGGTCGACAAGTATCGACCATACAATAGCGCTCCATCATGTCTTCAGACAGAAAGACCCTGTGTTTGCAGGCATGTTGAATGAGATGCGCGAGGGTCGACTGAGGCCAGAGAGCATCGCTAGGTTCAGGAGTTTGAATCGTCCCATCACATTTGAGGACTCTCTAGAAGCTACAGAGTTGTGCGTCGACTGTTTCTCTTCATTTCACTAGAACCATATGTGTACAAGCTGCTAACACATTTGATGCGTGTAGATTCCCGACTCGCACCGAGGTCGATCGCGCAAATGCTCAGCGCATGGCGAACCTGCAAGGCGAGCTCCACATCTACGAAGCTCGCGATGGAGGCTCTATCACGGACAAAGCAATGCGCGATAAATTGCTTCAGAACTGCATGGCTCCGGAAGTCATTCAGCTTAAAAAGGGAGCTCAGGTCATGCTTATCAAGAACATTGACGACACGCTTGTCAACGGTTCCCTTGGCAAAGTCATTGGCTTCATGAACGAGGCCACCTTTGACAACTATCAGCAGAACGAGGAGGCATACTACGCAACGCAACAGAACGGGGCGGACGAAGCCGCCTCGCGTCATAATCAGCCGGCGGAGCTCAGCGATCGAAAGTTGAGGCTTGCGGAGTTGGCAGGGGGAAGTTCACAGGCGTATCCCGTGGTGAGGTTTGCCATTGCGGACGGCTCAACACGTGATTTGCTGTGCCAACGCGAGAGCTGGAAGGTCGAACTGCCCAACGGAGAAGTGCAAGCCAGCCGTCATCAGGTTCCGCTCATCCTCGCGTGGGCACTGTCCATCCACAAAGCACAAGGCCAAACATTAGAAAGGGTGAAGGTAGACTTAGGAAAGGTGTTTGAGAAGGGCCAGGCATACGTCGCTCTCTCGAGGGCCACAAGCATGAAGGGGCTGCAGATTGTCAACTTTCAGCCTGGAAAAGTGATGGCCCACGAGAAAGTGCGCAAGTTCTACGAGAACCTGACGAAGATTGAGAAGAGCGGAGCGAAGAGCGGATCGAAGAGCGAAGGTCACGTCAGGACAGGCAAGGAATCTGGCCCAGTTGCCGGCACTGTCGAAGACGAGAACGAGTTGGTCACGGGCGACAGGTATCTGACGGACGACTTTGAATTCGACGTGTGAGGAGATGGTCCAAGAAGAGATGGACGGAAGGTTTCTCAAATCTTCGGTGGGCATCCTGTTGACCCCGAAAACATTGTCAGACGTAAATACTTTTGAGCTGCATACCAGGCTGCTCACGAAAAAGGCCGGCCTTCGTGCCGAGCCTGTACTGATTAACATTGGTTATGCGGCTCAAAAAGATAGAGAGCATTCAAGGCGAAAGTGGGGTAAGACACACCACCGGTCGAGGCTGCAGTCGTAGCAACTTTTGTTTCGCTTTAACGTGCTGGCGATCCCATTGAAACGGAGAGATCCATGCCCTCCGCAAACAGCAGGGCGTATCCCAAAAAAGGTTTGTTGGGGAAAAATGTAGAACGGAGAAAGGTTGAGATTCGTGCGCGATACGTATAGACAAAATGTGCAAGCGACGCCTCTCCATTGGCTCGTGGGTGTTCAGCACAGGAAACAGATAAGATGGACGCTAGGTTTTTAGAATTCGCTAGATCTCGCTTGCGATGTTTCGTCTTGCATACATGTCGCCCTGTGCGCTCGTCCCAGGGAGTGATTAATTGAAGCGGCGCGATTTGATCTTCCGCACTGCATCCATTCTTTGACCGATTTCTTTCTCGCTGCATATACATTACCTGTACAATTGGGTGAGGGCTGCGCCCCGCCTAGCCGTAATTATACAGACAAAATGCGGACCGAAGTGTTAGTCTGTCCGCTCGGATGCAGAAAGCCTGGTTCCCCATGAGATTCTGCTTCAGATCCCATCAAGTGAGCGCCTGTGTAGAGAAACCCCCCCGAAAAAAAGAGAGGACAAAACAAGAAAAGAAAACCAGGTGTGTTGTTTTTTTTGTGAAGCTCGCTCCGCCTTCTACAGCGCCCCGCTCGGCGATCACAAGCTCTCGGCAACTGCCTCGAGTGCCTCCTTGAAGATGCTGCATGCCTGATCGAGCTCTTGCTCCGTGACGGTCAACGTGGGGATGAAGCGTATTACGTCGAAGACGGAGGTGCTGAGCAGCAGCATGTCTCGCTTGACGCATTCCTGCACGACCTTGGGCGCGATCTGAGCGCCGCCGGACGCGGCGAATTGCACGCCGACCATGAGGCCTCGACCCCGGACGTCCTCGATCAGCTTTCCAGCCTTGGATCCGCTGGCCTTGAGCCCGTTGAGGAAGGAGAAGAGCTGCTTGGAGCGTGCCGCCACGTTGTCGAGCACCTTTTCCTCCCGGAAGACCTGGATGACGGCTTTCGCCGCCGCGCAAGCCACCGCGTTTCCGGCGTAGGTGCCGCCCATCGTTCCGGACTTCTGGCGACCCATGAGCTCCCTCGTGCTGGCGATGCCCGACAGCGGGAACCCGTTCGCGATGCCCTTGGCGAAGACGAGAATGTCGGGTCTGACGCCGGACTCTTCAATGGCCCACATCGTGCCCGTCCGGCCCATGCCGCACTGGACCTCGTCAATGATGAGCAGGATGCCGTTCTCGTCGCAGATCTGGCGGAGACCCGCCAGGAAGGACGGCGGAGCGGCGACGTAGCCGCCCTCGCCGAGTACGGTCTCCAGCAGGATGGCCGCCGTGTCGGATGGGGCCGTCTGCTGCTTGAGCGTGAGACGCAGCTGCATCAGCGACTTGTCGACCAGTTCCTCGATCGGGGTGTCGACCGGCAAGCCGAACTGGGAGTAGTACGGGAACGCGGTCGTGAAAACGCCCGGCATGAGCGGACCGTGGCCCTCGCCGTAGATGGTCTTGCTCTTGGTGAGCGCGGCCGTGCCGGCCGTACGTCCGTGGTAAGAACCCTGCATGACGATGATGTTCTGCTTCTTGGTTGCCGCCCTTGCCAGCTTGACGGAGGCCTCGACCGCCTCCGCTCCGGAGTTCCACAGGAAGATGGTGTCCAGGCTCTCGTGCGGCATGATTGGCAACAGCTCCCTGAGCAAGTCGATCTGCGCGGCCGAGAAGCCAATGTTGACCTGCGCGTGCGTCATCTTCATGCACTGCTTCGCCGCAGCTTCGGAAACTTTGGGATGGCAATGGCCCAGATTGACGACGCCGATTCCTGAGGTCAGATCCAGAAGCTTGACGCCCTTGTCTGTCGTCACCCACGTCCCCTTTGCATCTTCGAAGACGTGCTTCGTCAGTCGCCCTATGCCGGGCGTGATGTGCTGCTCCCCGAACGCGGCTGCATCCAGGGTGGTTCCGTTTGCGGCAGCTGACATGGTGGTCGAAAAGGCGCGCGGGAAGAGAGCTGCTTGCTTTAGACCTTGCGAAAGCACTCGAGATGTTGATGTTTGCATCGTTTCAAAAGACGCGGAGGAGCTCCTTGTATACTGCACGAACCGTCACGGGAAGCGGACAAGATCCTTGCGTCTGAGTTCTGTTCGACCCGGAGTTGACTGGTGGTGGTGGAGGTGGACGGCGGCCTTTCACTGGCTTCTCCGCCAAAATTATTCTTTATCAAGATAAGCGTGTAGATGGGGACAGAGCAGATGGACTGTAACTTTCGCCACGCTCGGCTAGCGCATACGTTATGAAAGGCACTCGCTGCGAAGTTTTACTCTCACCACCCAGTTTCGACCGAGACAAGTCCTGACGTCGGCTCTGCACATTGGGGAGCGCTTCACGTAACAGCTAGCCCGAAGAGGCAGCCGTACGCGAGCTAAGGCAAGGCGAAAAGATCCAAGCTGGCGCGCTCGAAGCGCGGCGTCTTGCCTTCGACGTGAATAGCATGTGCGCGGTGTGTCTTGTAATAACTGTGTCTGGTTGCCGACGGTATGCTGCTGCTGTGTCTGCAACAGCACGACCAGTCCGCTCCCGCTCTCCTCAGCTCTCTGGCTGTGCGCTGTTCTATCACGTGACACCACGCCGTGTGCTCAATCCCGCCTCAGCGGCCTCACCACTGTATACGCCGGATTTTGCTGTGCTGCATGCCGGGCTTCGCCAGCCTTCTCAGTGTACTCGTCGTGCTGGAGCCGGAAGCTTGCAAGCGAACGTGACAGGCCGCAGGAATCCGAGACCATGCTCTCCAACGTTGGGCGCACAAAACCTTCTGATCGTGGCTATATTCGAGTCTCTCGCTCTTGATTCAGCCCACTGGACGACGCGTCTACCACTCTGCGTTAAAAATCCGCTCAGTCGCTTGGAAACGGTCATTCAGCATCAATACCTGGAGCTTTTTGAGCCTGCTGATGAGGGGTCGATCTACCACGATCACATTGAAACGCCCGACGGGGCGTACAGTGCTGTTAAGCTTCGAGTACGCATCTGCTAATCAAACTTCGCAGTCCCTTCGTGGATCGTGACGTTTGCGTCAGGAGGAGCATCAGACAGTTTGTAAAAGCGATTTCAAATATATTTCGAGAACGTGGCAAGTTCCCATAGGTTTGGGACCTGACAGATGTGTGCATGAGCAGCTGTCCATGAGCAATCGTTCAAGGCCAGAGAACATTCCACGCCAATTTTTCGTGAAGGACTGGAGCAAAATGGGGTGAAAAGGCTGGGAAATAGAAGTGGTCTGTTTGAAAACCCAGGTGGACATGGCATAACAAAAGATGGTAACACGAGCTGAGAAAGCATGAAATGGTCCTGATGACAACGAGAGTTTTTTTTTCTCCCTCTTCTTGAGTCCAGATATTGTGTGCCTGGTCGTTAATAAATAGAGAGAAAAAGCCTCACGATGTATGTGAGAATGAGAAATGTTTCAGCTGACCGCCTGGGCTGCATGCGTTGACAATCATGATAACCTTCTCCAATGGAAGGAAAAATCAACCTCGCAATTCTGACGATCAGAGACACGTAGTTCTCCTCCTTGTTCTTCACATGGCCGTTTCAGTCGATGCCGACGCTCCATGTTGGATCGGAAAAGGTTGCAACATGCGACGCCAAAGACGGGCACGATCGTGGCAAAAAGCTATACAGGTCACCAGTTTCTATTTGTTAGACGAGAGATGCGTGCATACGCCTTGCCCTTCCATCGATGCATGAACTCCTGTATCCGGCCTCAAAACCTGTTCTACGAGAAACAAAGACAGAAAATGCCGCTCAACATCCGGGCGTCAAAATTAAAAAGGAGGGGTATTCTTCTCGCCTATGCCAGGCTTGTCCAGCGCTTGCGATGCTGTGTTTCTCCCAAAAGGCGCAGAATGCGAACTTGCCGCTTGCGAACAAAGGAAACAGAGGAACTAATATTTACTGCGGGGATCGAAACATTGACAAGCCCATGGCGAATTCACACGAGCTGTGAGACATGAGATGCGGCTCAATCAACTCTGAGAAGGCAAGGCTAGACACAAGTCAGAGACTTCGTTACCCCGTGCGTGATAGGTTGTCCGGACAATCTGGTTTGTCGCCTTAACGAGCTTTGCAACTCCTAACTCGTATAGTCGCAAGTACATATTAGGCTGAGTTCTAGCATCAAGCATCGACCAGGAATCGCACAGCTGTCAGACACGTATCGGCTGCTTCTTCGACGACGCAAGCAGGCTTCGCAGATGTCCTTGGCTTCGATTTACCACACTACGCCAGCGCCGAATTTTAATGCGTTCTCTCGACGCCCTGCCTTTCGATGTTCTTTTCGGCGTCTCCCTCTATCTAGACATAGAAGACATCGTGAACCTGCACAACTCCTGCCGGCAGCTGCGCTTTCTGCTCGGCGAGGAGACGCTCTGTCGCAGACTGCTGGAGGTAAGCCCGCGAACCGCTTGCTTCCGCCCTGTTCGCGTGCGTGGCTGACTGCGCAAAGAACCGTGCGAGACGCACACGGGAGGCCAGAGAAGCTCGCAAGTCAGGCTACCAGGCCGCCATCAGACGACTGTACAGGCGCCGCAAAGCAGTCGCAGCAGGAATACCCGCGTCGGTGGCCTCGCTCGGGTACGCGGCCGATGTCATCTACAGCGATGGCGTCGCATGTATTCTGGGAGAAAGTTACGTCCAGGTTGTGGATCTCCACGGGTCCAAGGAGCCGCGCAGGATCCCGATCGTGTCTCTGCTAAGTGGCGTGGCCGAGCCGGATCGACACTGCGACTACGAGTGCGTCCGGCTTCTAAGCTGCTGTGCAGACGTTCTCGTCTTCACCTACGAGGATGACAACGGCCACTGCTGGCTGCTGGCCGCCGACGTGTCCAACCCGGCCCAACCGCAGCGCGTGATCGAGCCTGAACTGCTAAGGAGCACTCATAAGCTCTTCGTCGAGCAGACTGGCCAGTATTTATTCTACGGCACGCGCACGGGCGTCTGGATTTCGAGTGGCCAGCGGTACAGGGAGTGGATGGTTCACGGCATCGCTTTGAATGGCCACAAGTTCATGATCGAGCGAAAAGATGGCGCCGTAGAGGAGGCGAGCAGGACGGAGCCTATTCAGCTTCACAACTTTGCCGGCTCTGACGTCGGCTCTACTGCCGCCTTCAAAATTCACGAAGGCTTCTTCTACGCCGTCACAAACTGCGACGCGTTCGACGTCATTGAAGTTGATTTCACCTCAGTATATCAGTGCGTCCGATTTCCAGTCGTCAATCCCCAGGAGGACACTTGTGAATATGCAAGGCTCTATCGGCGGCAGCATGCCGAAGGCCCGGTGAACGACGGCTGGAATTCGCTACGTCTGGACGTCGACGAACGGACCAATATGCTTCTTTTGATCGAAGGCCGTGCTGAATGGCCGATGGCTGGCGACTCGCTCTCCCGTGGATTCTACACCCACGAAGTCGATTTTGAGAGAAATGTAGAGCTTGGTAAGGGCCCAGCGGACGACGCGTTCTCCAAGATTCCGGACGAAGAAACGAAGTACTGCTCCACTCCAGAATTACCGCCATGGCATGCCCATGTCGAGGCTTACAATCTGGCGGAAACTCCAAGGAGCGCCGGCACAGCCGTGCCCTCACTTTCTCGTTCGAAATACCGCGCGTACAACTTCGCAAGCATGGCTTGCCTTGAGCTTTTTGAAAAGCAGTGTAATTGTCGTGGCTTCAACAGCCACTGTTTGCAGCTTAGGTCGTACTCACGACGGCCACTCGTGAGCGCCCGGTCGTGCGTAGGCGCTGTCCAAAAAGGAAAACAAAAGGTTGATGACCTGTCAGACTTAGACCACACGGGAGCGCATGACTATCAGTACTCCAAAGTCTCAATCTGGCCAAAGGGGCCGGGCGAGGAGCACCATATAATGAATCTACCGGCGGAGATGCAGGGCACTGCGTCTCCAGGCATCAAAGCCTGGATGGACGAACGGTCGATTGTCTACTTTATCCATGTGAATGGCATAGGAAAAGTCGTTTGCATAAACTTTGACGGGGACTCCCCAATCACCGGGTACCAAGATCAGTCTCAGCATCTTCCATTCCATCCACGGAAACGAGGCTATAGTCCCCGACTGCAGTCAGACCCGGAGGAGCTCCGTTACCTGTCGCCATCTCCTCCGCCTTTCGACCATCCTGTATTTGAGCCACACGAAATCAAGGAAGATTTTTTTGCCGCCACGTGGGACCTCGATGATATTCCCGACATGTGCGAGGTGGGCGGGGGCGAGCTCGAGGAGTGGTTTGACTTGCTTAAGCAGAACTGTCGTGTCTGATCAATGCGCACATATGAATAGAGTTTCAATGTATTGCTGTGATAATCCCTCGCAGTTTTTCTCCATCGTGTTTGTGACGCCACGCCCGAACGCCTTGCTGAAGTTTTTCGAAGTCGACATCACCTAGCTCATCTTGCTTGCAACGCACGTGACTGCCTGCAACTTATGGTATAGAGGACGTTGATTCGTCAGAACAGGTAAAGGCTGCAATCTTTCAGCCCCCGACGCTGAACGTCATCGTAGAAAACAACGGTGATTTGTAGATCAAAATGCATTCAAGCTGTCCGATGACCCATTCTTATTGAATCTTTTTTTCTCTCTTTTTTTCACGTATGGTAATGGGCGCGGGGTGAACTCTTCCTCTTGTATGCACCGCTCCCTTCTGCGCTGATAATGCAAAGAGCCCTGTCGTGGAATCTGGTTAGCCGGGAACAACTACAGCTCTACTACCAGCGACATATCTACCAAGGCGAGCCCGAAGACCCGCCGCCATACGAAGATGATGGGCCCGAGATCGACTGGAACGACGTGCCGTCAACGAACCCGGAGTTGCTTTGCTCGCGATGCATGCTCGCCGTGTTGAAGATCTACTCCAACCGCGACGGCACCGGCGCTTTTGGGCTCTTCTTGCCTCCGGCTCGAACGTGCGTCCTGTGCAAGCTCATACTGGAGATCCAAAACGCGTCGCGGATAGACCACGAGAGTCGCGTTTTCGAGCTGATGCGCGTCCGGATTCCTCATCCGAACCTCTCTCGGGCCCCCCCGGCCCACATGAAGGACATCGTGGTGCTCTTCGACGCCAGCCCGATCTCGAACCTGGAGCATGGCACCCGAGTGGTCTCCAAAATGGTTGACTTTGATGGAATCCGCGCAATTCCAAAGCAACAGCTTGACCCTTCCGTGGTGCGATCGTGGCTGAGTGAATGCGAGAGCACGCACGGCGAAGGGTGCTGTGGAGCGACGAACAGAGTGTCTTTGGATGCGCACAGGATCTGGCTTATCGACACGCGTCACTTCTGCCTCGTTCAAAAGCCGTTGCCGTGCAGATATGTGACTCTGTCGTACGTGTGGGGCAAAGTGCAGACGTTTCGATTAAAGGAGAAAGACATCCCGTCGCTGAGCACCTTGGAGGGCCTCCGCGATATCGAGGACCAGCTGCCGCTCACGATCATGGACGCGATAGAGTTCGTGAGGAGCATTGGAGAAAAATACCTTTGGGTTGATGCTGTGTGCATTCCACAAGACAACGCAAAGATCATGGAGGAGCAGATTGGCCATATGGCTTCCGTATACAGATCGTCCATTTTGACCTTGGTCGCTGTCGCCTCCGACGACGCTCGGAGCCCTCTCCCCGGAGTTCGGGCTGGCACGAGGTCGTTGCGGTCTTTCTTTGAAACACCTGACCTTACTCTGGCAGAGAGGTTGACGTCGATTTTACCCGTCATTCTGTCTTCTAACTACAACACGAGAGCCTGGACCTTCCAGGAGCGACTGCTGTCTACGCGGTGTCTGTACTTCACCGGAGAGCAAGCGTTCTTGCAGTGTCAGTCCGGAATCTTTCGCGAAGACCGAGTTGCGCACACCGCCTTCGAGAAGCTCGGCCGAGACATCCAGGCGCTCAAGCCTCTTTCTCCCGCTTTGATAGAATCTCAGAGCCCGACCGGCAGCACGGGCCTGGCGAAGAACTTCCAGCTGTACCGTCAAATCGTCGAAGAGTACACAACGAAGTCGCTCTCCTATGACGCCGACATCCTGCATGCCTTCACCGGAGTAGCGGAAGAGCTGGAGCCTTTGGTCGAAAGCCCGCTCGTGGCAGCTATGCCGGAAAAGTTTTTCATTCGATCCATGTTGTTCCAGCCAAAGCGACGCGCGTTCACCAAAAGAACGGCGGAAATGAAACACTTGGAGAAGCGCACCAATGAGCTTGTGAACCTGTCGTTTCCAAGCTGGTCATGGTGTGGATGGGTAGGTCCTGTTGAGTACAAGAACGTCGGCTCAATCATTGCGCATGCAAGCCGAATACAGATATGCACAGCCCTCAGAAGCAACAAGCAGCCAGTCGAGTTCCGGTTCTTCGAGCAATCGATCGAACCACGGAGCCACGGGTTCGAAGTAGATTTTGCCGGTCTTCCCAAGCCCGCCCTTGACGTTCAACCGTTCACCCTCCGCTTCATGGCGAGCGTAGACGTCTCTGGGAGTTTCAACTTCGAACCGTCTGTACGAGGCGACAACTATCTATCCGTCACAGGGCCGAACAGCCTCACTTGCGGTCTGATACGTATCGACGACCCCAGAGCCAGCCAGCATTCTAGTGGTAGATCAAAGCCCAACAGAAAGGAGACTAAGAACTCGTGCCTCGTACTTCTCTGCGACATTGAAATGGATCTGATTCGAGAACCAGATGAACCTGACGGCTCACATCAGAGAAAGCCATGGGGTCCCAAGCTGTACTACGACGGCTCACCGTGGAAACTCTGCGCCGTGCTTTATGTTGGCTGGAAAGGCGGCGTGGCCGAAAGACTTGGCATAGGAGAGGTGACAAAGGAAGATTGGAGAAGGTCAAACGCCGTCAATCAAGTTATATATCTTGCTTGAGCCTCCTAAACGGAATACGGAGAGATTTGAGACATCAGATATCCGATTCCCTACGCCACGAACACGTCGCGCTGGCACTACTTAGAACGTTTCCGCTCTCATATTTGTAGAACTTCTCGGAAGGACGGTCTGCGTCTACATACACCAGAGAGCCACGAGCAAGCAAAGATAGCAGCGATCTCAGCGCCGGGCGGTATTTTGTGTGAACGAAACCGGGATACAAATGTCGTTCTTGCGGAGATTTGCGTCCCTGCTTAACACCCAATTGTAGACGTCCTTTATTCGTACTTACCGAGTTTTTTTTGGTCCCTTTTTTTGAGAATTAATCAGCTTCCATGGGAACCGTTTCTCCGTGGGCTATATCCAGAGGAGGGGAGCCGAATATTTGCTGTACGACGTTGCCGATGTCATTTCACCGCCGAGACGATTCCACCTTTCCGATCAGCATTTCTCCATGCCTTTTCCAACAAAACTTCGTGTCAAGTCGCACAAAGTTTGGATTCGGCCTTACGTGTTCTGCCTGGCAGCTTTCGTCCGCGTTATGCTCGTACGTGCCTTGGGGCGTTGATGACTCGTACGCTATAATCACTGCCTCATTCAGACCTCAGATGGCATGAAATTCGAAACATCGTTCACGGTATGCCCTACCCTTTTTTTCCCATTTTGATTCTATTCATTTCATTTTTCCTTTTTTAAATTTCTGCTCTTCGGCACTGCGCGCAAGCAACACTACCACATCAGTCCGCCGGTGAAATGGAGAAAACCGCGGGCAGTGACGTCAAAACCGTGAATGTTTTCTAATCATCAGCCCCCTCCCCCACTCCATCACCCGTTTCTCTGATCTTCGCAAACGTCGATCCATGGTTGTAGAATTCAAAGCGAGTCCTTCTTCGAGCATAAATTGTAAGTCAGGCTCTCAACAGTGCGGATCGGACAAGCCATGGCGTCGGAAGAATCTTCGGCGAGGTCAAAGTCAGAGAAGGTGAAGTTCCTGGACAGCAAGCAGGCGTACGTTCGCGCGATGAACGCTGACGGCCTCACCGTCATTGAAGGCACAGGTACGAGCAGTGGACTTTTCTTCCTCGCCCCTTTCTAATTTTTTTTCCCCAACGTCTTTTGGCGGCATGACGAGAAGGATGCTGAAGTCTGAGAAATCGAAAAAAAACAGCAGCCTGGTGCGCGCAATGCAAAGCTATCGCGCCGGAGGTGGACAAGCTCGCCGAGGAATACGCCGAGAAGGGAGTCAGCTTTTACCAGTTCGACGTGGACGAGAACGAGGACATCGCCCAGGAGCTCGGGGTCAGAGTCATGCCGACGTTCACCATATTCAAGGACGGGGACATTCAGGAAGGCGTCAGCGGCGCTAGGCCGCAGGCCTTGCGAGAGGCGATCGAGAAGAACCTGTAAGGACCCGTCGTTGGGGTCGCGGATCTGTCACACACGCGTAACTGTTCAACAAATTGATCTCGAGCGTAACTCTGGATAACGTCAAATGAAATTTTTTTTCTCTATTTTATTTTTGGGCGCTCGGAGCTACGGCATCTTGTACGATTGAGCACATCGATGCGGATGGTGTCTCTTGCTTGACGCGAGAGCCGGCTGTGAATCAGTGTAGTGGCTGCTTCGTCGTTCGTCCGTATTAGACGGCTTGCAGTAGCCAAATGTTTTGAGACTTTTTTTTTAGTATCCCGCAGGACGAGACCGTAGCGTTCTGGCTTGTGCTGGAGCGCAGCCGAGGCTTCAAGAGCACGAAAGAAATGTTTCCCAGGCGCTAGAATTGCCTGGTAGACTTACGGAGCATGGAGATATATAGCAAGGGCACACGTTTCACAAGAAAATCGATGGCGCAGACGGGGGGCGCCGGGCAGAAGCTTGAAGAAAAATGCAGAAAGACTACGTCAGATGTCTGGAAGTGTGGGAAAGCGTGCTCGAAAATTAGAATTAAAAGAAAGTAGTCTTCCGACCAAAGGCGTAACGAAACATTTGGCGCTTGAAGTATCAAATGAGTACTTTTGGATGAAGCAGCAAAGATCGCAAACTCAGTATTCGCGACTAGTGATTGGATTTACGCCTTCCTTCGTTCTTCTAGCCAGACAAGCGTGCACATTGCCTGGCTGCTGCTTGACTCATGAACTCATCGTCCTTCCTATCGTAATTTCATACCGCCTAAAAAAACAGGAGTAGAGGCGCCGAAGAAAAATTCGGCGAGCTCTCAAGCTGCTCCTCCACGCTTGGATTCTCCAACTGAGCTGATATGTGTTTGCCCAACGAACGACAAGACAGAAGAGAACAGAATTCAACGTGCAAAGAAATTAAAAAAAAAGAAAATATCCTCCAAAGGGAGGGGAGGGGGGCCTTCAAATGGGGTATCAAGAACCAAAATACAGCGAGCGACTGCGCATATGTACATCAGAGACCAGACAAGATTTGTAACGTGGAGTTTTGGTGCGAAGAGCAATGCATTAGTACGACGCAAAGCCGCGCGACCCCCGACGCGTAAAGGATCGTCGGGACTATCAGCGGCCGGGCTGAGCTTCGACGGTGATTTCTGAGACCGGAGTCACCTCCACTGATACGTCCATGTCAGCATTACTCTCTTTCGCACACGGCACATGTGGATCTTGGGCGGGGGAAATGTACCTGGGGACGCCGGTGGGATGATAGCCAGGTTCGCCGTCTTGGTCGCGCCGCACAGCACAGCGCCAGACGACTGGGCGTTGTAGAGCGCGGTTGCAAGGCTGCTCATGGCCGTCATGGCCGCGGACGAGCCCATCTGGCAGTAATTCAAGGTCGGGTAGAAGCACAGCTCCGGCTGGTCCGTAGGCGTCACCGCGGGGAGGTCAACGGCTGGCGGCGCAGTCACCGACGGACACGAGCCGTCCGTTTGCGCTGCGAAGAAGACCTTGGTTCCGGTATACGTGAGGCACGGGGCAGAGGGGCTGCAGGTTATTGGGTACTGTCGTTTATCCAGGGGTGAGGCAACAGCAAGGAAGGCTGAAGCCGTAAAGGCGACGAGGCTGAAGTGCAACATCTTTTGTTTTTTTTTCTCTTCTTCCCGTTTTCGTAACGTTGAAGTTTGTTTTGGGATGAGCAGGTAGCTAGAGAGGGCAACCGAGTCGTTTGAGGGTTATATCTTTGGTCTCGTGGGAAAAAAACTCTTGGACAGGGCAAGCCATCGACTTAGCGACCAAACCTACGCGCGGCCTTTAATACTTGCGGTTTTCAACGAGGATCGGGGTCGATTAAGGCGGAGTCCATTGACGATTGTTCGTCCGAACGGCGTTGACCATGGTACAATCCAAACCCCCCCGTCGTCCGATCGCACACCCGTAAACAGGGCGGGATCATGCGGGTAGCAGGACGAGTAGGACGGGACGTGCGACACCTAGTGAAGTAATGAAAGAGTGGTGGCAAGGGTGGGCCAGAGCAGCTGTAGCTCCTCATTTTCGGGCAGACGTACGCGGCCAACGGGGAGCATGCATCGACCAGCGGACGGACGACTGAACGCAACAAATGCCATGCGGCCAGCGAGCACAGAGGTAAGACCTGGGGTGCGCCTTCGAAGGCCGGGGGAGCACGAGGAACCTGTCGTGCCCATGGCGTCACACCATATCAGAGGGCATCGATGAAGGCATATCCCAGCCCGGGTAATCTGCAAGGAACGCGGCGGGAAATGGAGGATGCGGAGACCTCTGGCGAGGGCAAATTTCCCCTCCCTCTCGTCCTTATCGACAGCACGCATGGGGAACGAACGGGTCCAGCCGACCGGTCACAGAAGGGCGTGATGTTGGTAGGGCCTAAAGCCTCGAGCCCTACGCACCAAAGCCGGCGAGAAGCATGCCTGGAGCGCGTGCAGCGGACGAGAGAAAGGTGGACGGGCAGAGCAGCAGTTCCATCGCCTTTGCCCAGCGCGCAGCACGGCACAGAACTGAGCTGGTCAGCAAAGAGAACACGGTGGCCGTGGGAGCTGTGCCGAGGAGGACGGACACGTGCAGCGGAGGATCCGCTTCGTACTGAGGCGCTCACTCGCCTTTGCCTTTTGGATCGGAAAGAAAGATGACCGCTGGAAAGTGGTCGGCTCTGGGACTTTCTCAGTGCCGATCGGCAGCTCGATACATCATTCGTCGACAGCGCACATGGACGGCGCTCGCATCACGCAACAGTCCGAAGGGGACGCGTGTGCATTTTTCTTGGACAGTGGCAGCGAAATCTCTTGGCCGTCTGCGTCGCGTCTCCTGTGGCATGCGCATCGAGCCAGCGTGCTGTTGGTCAACTGCCAACCCGCGGACAAGGTCAACTTCAGATCCGTGGAAGCGTTGCGATGGCTGGATGCTGGGAAACCCGGCCGGAAGCGTTCCGCTCAGCTTTGTGACTGCTTGATAAGCATCCGGCCGCTGATCATCACGTCCAGACCCGTCGCACGAGGAGGACATTGCACATGCGTGACGGAAGACGGGGCGAAAAGACACAGGAGAATTCGAAACATTCGTACGACATTCGAGAACAGGGATCGACTTCATGCGCCGCAGCAACCAGATGCCGCCGATTTACGCCACTACAGTCACACACACCAAGACTCCTTCATTATCCAACATCTCCTGGAGACGTCACCTGTCTCTCCCAAATGAACAGACTCACAACCCAGCAATCCCAAGACCGTACATTCAGATCGTCACTCATTAAAGTCGTCCAGAAATGTTTCCAAGGCTTGTCAGCGGCCTGCTCAGACTCGACAGAGGCCGACTCGAGCTCGTCGTTGGCCGCTCAAATTGCGGTCGACTGGTCGATCCGTAGTGCATCAAATTGTAGAACTTGCCATGCTCGTGCCCAGCTGGCTTCAAGTGCTCCTCTTTGCGCTTTTTGGTCAGTCGTCGACGTACGCGGACCGTTGGTTGCTCCTCCTTGCCCGTTTTGCCTTTGTCCTCCTCTTCCTCGTGCAGAGAGTCAAGCTTGTGCTGCGAGGCGTACATGTCCCAGAGCTGCTTCTTGGTGTCATCCTCGTCCAGTCCAGGCTGGCTCGCTGCCGCTTCCGCACCGAGGATGCGGAATGGCTTAAGACTGCTGCGGCTGCTCCGCAGGCGGCTGCTTGCCGACATCCGGCGATCCCTCGAGCTCAAGCCATAGCCTTCCTCGGGCTCTACCAAGGCTTGCTCCAACTCTTTGGCGCTCGAAGAAGGAGATGGAGAATGCACACGAACCTCCGTCCTCCCCGTGTCCGCCGCACGATTAGCGTCATTCTCGTCGCCACGAGAGTTTCGTCGAAGCTGCCTTTCGAGATCACCCTTCTCAGCCCGCATCTCCTCAAGCTGGCGCCGCAGAGCTGATACCTCTTCAGTATACCGAGTCTCGCGATCGCGAAGCAAGGCATTTTCGTTTTCCTGATTCTGCAGTCTTGTCCTCAGATCCTGCGCGCCTTTCTTAACTTCTCGAAGATCCTGCTCGAGCTTTTGAACTTGGCGCTTTTGCTCAAGCAGAGCCGCATCCCTTCCATCGAGCTCAGTCCTCAAGTCCTGTGCCTCTTTCGCCAGGCCTGATTTTTCAGAATCAAGCTGTGTGATTGCCAATCGGTCCGAGTCGGCCCGTCGTTCAAGATCAGCAATGATGACTTGCTGTTCGTCGATCTGCGCCGTTTTCTCCTTTAACGTCTTATTCAGTGTGGATTTTGCTTGTTGCAGCTTCTCTATTTGGACCTCTAATCTTGCCATCTCTTCTTCATCCCTTGCTCTCTGCTCGTGAAGATACCCAATTTTCCCTTTCAGAACCGCAATTTCCGTCTCCGCTTCGTCAACCACCGATTTCAGACGGCCAATTTCGTGCTTGAAATCTGTCGAGTCTCGCTCGTATCGCATGATGGTTTCTTTCAGTTCATGGACTTTGCTTTCAGAGGTCTCCATTCTTTGGCTGACAATTTCATGTCGTTCCCGCAAGTCAAGTATCTTCTGCCTCTGCTCAGCCATTGAACTGCGGCCTTCAGCAACTTCGGATAGTGCTGCAGAAAGTGTTGCCTCGAGGCGTTCGTTTTGCGTCCTCAGCGTCGACAGTTCTTTCTCAGCTTGACTGAGCTTGATCTGAACGTTTCGCTTTGCCATCTTCGACGCCCCCAAGCGAACTCGAATGGACCCAAGAGCATTTTCATGACTTGCACGTATAGCCTGACTCTTGCGGAGCTGGCTTTGAGTGTCGCGACCCTGTATAGTCAGTTGCTTGATTTCGTCGTGAAGCTTGCCAATTGATGCCTCTGATGCGCGCAACCGCTCTCCGAGTGTGACGTTTTCTTCATGGCTCTGCTGAACCAGAATTTTTTGCCGCGTAATTTCCTCTGAGAGATTACATTTTGCAACTTCAAGTTCTGAATTCGACGACTTTGCGATTTCGTATCTGTCGACCAAGTCTTGATGCTTCTTTTCTAAGGCTTTGATCTGCTTCTGGGCCTCGGCAACTTCTTTCTCCAAATTATGATTGATTTCACGTAGGTTTTGTACCTCGTGATTGCTATCTCGAAGTTGATTTTCAAGCTCAGACTTACTGGCTTCAAGAGAGGAAACCCTTTGTTCCGACTGACCAAGCTCTGATTCAATTTGCGTCTTGACCTGGTGCGATCTCGAAAGCTGCTCTTTGAGTTCCATCATGGTCGCCTGATTTGTCGCAGCGGTTTCAACGTTCTTACGTTCAAGCGCTTCCAGCTCGCCCAGTTTACTTTCAAGCGTCTCAAGCTTAGAAGTCAATACTGTAACTTGCTCGTTAGCAGCTTGCGCGATCGAGCTCTGGACCTCTTTGCAAGACAGCGCTTCCGTCAAAGATACTCTCAACTGTTCCATCTCGCCATTTGTCTTTCGGCTCAGGCTACGCACACATTCCAGCTCATCTTTCAGAGCATTCTGAGCCGCCACTGCTGCTTCAAGTCGCTCACGGAGCTGCTTGCAGGTGTCTTGCTCCTGAACATAACGAACATGCAGGGACTCTGTTTCTAATCGAAGCTTTCCAAGTTCGGCATCGAGAGACGATTTCGCGGTTTGCAAAGCCGAGTTCTCTTTTTTAACCGATTCGAATTCATGCCGAACCTCTGATAAGATATGTTTGATCGAATCAACGTGGCTCTTTTCTCTGCCTAGATGCTCGTCGAGCATTTTGCTTCGTTGACGCTCGGCTTCTAGATTTGCTTCAGAATTCGACTGGGACTTCCTCGAATCAACAAGTCGCATCTCAACTTCATAGCGGAGTTTCTCAGACTCTTTGAGCTTGATCGAGCACTGACTGAACTCGGACTGAGTTTGCAACAGCCTTTCGTTCAATCCATGAAGTTCAGAGTGCAAATCGGTAATCGCCTTTGCAGAGCCTACCTCGGCGTTTTGAGCTTCTTTGAGTTTCATGCGTAGCACTGAGATTGACTCTTCGTATTCGGTGATGCTCTGCTCAAGATTTGCGACATGTCCTCTGAGCTCATTTTCGCTTGCGTACGAATCACGCAAGCGAGAATTGGCTTGCTCTAAATCCTGTTCAACTGTTTTCTTGTGTTGCTCCAGTGAATCAATCTTGTTCTGTGCATTCGCCAGCTGCTCCCGAATTGATTTGATGAGATTGTTAGACACTGTTGCACGCTTCTCGTGGGTAGACACCTTTTTTGTGAGCTCACTGTGCAGAAGCAAGAGCTCCTCTGTTCGTTGTTGCTCCTTTAGCAGCGCTGTTCTTGTGTCGTGCAGAGATTGTTTGGCTTCTTCAAGTTTCGAATTGGCCTCGTACTGCGCCTTCTGGTTGTTGACAGACTCTGTCTCTAGGCCTGATATTTTCGACTGCAATTCTGCCACCACTTTTTCATGTCTTTGCTTAATCGCCTGCAGGGAAGCGATCTCACCCGAAAGTGCAACCGAATGACGCTTCAAACTGGCTGCCTCATCCTCAACGGCTTTGAGAGTGGCTGCATGTTGCGCTCGATGGCGCTCCATCTCGTTCAGGAGATCTGATTCACTTTCCCTAAGCTTCTCTAATTGCGCACGCAGTGAAGCTTGCAGTTCAGCAGACTGTTGACTCCCCTTTTCCCGCTCAGAAATTTCATTTTGCAAAGTATGAACTCGAGCCTCCAGTTCTGTGACTCGATACTTTGCAGCTTCTTGGCTCTCCTCAAGTCGTCCTTTGGTAAGCCTCAGTTCCGCAGCTACGGCTGCTTCTCTCGATTTAAGATCCTCTAGTTTTTCTTGTAAAGATTCACGTATGTGCAAATTCTCCTGCTGCTCCTGTTCAAGTAGAGTGATTTTACTTTGCAGAATATCGTTCTGACCTTTTAAAGACCCTATTCTCTTGTCTGCAGACTGTTCCATTGCAGAGCGCTCCGTTTGCAAGCGCTCCACATCTGCAGCCAACTCCGTCTTCGCTCTTTCAGTCTCTAACAACCTCTGCTGCAGACTGGCCTCAGCTTCTTGCCGTTCTTGAGCGCTTAAGGTAACGCTCGCAAGCCTCTCACGAAGCTGCTGTATCTCCTTCTCGAGATTTTCGATTCGGAGCAAACTCTCTTGTTTTCTTGCTTGATGTTCTTCCTCTAAATGCTGCGTCTTTTGAAGGGCCTCTTCTTTTTCTGACTCTAGATGCATGAGCGAGTCTTTCAAATCCGATGCGTTCCGTTCGGACTCATGGACTTTCAACTGAAGCGAGGAGATCTCAGCTTGACAATCGCGAAGGTGATCCTCTAGCTCCTTGATGCGCTGCTTTGCATTTTCTTTGGCTTCTTCATGCTTTGATTGTAAATGACGCACTTCATGCTTGGCCTCGGCTTCCAACTTTCGAAGTGCCTCGAGCTCACTGCTCAACGATAGTTCTATTTGTTCGTGTGTCTGAAGAGTATCTCGAAGACTGATTGTTTCGGCTTCTAAATCTTTAATTTGATGTGAGAGATCATTGACCTGGGCAGCGGCTTCTTCTTCTCTTTTCGACATCTGATCACGCAAGTCGTCAGCCTTCGTCAAGGCCTCAGTTTTAGCTTCTTCGAGGCGTCTGAGTTCTTTCTCCAGAGTGCTCAGTTTGGCCTCTGTATTCTCTCGTTCTTTTGAAAGCTGTTCAATATGATTTTTGGCTCCAGCAAGTTGTAACTCGCTCTGTTCGGAGAGCTCCCTTAAGCGATTGACTTCATCCGTCAATTTAATGACGGTCTGCTCCAGTGTCTCCTTCTTTGTCGACAGTTGGGCTATGGAACGTTCATTGTTTAAAGCTTCGCTCTCCAACCTTTCGATTTCTTTCCTTGCTTGGGCAAGCTGCTTCTCGATCTCATCCTTCGAGGTCTGCAGCCTAGTGATTTCGGCCGTCTTTTCGAGAATGGTTCTTCGTAAAGAAGATTCCGTTTGCTGTAAACGTTGCAAGCTGTCACTTTGCTCGCTATTTTCACGTAACAGCGCCTCTGCTCTGATCTGGCAAAGCTGAAGGATCTCTGAAGGAAGCTTTTGAGAGCTAGAGCTTCTGCTCCTCTTCCCCTGCAGGGCCGGGCTGCTGAACGGTGACAGCGGCGGGGACAGAGGACGAGAGATGTGAAACCCAAGGCCATCGTGCTTGGAGACTGCATTGGACCCGCCAAGTGCCCGGAGGAGGGCGTCTGCGCGTATCAAGTCGTCTTGCAATTTTGCTTCCAGGTCCTTGATGGTAGCATCACTCCTCCTTGCGGCTACATAGCTCTTGCCGCGCGAGGTTTGTAGTGCTTTGGCGTGGCTTCGAATACTGGCTTCCTTGACCGCAATCTGAGCGGCTAGACGGAGCGCCAATTTTCTCGCCTTGGCAGCGTTCTGCTTCTCGGCGACAGTCAATTCCTTCTGCCGTACCAATTGCTTCCTCAGGTCATTGCGTTGCCATTTCAAGAGTCCGACATGACCCAGAGCCGAGGTCTGGGATTCAAGGTCTGGAAGAATCTTGCTTCGCGACTCGGAAGAAGGTGATGAGTCTCGGGTGCTCGAGCCTGAGCGGAACAATGAAGAAACGGAGCTGTCCATTGTCTACGCCAGCGAGCACATGGCGCTCCCAGGGAATTTAGACTCGATTCACCCCGCGAGAACGCAAAGCATCGAAGAACGAGGTTTTTAGGGTCGGTGAGTGAATTTGTGACGATGGCTGACAGTGGGGTGATTTCACTGCGTGTCCGCCATGCAGGGCAGTGGATACCGACACTTTTGCCCGCCCTTTCCCGACGTCCGGCTGAAACCTGTCTTTCGTTTGTGAAACAAATACTGCAAAGGTCACAGAGGCACTGGAGCGGAAATATCAAGACGCAGGTCGTCGAAAGAGCGGGAGAAAGCGTGTCTGACAGCTGGGCTCTTTGTTGACGTGCCAGAGCAGCAGAGCTGAGCTTGCTGTCGATGGGTTTTCTGACGTATCCCTCACGTGATGTCACACGATCTGCTGCTCCATTGGCTTATGGTCAGGCCCGGACGTTGATCGCGGCGCGGGCAAAAACAATGCGGCTCTGGAGGCTGGAATGCCCGCTTGGATTATGCTTGTTCGGAAGCCAGGCAAGATTCGACGCGCATGAAGAAGGCAGAAGGGCCGAATGCCCCCATTCGAGGCGTGCTGGAACTGGCAGCGTCTCCCGCAGCTTGACGCAATGGACAGAAGTCGATTGACTCGATAGGACGCACAGTACGCGCTGAGATGACGCTGGCGCGGCACAGCTCTCCATACAAGCACATGGTTTCACAAAGGCGCCAATGGATCCAACTTTGGCCGCCTTAACCTTATTCTACGGGAGGTGCAGAACGCCGATTTTGCCCTTCGTTCCCCGAACTTATCGCTCTGTGCGACACCCATCGCGTGAGCGTTTCTGCCAATCTCTGCATGTGACGTTCAGGAAAGCCCCAAGCGTGTCCAGGAAGATGGGCCGTCACAATCAAAGTCAGTTGCTTCAAGCAAAGGCCCATTGCCAGCGTTGATCGTTTCCTTGAATTTGCGCAACCCATCCCTTTGTGCAAAGAGCATGGAGTGCGACAGAACGGCAGTGCGTAGGCTCGGGAATCAAACGATGAAGCAAGTAGTCCAAAAAGGCGAGATGCATCTGGTATCCATCGTTAGGCATCTTGATACGTTCAAGCGCAAGATTCCCTTGGAGCGCATCTCCTTTGGATCGGCCCTGCGCTATCCATCTACCAGATCGCATCTCGAAACTTTGCCACCATCTGGCAAATCCGGTTTTGCCGCAGAGAAGATCCTGCAGATCGACGTCGAGAACTAGTATAGGCAATGCCAATTAGGTGCGCGCGTCCGCATTGGCCAGATTAATCTACGGCCATGCGGCCAGGCTCGATTTTATACATGCTAAATTCTTGTTTGCACCACGACGAGTCTCGATCCTTTACTTTGCCCACGCGATCTTGCTTGGGGTTGAGTAGTTGGCCTAGGTCTGGATACGTCGGGATCATCGAAAGACTCAGCCACAACGGAGCGGTCGATCAGAACATGTCTGATGCTTTCCTCTCTGGAAGTGCCCAAACACGTCGCTCGCCCGCAATTAAACAGGAACGAAATGTGGGTTGTCCGCCTTTTTATCTCCGATGCATACATTCTGGTAGCCGTGTCGAAGGCCAAATGTTGCGCTGCTTGCAGGCTAAGTGACGATATGCAAAGTAGAAACTGCGAAAACGGCACCCTAGCCCTATGTACTCGAAATGGAATACATGTCCTCTTTCAGCACTTGATGCGACGATCAACTCTAGAACGAGCTCATGAACTGAGGCCGCTGACAATTCACAATTCGTATTCCGAGATTCTTTCTCATGGCCACACAAAATCCTGAAAGGTGCTCTACGCACACAGTTGGTTTAGTTGGTCCAAGGCGGCTACTCTCTTTGGGATGAACAATAGGGCGCACCCGAGACGTGACATGTCCAACATCTTCCAACACTCGCTGATCCGCTGCCCGAGGATCGCGCAAGACGGTGGATTCCACCACATCCTACTGTTCGCCAGGTCTCTCAGGCCCGAGGCAAAAGAAAAGTCGTCCACTGGAAAAAAAAGCCTGATGTTTGGAACCGCCGAAATGTGTCTGCCCCAACCTGCCTCTCACTCGTCCGCAGTGGAGACGTCTTGCGAGGATACCACGCAACCCCCCGTCTACGACAAGTTCGTCCCTGAAGACGCCATTAGCCGGTCCGCTTACGCCTATGCGTCCCAGCATCTTCATCCTGCGGTGCTGACCCACAGCCTCCGCGTCTATTGCCTCGCAGCGCAGCTAGCCACCAAACAACCGAGCAAATACGCCAGCGAGAAGCACCAGCCGCTTCTCTTTACGGCGTGTGTTTTTCACGACGTGGGCACCGCGGCCGCGCACGACGGCTCGCAGCGCTTCGAGGTCGAAGGCGCCGATGCCGCAAGTGCGTTTCTCAGGTCACATGGCGTACGGGACGATGAAGCACACGATGTTTGGGTCGCCATCGCTCTGCACACCTCCCCTGGAATCGCGGAGCGCATCTCAGACCTCGCTCGCCTGGTGCGCGTAGCCGTCCTGGCGGACTTTAAACGACCAGCTTCACTGGAGGAATTCAGCGGCGCCTATGTTCAGGCTATAGAGCGTTCCTTTCCGAGATTGAACATCGAGAAGATCCTCGGCGATGTAGTGGTCGAACAAGCCCTGCGCCAGCGTGAGAAAGCACCACCCGCATCCTGGCCAGGCGTGTTGCTCAGATCGAAGCTGGAAAATCCGGATTGGGACGGTGTGAACAAAGCATTCTAGACACGATTCTTGAGTGACGCTATTCCGTGTACTGAATACTATCTGGTGTTTGCTGGATATTCATCGGTATTACCGACTCAACATCGGTGCAAAAGTCTAAAATATCAGACAAAACTCCATCATTCCTCGTTCATCAATCATCATGCTTAATAGTGTCACTATGTTTCAAAAAAAATAAAATAAACTATATAAACAATAAATAGAGAAAGAGAGATCATCTGGTGCCTCCCAAAGCAGCGGCATACGCTAGATACCAAGTTCTGCTCCCGCTGCCAGCTACCCACATCCAATCCCACCCTGCCCCAAGCTTATCCGCAAAGAATTGCCAACTCTGCTTGGGGTCCAGCTGTGCCAAGTTTGCCATCAAAATACCTTTCCATGCTGGGTCCACACAGTTGATTAGTCTCCGCAGATTGATCCGACTCGAGCAGTTATAGCCGCCGGCGTAGCCCACAGCTGGAAGGAGCACAGTAGTTTCCGCATCTGGAACAGAGGACAAAGGGTAAGGAGATTGGAAGTATGCTGACCACTCTCGGGATACGAATGAATCCGGTCGCATGTATGGTGTTACCGGAGAGATAGGCAACATGTGAATTCCTTCAACGTACTCCGAATTCTGGCCAAAAAATGTGGTGTGGTCTATCTTATTCTCGAAGAGGATCCCACTCGTAATCTGGGGAGTGAAACGTGGCGGTTGAGCCGTGTTGTTTGCGTCGAAGTAGAAGTAATGATTCAAGCTTCTCCGCAGAATGGCGAGCTGCAGGTTGCCTCTAGCCTCCATTGCTGAGTCACCTGTGACTTTACCCCATAACTTCATAGCATAAATGGAAAAGGCATCTTCGGATGACGACTCTTCGTTTTTGCCATCGCCTGAAGGAAAGAGTCCTGTGGCCCACGAGTGTCCATTGAAAAAGTCAAAAGATCTACTTGGTGGAAAGTAGGGATCACCAGCATCAGGATTTGCGTAGTCGCGTATCAAGGTGTCAACCCACACCTTGTTCGATCCTCGTTTGAGCCAATCTGGATCTAGGGCCGCAATCACTGCCGCAGTGTGTACAAAATATCCATAATGAAAGTGATGGTCATTGTACAGCGTGTTGCCAAAGTCGGCGCCTATGTCACGATCCTCATAGCTTGCTGTGGACACAATACCTCCCCAGAGAGAGTCATATGCAAATGGCCAAACTTGTTTGTTGCTGATCCAGCGATCAAATGCAGCCTCAAGCTTTCTGAGGCCTTCCAATGCCAGTGATGATGATTTGCCGAATTTATTCACCGCGTATATTATAAGCGCAAATTTTGAAAGAGCCTGAGAAAATGTCAGTCTTATCTCCGCTGAGCTGAAAGGAACGGAAGAATAAAGCACATGAATCATACCTTTCCTCCGTAATACGCGCTGTCTAGATTTGTAAGCTTGTCAATGTCCAAGGCCAGCTCGGTTGCAGCAGCATCATCAATCTGAGCTGTCGCCTCATCCACCGCCTTCTTCACCGCGCCAGAACCTGGTTTCCACGGATCAAAATCTATGTCTGTCGGTAAATTCTGCTCTTGCAATAACCACATGTCCGCTTGGAGACCCCTCGCCTCGCCCTTCGTCGTGGTCCACAATGTCACACATGTTGATTGGTTGAGAGTGTCCGGCGACATCGTGTCTATGTGATGCGGCAAAGCAAACATGAGCAGTTGTTGGTCAGAGGATCCCGCCCGTCTCCATATAAAAGAGTAGTTTCCAGTGGCGCCATCGACAGATGCTGACACTGCAAGTGATGTCGCGTACGTACCAGCGGAGCCATCATACACCCTTTCTCCACAGCTGCCTGCGGTGTTTTTTGCGACTTGGATAAGGCCTGTAAATGATCCCGGGCCAATGATGGTATTGCTATCCTTGAGCACCATGGACGGTCGTCCAAAGGAACCGTCGGGTGTTATATATAGAAGCCAGCTGGTACCGTCCTTGAGTTGAATACGCCATTTATGCGTCTTACCACTATCAACGTCGCCAATCTCAATGAGATCGGTGAAAAATACACTGCTTTGAAGCAACGGCGTGGCATTCGTATACAAAGCGCTCACGAACCCCATTCCCTGGACAACTGGGAACCTTATCACAGGTTGCCCATCTGGCTTTGGAGTCAAATTGATATCTAAGGAGAACTGATCGTGAGAATCTGTCGTCAGAACCGTGTTTGTGTCTAATTCAGATGCGGACAATATGATGGATTCCACGTAAAGAGGCGCGGTAAAGAACTTCGGTGGTTCCCCTGACTGAATCGGGTCCCCATACAGAAGGCCCTGGCGATCGATGTTAGATACGCTCAGCCCCCAGCTATTGGCCAGCCCTCCTCGATCCGCGTCTCCTCCTTTAGCCCACGTAAGGCTGTACGGCTGTGGCCAGATCGACTGCCGCTGATCGTCGAGAAGAAGGTTCTCGTAGAACTTGTTGGTTTGCAATGGGCCTGATCTTGCCCTCACGCCGACTGGCGGTCGGGGATAATCTGAGCGAGGAGCAATTTGGCCAGGTGGGGGGTATGTGGCGATGGGAACGGTAAGAATGTTGATCTTGTTTACTTGGCCCGAGCTCTCTGATGTTGGCGGAAGTATTGTTGGCAGCGAAGAGTACGTGCTCAATGATGTGATATTGAGCTTCGTTGTCGGGAAGACAAGGCTTGTGGTTGGAAAAGGCGGTGCCGAGGGAATTCCCGTTGTTTCCAAAGATGAATGAACGACCTGTGTTATGGTCAGCCGCGATGGGGTCGGTCGGGTCCTGGTGGAATCCAGAATCTGTAGAAAGAGCTGTCGTCTATCTTGCTTCTCCTCTGTTTCCCCGTGTACTTACACCCTCTGTTGCTGGCAATGCATCTGTCGTCGCAGTTTGCGTCGACAAAGGGAAAGATTGGTTTGCTGTCGTTGCGGTTAAACAGCTCGTCGAAAGCGGCGTTGATATGTGTGACCACGACCGCACCGCATCAGCAGCGTCCGACTTGAAATATGCAGATGCATGGTTTGGCTATTACGGTTAGCAAAGTTGAGCAAGTGTCGAGCTCATTTCGAGGTTATAGAAGTAACTCATTTCTGGTTTGTGACCTGACAGGGTATCTTGCGTAGGATATGATTTTAATGTAACGGAAAGAAGTACCAGTATAAGTAGAAGGCCGAGCCAGAGACTACCACGACGTGGACTTTTCGATGGCGACAAGAGAGAAGATATATGCTGTTTCCCAACATCAGCTCCCAATGCTTGATTGTCCAGAGAGTTCATCTCACCCATTGTCGCGCCATATGACGAACGTCAGCAGACAATCGAGGTCCGATGCAGAAGCAAAAATTGACAAAGAAGGTGAGAACGGCCTGACGTACAGGCCGGAAAAGATACAAAAAGGCACGTAGGGGAAGAGAACAAGTGCGAGGAGATCTGAGTAGAAAGCGAACGTCTCTGCGAGGCTATGGATTTCTAATATACACGGATACCGCGACCAATTGCTTGGAACTTTGCTCAGCCTCCATACACGGCCGTCACGCTGGCTGTCCGCCGGCTGTCCGCTGGCCGCAGACGCTCTTTCCACGGCGTCCATATCCTTGGTGCGGCTGGATGCGAGTGGAGCTTCCAAGACCGTAGCGAGAGAGTGGACAAGAAGACATCTGGTAAGTGTTACCAGCTAGGCGAGCGGCAGACGTCTTAATTGATAGAGCAGTCTCCAGGTAAGAACCCGCTTGATGTCCAGAATCAGCCCGATATGGAGCCTGCTCCCCCTGAGTGACACGCTGTGCAACCTGGGACAGAGCTAATGAAGACGACACGTGATATGGCACATTGCTGAGGCATGACACACTGGATCACTCGGGCGAGGTGTGCTGAGCAATGACTTGCATGAAATGCTACATGGCCAGTACGGCTTTGCTCTTGGTGCTCGTTCCCCTTCGCCGTGATGGGATCGCTTCAAGCGTAGAACTAACCTGTTTTCGATGAACGAGAAGACAACGATGACGAAGGGGCGGCGTTTACCAATACAAGACGCAAACCGAGAGGTTTCCTGCGTCCATCAAGGAGAGAATCATCGACCTTTCTAGGTCTGTCACGACAGCTACGGAGGAACTTGCAATCTGCTGAGGAGGCGCAGGTTTTCTGGGGCTCAGGATGGTGCAACGAAGATTTTCTTGACAAGAAGTCATGCTTGACCTTGTTGAGCCGAAGGAGGCTGGTCACACTTTAGCATTGTTCAGAGTCGGAGACGGCTCCAGACCACCGCGCTTTGACTCCGCACATGAAGCTCGACCCCGTAGGCGAAGTAACACTCCGTTATTGCTACTTGCCAACGACGCTTCTTGTGCCCGCTGGCCCCGTGTAACAAACGATGATTTCGTTCGTCAAATTAACAGTAGCTACTTCCATCAGCACACTATCTACGCTGGCCAAGGGTAACTCGTTTTAGGCTAAGATTCGCACCGACAGCAGCATCGGCCCGGCATCCGACCAGGCTTGAATCTAGAGATCAGCCTTCCCAAACGATCTCCGCGTTCGCCGTGTCTGGCATAGGACGGTAGCACTGGACTCTTTCCCTCGTATTATGGTCGAGCTTCTTAATATCGAGGCGAAGAAGGGCTGCAGACGGCGTCAGCGAAGAGATCACGCCGCACAATCGATCCAAGATGGATGCGCTTTCGCAGTTTCTAGCCAACATTGACTCCACTCAGCGTAGAGACCACGCGGACAGAGAGTTCATCGTCAAGTACCAAAAACTCGCCGACGCCAAAGCAGCCGCGGACGCGCGAGCCCGGGCTGCTGAGAAGGTCTCTGCTGCGGGGCTGCTGCCGCCGCCCCCGCAAGAAGACGTTGAGAAACCTCCCGACCGCACTGCGACTCCGGTTGGAGCATTTTTCTATCGCAGTCCATCCTCGCCGAAATCACCATCCGTTACATCTCCGCCCGCATCGGAGCCCGCCGCAACTCTTACTCTGCGCCAGCAACTCGCTGATGCTCAGCGTGCTCGCACGTCGCTTGAGAAGGCGAACGCCCAGATCCCGAACCTGCTCGCTACCCAAAATGCGCAGACGCGTCAGATACAGTTAGCTGAGAAGGAGATTGCGTCCCTGCGCCGCAAGCTTCGCGACCGCGAAGACGAGATTCGCGAAAAGCAAAAGCTGGCCAGTGATGTGCAAGACGAGATGATCAGTCTGGGCCTTCAGCTTAGCGTGGCAGAGCAAAAGGCAGAAAAGCTGGAGGGCGAGAATAGGGCGCTGGTTGAGCGATGGATGAAGGAGATGGGCGGTAGGGCGGAGAAAATGAATCGGGACATGGGCTTTGATGAGGACGGGAAGAGGACCTGAAGAGAAGCAAACGATCGTACTTGCGACCCTTGCCCGAAGAAGGTGATCTTGTCGTCTCTTTCATGGCATTCCCTCAATGATGCACATCGGTCATCACCAACGCTCATCGGCCTGCATCCACATGCAACCCATGCCGTCATCTCTATGCAGACACAGGAATGTTGCAGAACATATCAGCTAAACTGCTCACTGGCGAGAAAGTGCGAAAGAGTCGAAGTCATCTGCTTTCTCTTACGCCTTTTACCATTTAATTCAACTGTCAACAACGCGTGCCTCCCTACCAGCACCAACTATCGAAAATGTGTGGCTGCCAGCGCGAACGAGATCGTGCATGTTTATCACCCTCATACGTGCCCGACCGAGTGCAAGCGATCGTCTACGAGTTCCAACCTAATGAGTCTGTGGATTGAGCTTCTACAATGCGAATAACCTAATGAATCGGGACGGACTTATCTCCCCGAGCTTTAGATGCAGGTGACAAATCAGAGGGGCGGGAAACTCACCCATATGATTCAGATATCAGACAGGATTTCTATAATGGATATCGCCTTCACAGGAACGTTAAAGACTGACCGGGTGACAATACAAACCACATGAGCTATTTCCCTTACACCAAGACATTGCTCTTTGTCTATTTCATTCTTCGCTTTTGTGAGCACTCAGCGTGATATCAACGAATCGAGACATGAAATCGACAAGCTCTTCTCTTTGCTGGCCTCGCCAGTCTCTTGCCCTTCAATTCACCATTGCAGACACCCAAAGCCTCACGGGTCCACTCCACAAAGTCGAGCGCAATCCACTACATACCGATGCTTGCAACTACTTTTCTAAGGACTGCTTGATAGGAGGATGCCCTAAAAACACGTCTCACAGCATTACTCCTAGTCACCGTCATGCTTCTGTATGTGATAGTTCTTAATTCGTTTTCATCCAAAGTCATTTGCGTGACTTTGACGTAAAAATGTGAACTGGCGTGATTCGTAGTGTTGTACCTGCGCTTTCGACTGGTCGCTGTAATTCTCGGCGGCTTGTGTGCATGGTAAACAGAGTCTACTTGGTTACCCAACTCTGCCTTGGGAGTACACAGATCTTTAGAGCATCTATATTGATCGGGAAAAGGAATCATCGGATTCATTTTTCTACTCTACATCTTCAAAAGATACGTCTTCCGATCTTATCATTACTCGAAGTCTTCTTTTTTTTGATGTTTTCCCTCATTTCTCGAGAACTTGCCGGTAGCTAAACTGAGCATTCGCTTGCAGCTCAAAGCGTTCAAAATTTTTACAGGCTGCCGACACAACTCTCGTACGACACATTTGCAAGACTGTATGCAACTTCTGGAAAGGCCAACAAATGTTTGAGTTGCGGATGATTCCAGTTGTGTTTACTTGAGTGCACGTATTTCAGGTCATGATTCCAATTTGTTTACTCTGCTAACACTCTCTTACAGCTCAAACAGCAATTTCAAAGCAGTTTTCTGCCACGTACGTAACTTTTATCCGGAAATTGACTTAAAAAACTTCAAAATGCATTAAATTACCAAATTGAGATTAATCTGTCTTTTTAGAATTCTTTGCACTACCTCCGGACTGTGTTGATTGTTGGTGAATCACCTAATTCAGATGTCCAAAATCCTGTTGCCTGCCAACGACTTGGCAACATAAACTCTACTCGTTTGTAAACAAAGCCCACAACCATCCACGCCAAATCAAAACGGCTTCATAATGGCAGTTCTTGGGCATCTTGAACGTCCGAACTGTGATGTTTTCGTTCGATGGAGACCTCTGAGTGCAGATGAGTCATCGGGGCCGGAGCTGGAGTACAAGACAACAAAGCAACCTTCTGAAAAAGGAGGAATGCAATCGGTGTCGCTCAAGTCTCAACTTCGGATTGGACCGCCTCCTAAGTTCGGCCGTCATCAGACATGGAAGAGTGGCGCATCTTATTCTCACGTATTCCAGGCGGACGACAAGAACGATGACCTTTACCAAAAGGTGGTCGCACCGAGTATCCCACAGGTTTTAGATGGGGCCACCTGTACCTTCTTTGCATATGGCCATACTGGTAGTGGAAAGTCGCACACTATAATTGGCCCTGACTCCGAAAAGGATGAGCAGCTCGGATTATGCTTAGCCGCCGCAAAGGATCTTTTCCAAGCTCTTGATGCCTTGAACAAAGAAAATGACAAAAGCGAAGACAGCGACAAGCGTGAACACGAGCTGGGTGTTGCAATCCGCGTGTTCGAGGTCAGAGGCAAGAGTGCATGTGATCTCCTCAATGAGCGGACTGAATGCTATATTCGCGAAGGCAGCGAAGGCACAGTGCACGTTCGCGGCGCCACCGAGTTACTGGAGGATGGCAGAGTACGTGTACGCCCAATCACCGCCAAAGTGTCATGGTCGTTTGAGCAATCTCGAGCAACAATTTCCGAAGCCCTTTCTCTGCGACAAGTCGGTTCTTCTACCGTTCATGACGAGAGTTCTCGCACGCACGCAATCATGGAGCTTGAAATTGTGAATCGAGCGCTGATGAATGCACGCGATGCAGTCATCGAACGGGAGTCTGAGCTTGTGCCTGTAGGCAAACGAGCAACTGATGTGTACGTGGAAGAGCATCAGGCGGCATTGATGTATTGCGAAGGTACATATGTAATGAGGCCCGACCGACCACTCAATCAAGCGCGAATCGACGCCGCGGAAGCCGAAAAACGGGAATACGAAAGCCGTGTTCAAGCTGCCGAAGCCAAGGTGGATGAGTGCTTCAAATCTAGCCGGCACCCAGGCCTGGGAGGAAAATTTGTTTTCGTTGATCTGGCTGGTTCAGAGTATTTTCACCAAGTCCTTGCGTCGTCAGAGAGGGTCGCCAAACAGAGCCCACAGGAGCGGCAGCAGGTCCGCCAAATCAATGCAGACCTCTTCGCGTTGAAGGAAGTGATTCGCGCCAGAGCTTCCAACCAGGCACGCGTGCCATACCGTTCTTCTCCGTTGACGATGATACTACGCAGCCATTTCGTAGGTGCACGTGTTGGGAATTCAGCCATGATTTTGACCGTGTCGCCTTCAGACTCTCAATTTGCAGCAACTATGAATACACTGAGATATGGTGATCTGGTAGGGAGTGCTAGGCTGGGTGAATAGCATTAGTCTCGAACAAGCAGTTTTTGATTTCACTTTGACGATGGCGATTCAAATAACCAACCAAAAGATTCAACTACGACGGAGCTGGTGATGGAATGACAGGAATGTTTTCGGGTGATAGCTACTGTTGTTGTTGTTGCCGTCCAGCACAAGGAGTGACAAAGTCGATAGTGGTGAATCTGAATGAGTATTTCCTGTCATGCAATGCACCTTCGAGTAAGAACTATCATGCATTCTCACGGACAATGATACGTTTTCAAAAGTAGAAAATTATGCTCTAAAAAGGTATTCGACGTCAACAGGAAGCAATATATACTTGCAATTCAGGTTGAACGAGGTCCTTAATCATGTTATATCAACGCTCCAACACGGTCCGATCTGTGTCACGTGTAAGCCACAGACGTCGATCGGACTGGGTCTCCTCCTAACCGCCAACTATCAAGAACAGATTGACAAACATAATCCCCTGAACCCAAACATGGATGCTCCAAATCCAAGGACCTCGGAGAAGTACTCATACAGGTAATTGTTTGCTACTACAGCCCTAGAGTTCCGAAGGCGAGAACGATGCCCTTCGAGAATGCGTCCCAACAACACTAGCGAGATCCGGGATCTCAACCCGACGGAGATGAAGGATAGATACATCACAAGAACTAAAACTCTGCGAGCCTAGCACACTTCACATCCAGCCAATGATTTAATAGCACGCTTTTTGGCGACCCGCATATCCACGGCATTTGAGTTGCAAGGAGCAAGGGGCTTTCCAAAGCTGAACCCATTTATTGACAACATATGCGTTTTGAACAACCATAGGAGCCGTCACCCCTTCACGCTACGAGTAGAGACAATGTTGCTGAAGCCGCGGGATTTGATGACTCTCGACTTCCGAGAGTCTCGGTGTTTGGCGTTAGACATTATGTTCAAAGCCGGTTAAACTTGCGGAACAAGAGGTCCTAACTGTGCGCGATAAAACGTTCGCTGTCGTGGGGAGCAGTTACTGGTCCGGAACATGGGGTTTTGTCCTCCTACGCAAGGACCCCTGAACATGGAAACCAAATCATCTTCCACTGGCGGCCACTGTGTTGTGAGAATAATAATAGACAGTCGGAGGTTGAAAGCATTTGATCCAAGCAGCAGCATAAAAAGCATATATGCACGCAAATGAGCTTGGCTACAAATTGTGACTTGTCGCTTCGCAACGTGGATGGCGATAAGATCAGGATGTGCGCCTCTTCGTGAACTCAACAGATAATAGACAACCGTGGAACTGAGCGGGAATGGGAACAACATGCTTGCCATTTATCGCGATGGAGAATTGCGGACGCACCACAACTTCGCTTTTCGGTTCAGGGAAGAGGTGTCGTTAACCGCGGGGACTACGTACAACCATCTGAAGCCTCTTCCGAGACTATAACAATACCACAGCCCTCGCACGAGTTCCTGCTTCAAATCGACCATTCTTCCACAGTCTCCCATATCTTCTGACACTTAGTCTACAACTTCAACCACGGAGAGCTTGCCAGACTCACTGCGAATCGGACCATGACGGCCAGACTCCGTGGTTCAGCTCAATCGGAACGGGCAGCAGTTGGGTTAGCGATCCACATAATCAGCTCGATGGTACAGACAAGCAGCCAGGACGTGAAGCATGAGGATGAGCAAAATTCCAAGGCTGACGAGAGCGGCTCGAATCCGAGCTACTACCCAACCTCGTCTTCCGACGGCAAATGAGCAAACACGGCTATGACCGGTGCATGCCGACCGTTGTGCAGAAAACCGAGGCGAGACTGTAATGATAGATGTGTGATTATGGAGTGAGTTCTCCGCCCTGGGCACCGTTCTCCTCGTTCATAAATCTGGACGTGCTAATGTTTGAAAGACGCTTCAGCTTATATCAGTGGCAGAGTCGAATAGAAAGTTCATATCTCCCAAGACGTTCATTTAAGCTTCACAACATAAAAGTCTATTTCGCAAAGTCCCTCTCCTATTACTGCTCGCTTAAGCTCTCCGCTATCCGCGCTTCGTCTGTCCCTTTCTACGCCAGCCCATGCCACAAATCCGCCTCGCTTTCCCGATTCAGCATTTACCCGTAACTTGGTCACTCACATGGCACGTCCCGGCTTCATAGCTGGCATTTATTTTCCTTTCTTCGCATCTTCTCTTTGCACCACGGGAAAAAATGCCGGGCTAGTGCTTGCTGTAAACCCATAGCCTTTCGAGCCTTTCACACTACTATGTTCGAATCAGCTATGCAAAATCGAAAGTTCTCGAGAAAGCAGATGCTTAAGAGCAAATGCAGCGCGATATTATCAACCATGTGAAGGTTGTCTATCTACCTTCCCGAGAAGAGGATGTTTTTTCTGTCTAACCAATGTAGCCTAGTCAAGGAAACTTACTTGAAGCTGGTCAGGCAACTCCTGACACGTAAGGCTCTCCGCATCATTGTTAAAGAAATAGTCGCAAAACCATTGTGGTAAGTGATAATGCGGGCTTGCTTGTACGTCCAGAAATTTTGCCAAAACTCTTCCCACGCACCGGATGAAGCAACTCACCTTTCATTTGCCCCGACTTCTTCATGTGCTGCGTACAGGCCTCAACCAGTTTCTAATAGCTTAAATGCAACTAGAACCGAGACGTGTACAGTTTTTTAACGTCAGAGCACATCAGCACACCGTGGCCTTTGACAGAAGATTTGGGTCTTTATGGACCGTGAACATTATGCATTGCGGGCCTTATAAAATCTTCTGCATTTCCGGTAGAAGCATTACCCGAAACGATCATAGGCGCTGATATGTTTGATATGGGGCGAACGCTTGTAAGAATTGGATGATGTGATTAATATGCGAGTATCTTTACGTTACGACTATGTATCAAATCCTACATGCGAGGAATCTGGTTTGAGCGGAAAGCCTTGAATGGAAATATTGGGGGTTCCCACGTCGAGGAAGAATGCGATCTATATGTCCTTACGTGCTTGCCTCGGGCGTGGGCTTTGTATAGCTAGGTCGAAGTATTGCCCCTGTTGCGATCCCCTCCGGTTCTCGGCAAGGCCGCCTAGATTGCTGATTAGAATGGCCCTGTTGCAGGGTTCTGATATGGGTGTTCTGTATCCAAATTGGATCTACAGGCCCTGAACCTCGATTCCTGCGTGTGATGTGATGATGCAAAGCCCTGAAATTGTCCACTTGGAGAAATTTTTGGATCTTTGCAGGGCATAGTCCTTGTTTGTATGGATGGTTACAACATCTTTCTTGCTTATTTTTTGATACGGCTCTACAATTCTTCCTGGCTGCCCTTACAATTAGCAGCTTCCGTTTCTTTTAGGGGAAGAAGGAAAGAAAAGTTTAAAAAAGTGAAAACAAGAGCGAAGAGACATGGGCGATCATGTATTTATCTGAACGAACGAGGCGGCTCGTGACGTGAATCAGGGATGCATGCTATGAAGCTCCAAGGTTATCATGAGGCCGGCTTTACACAAACAAGATGCGCTATGCTTGTACCAAATTTCAAATTTGTTTAGGCGCGAGGCAGAACAAGGTGACGAAGAGTGATGTGTAAAGGTCAGCCGAAGTCGACCTTCGTTATGGCATCAAGAAAAGGGCATTGCAACATCAGAGGGCAAGCTGCGAACCGACAGTCAGCCAGGCTTGGCTTCGTCTTTGTCTCAATCCACTGATCAAAAGAGGTTCCATTGCATGTCTTCGGCCTCGGCTGTCCTTCTGGGCTGCAGAAGAATCATCAAGAGGGCGGCATGCTTGAGTTCTCGAGTACTGTAAATTGGAGAATGACTTGCGACTCGCTTCCACGGGGAGATAGGACGGGAGCGAACATCAAGTAAGTTCTCGCCAAGTAGCGACAGGAAGATAGCTGGACGTGGCTGTAGGCATCTATACTCTGCCAATCGGGGAGAGCATCGTTCTGGCCGATGGCTCTTTGTAGTGCGGAGGATGCACACCATGGATGTGCGGACCGTGTGGCATCGAGCATGTGGAAGCTTACGGCATGGTTGTAGAGCCCACTGTTGCGTAGAAACGGCGCGCCATGGCGGATTAAGATATTGCAAGTACAGCGATTGGAAAAAAGAAAGATTACCGAGCACATGAACGAAACGAATGGGAAGCAACATTGAAGAACGAGGGCGTTGTTGTGCTGCGGAGCTTAACAGGCCGCCAAGGAAGTGCCGCCAATGTCATCACGCAAGTTACAGATGAAGCCAGCTCGGCGGAATTCACCATCCACATCCGCGCGTCGCGGAATGCATCTTTCAAACCAGCACAATCGTCCTCATTCTCACTGATCTTGTCTTCTCCCTTCCGCTGTTATTCAGAAGCTCCTTTTTTTCCACGTCAGCATTGACTGTTCTCCTTCGCTATCTCCCTGCTATCCCCCTTCGCGAAACGGCATATCGAGACCCACTTTGGTTCCCTCACAGACGTATCGACGCCTCTCCCGGTCTTTGGCTCGCGTGCTACTCGACCAAAGTCGTTCCTTCTCGCTCTCATGTCTTGTCTTGGTCCTGCATGAATATGGTGCGCCTATCACATCTGCTTGCTCACGAGCGGAGACAAGAAGTCTGCACTACGCCGCTGCTGCGGTAACAGCAGACCTTGGCGACCTACAGAACCGCAAGTTACTTCAAACGATACCATTGGGAACAAGGAGCGTTGGACAACGGGAGGCGGGTGCAACTTATCACCCATGGCGACGCATCTCTCCTTCGTTGCTGGACTCCTCGTCCTTGCCTACCTATCGACGTTCATCCTCTTCGCTATTATCCGCGTCCTTTTCGGCGTTTCCATTCAGCGACTATGGTGGAGCGGTTTGCGTCGCATAGCCTTCACCCCCAAGGAAGGCGTCCGTATCGATATTCGGGGTCTCCGACTTAGCCTACACAGACCTACGTTCGCGCAGCCGACCTGGCTAAGCGTCGTGATCACCGAACTGAAGGTGACGCTTGATCTCAAGGCGCTGGGCAACAAGACCGCACGCAAGAGATGGGGATCGCGTTGGGTTGGAGGCGGTAGTATGCCGGCAAGCCGATCGCACACGCCACCTAGGACACCAGTGAAAGTTAATTCGCCGGGAGTGGACGAGACGGAAGTTGAAGAGACGGAAGTAGAAGAAGAAGAGGAGGAACAGCGCAGCAGGACATGGCAGCGCTTGACGCAATACAAAGAACGCATTAAGCGTCTGCATCGGCAGATCCAATGGATCCGGCTTGTTGACTTGGTCGCCGAAAATTCGTCTCTCATCGTCCTGGGTGCGGGCTCGTTCCAGCTGTCCAGTTTCACCATGGCTGTAGACACGCGACGCAAGACGGTTGATCGGAGCAGGCTATTCCAGCACCGCAAAGTCGAGTCCGATTTGCAGCAGCCTGCCGAATGGATACTCACGGCACGCAATCTTCTTTTCGCGCTGGAAGGAGACGAGGCGAACGAAATGTTGGATTATGCCACGCTGAACGTGCATGGGCTCTTATCGCAGAAGCTGGAGGGGCTCAGAGATGCATCCATTGCCCTGAAACTGGGGAGAGTCAGTCTACCGTACGATGATCTGCTGCTCTTCAAGGAACGGTCTGAAAATCAGAGAAAGAATCACAGCAGGCGTCAGACGGGATCTCGAAACAGTGAAACCTCGTTCCGGGAAATCATGGATGAGCTGGAGCGGCCCGGAAGTCAGGAAGAGGCCATTGTTCAGACAGTGTCGGACTCAAAAGAATTCGTTGCTTCCATCTTGCGTGGGATTCAAGAGATTCAGTTTGCCGTTGGCTTCATGGGTCTCTCCAAGCAGGTGCGGGCACGCTCCGTCAAAAAGGGACATGCTCCAATCTACCTGAACATGTCTATGAAAGAAGTCGGATTGGATGTTTTACGTCTAGAGGGTGGAAGTCCCGCACATCTCACGTATTTCTCACGGGATGATGTTGCGCACCAGGCTCTGCTAACTGCTATATCGATATCTGTTGGTATTGACGACGGCCACGACCATCCCGAACGCCTGTTTTATGTGCCTATGGCTACCGCAACTCTCAAATCGACGCTGCCATCCAAAACCATTCAAATGTCCAAGCAGAAAAACGTGGCAGACAGGAATACGAACATCCTCTTCGCCAATCTCGTCGTCACCTCTCCGTCCATCGATCTCGATCCGAAGCACTTGCCTCTCGTGCGTACCATCTTGCGCAACCAGCGTGACCGTCCCCGTGCTCGCTCCCCGCCGAGCAAGCACCCGGAACGTCACAGACTAATCTCGCGCCTCCTACCCAAAGCAAGCGTTAAGATCTCCATCCACGAACCTGTAGTGCGTGTCTCTCTGCCCTGCATGGACATCACTCGTCGCGGCACTGGAGAGTTCGATTTGCTTATTAGTGCAATGAGCTCCATGTCTGTCGATTTGGAGTCCTCTCATTCAGCAGGCGCCGAGTTCCACTACAGCCTGACAAGTACGTTTCGTGTGGCCTCCCACCAGCTGTACTACCAAACAGCCTCTGGAGAAAGACACAACCTTCTTGTCACAGAAAGTCTGGAACTTAAAGCACAGATGAGCGCCTCCCCTCAAGTTGCCGTCGTTGTGTCTGGTAATGCGCAGACCTTCTCCGTTTACATGGTGCGCCCGGAAATCAGCGAGGGCGTCCGACTGATTGTGGCCCAGCTACGGGCTGATGTTCTCAAAGGTCGCCCAGAATCTGCTCCTGATCCTCCAAGTTTCCTGCGAAGACTTCCTCCCTGGCTTCTTCACCTGCAAATCTCGGGCTCCGATTTCAATGTTGAGGTCGCTGGCGTCGATCCTTCCATTTCAGAGCAAGCGAGGGGTGTGGCCGTTCACTTGGAGAGTTGGACAGCAGAATACAAGGCAAATCGCCATGAGGAAGCTGTAACGCGGCCAACAAGGAGGCGCGCGACAAGTCGTTCCATCGCAGGAGATGACGTATTCCTTCGGCCGCTCACTCCAGCGTCTCCGCGTCGGACATATGGCACCGAAACAGACAACCGCAGATTGGCTGTGCATCTGTACGGTATGGAAGCCTTCGTAATCGAATCGGTCGAATCATGGGAACCGGAATCCTTCATGTCATTGCCACGCTTCGAAGTCGCCCTCAGCACCTCCACAGATCACCAGGGCCCACTGTTACATATTAATTCGGTTGCGAAAGCGTTGTATGTACAGTACTCTTTGTACCGCCACTTTGCTTGGGGAATGGTCGTCACAGTCATCCGGAAAACATTTGCAACTCCCGATGTCGTGCCTCTTTCTCCGACGGTGCAGCTAAGTCCCACCCCTTGGTCGCCAGACTCAGCTTCAGCCTCAACGTCTCCGTTCACGTCACCTGCACGAAAAGAAGCCGTTATGCTAGACTTTAAAACGGGCATTATTCAGCTCAAGGCCACGATGCCATCTGATCCGGCTCTTATGATTCAGATATTTGGCTTTGAGGCCGGCAGGCACAGATGGTCAATGCCATTTGCCAAGGCGAGGCTCATGCGACTATACGCGGATACTCCTAATTTAAAGGGTTACTGGAGCAGAGTGATTAGCATCCGTGGTGCACGTGTCGACTACAGACAATCGAGACGCAAATTTGGTACGGGCTATGTAGACGAAAAATCCATCGATATAGTCAGTGAGGCCATTCGCGTTGCGGTTCCGCATCAGCTCGTCGTGCATCGCATATTTGACAATATTGTCAACGTAGTAAAAGTGTCGGAGCAGTTGCACTATCGGTTCAAAACAGGTACGGATGAATATATTCTAGCCAAGACGCCGGAAGGGCCCAAGAAGGTACCGAAAGTCTCGCTCCGTACACAAGCCTTTCTATTTGAAATCGAGGACGGGGCCTTTGACTGGAAGTTGGGGGTTATTTATTTGCAAGGTCTTCAAGAGCAGAAGCAAAGGCTTGCAAGGGAAGAGGCATTCAGGCTCAAGTGCAAACGCATCAGTGAGGCAGATTCCAAACATGGCGCCTCACGCTTCCGGGCCAAGTCAGCGCACCAAGTTCGAGGACGTCATGGCCGGCGTACAAGCCAAGATAAGGGGTCTGCCGAAAGAAGTCACAGTGCAGAAGTCAGGCCCAAACGCGAGAGCTCCGACCACGCCGATAGAATCCCACGGTACGACGCCCAAGGCACTTGTGGCATGAGCGAAACAGCCAAACGCTCCATTGAGGAGGCTCGAGCCGCTCTAGACTTGTACAACTCCCAGAGCTGGAAAAGACGCATCGATAATGCATACAATTTCCAACATGAGGGTATACGCGACTTGCGCAATCTGGTTTGGGGTTTGGACGATGATCCTGAGGACGCCGAACAGAAGGAGAACATCATGAGTATTAACGAGAGGCCTGCGCTCATGGCTGTGCTGATATCTGATCTCAACATCGCGCTTGACAAGCCTTCATTCCCTCTGCATGATTACCCAAACTACCTTCACACGGTGGGCAAAGGCATGCCGCTGGATATGCAGTACGGGCTTCTAATACCAATGCATGTCAATATAGCCATGGGCGAGGCAAGAGTCACATTACGGGATTATCCCCTACCTGTGCTTCATGTACCTGCGATTCGTGCTGGGCAGTCGCCAAGACTGCCTTCGCTTTCCTTAACGACAGATTTTGTAATTGCGGAAGAGTTTAGAGACGACGAGTCCATTCGACATGCACAAATTGTAGTTGTGCCTGCGGAGCGCGATAGCGACGGCAAAGAAAAAGGTGGGCTTAAGATTGACGTGCGCAGAACGGTGTCTGCGGTGAAAACATATTCGAATATTAGCGTGGATATCAACACGAGTTTGCCTACGCGCATTACGTGGGGCAGCTCGTACCAACCAGCTATTCAAGATATGATGCAGGTCATCGAGAATTTCACAAAGCCACCAGTTGACCCATCAGAGCGTGTGGGATTCTGGGACAAGATTAGGCTCACCTTCCACTCTAGCATCAAGGTTGCATGGAAAGGCGACGGAGACGTGAATCTCGTGCTCAAAGGCTCACGCGATCCATACCAGGTAACAGGAAGTGGTGCCGGCTTCGTGATGTGCTGGCGAAATGATGTCGTCTGGCGTATTGCACAGGATGATGATCCCAGGAAGTTCATGACTGTTGATTCCGGTGAATACGTTCTTGCAGTTCCGGACTTCAGCAAAGATGCTAGACGTCATTACGAACGCGTCACTAATGAAGAACACATGAGTGTTTCCAGTGGATCGAGCGCCCATGATAGTGGCAGGTTTAAGAAGACAATAATGAAGCTTTCAGGCAATGTGCAGTGGCTTGCTGGCCTCGTCTTCGAGCGCAATACACGCGATGGTGGAAGAAGCTTTCAATTCAAACCGCATTACGAGGTTGTTCTCAAAAATTCAGAATTTGCAAAGCCGGTCAACGGACGACCGTGGGATGCATATCACGGCTTCAGAAGTCATCACATTCATCTCTCAGTGGCTATATCTGCTCCCCACAACCGAGACTGGACGGTGACGAATTTAAAGCCCAGCTCAAATTACAACAGCGTACATCTAACTCCCCGCTTCTTTAGTCATTTCTTCGACTGGTGGAGCATGTTCTCCGGGGTAATGTCACTTCCTATTCGACAAGGCAAGCTGTTCCCGGGCGTTGAAAAGAGCAGCAAAAAGTTCGCCCGGCATCTGGCAACCATCAAGTACAACTTGCTTTTAAGTCCTTTGTATCTCAGTCATATTTACAAACACAAGGACAGCGAAGAATATGGCCAGAATTTCTTTTACGCAACTGGCCTCAAGATGAAGCTTGACAGCTTCATGCTAGATTTGCATCAGCGAAGAGAGACGTTCAGAACGATGCATCAGAATGCACAAGGAAATTCTGGCAAAGGCGAGAGCACCACAAGTGCGATGCGTATCAACCAGGCGCAATTGGATCTCATATCTACAGACATCCGAGCTGTGTCAGCGAAGATCACAGGAACAGATCTTTCAAACATCGAACATGCTAGCGACGAGACATTAGCAAGTTACGAGCAGTCCGTGCCAAAGGCTGACCTTTCATGCTTCACTATCCCAGACAATGATACCGGGTGGGTTGACATGGATGATTTCGTTGAGATGGATTGGACGTTGCCAGCAGAGCCTAACCCAGAGACTAAGATCCTTCCGCTAGCCTTTGCACCGCGATTTACATACTTTAGGAATACAGACCATCACAACGTCATCAATGGGGATCCAAACAGGTCAAGCGCATTTGGACATGAGCCAACGCATTACTGCGTCATGTCACGTCGTAACGATCCGAGACGCGTCCAATGCGACCTCATTCAAGAGCGACTTGATAAACTAGAGGAGCAAATCTCGCAGAATTCGAGAACCATTGGAGACCAAGAACTCAAGCTTGTTCGGTCAACGACAGAGGCCGAGAAGGAGTTGTATGAAGCGAGACTACGGGCTTGGAGGGAACATCATGAGACGCTGCAGAAGAAATTGCGATTCCTACAAAGCATGCACAAGACCTTGCTTAGCCGCCTTGACGATGGAGATCGAAGAGCAATTCCAGATCCTGAGCTCGACGCAGAGGACGCATATTACGACACTCACGAGGAGTATGATCCGACGGACCCCGAAGTATTGGGAATGGACTCCGCTCCGCTTTCGGATGATATCAGCGATTTTAATAACAGATTCATCATCCACAACGCGCAGGTCAAGTGGAACAATTCACTCAGGGATATAATCCTACGATATATCCATCAAGTCAGTCAGCGAAGAGGATTTGTCTACTACATGTCGCACCGGGCAGTCAAATTCATTCTCGACATTGTGGAAGAGCAGAAGAGAAACCAGGCAAATCAGAGACCAGACATGATGAGATATCAAAGCGACACGACCAGTCCCCTTACACCTCAGGTTAGCAAAGATGCTGAGCTTGAAGTCCAAGATCGTATTGAAGAGCTGCTCAAAGCTGCCAATCGCGTCGTGACGGCAGATGACCCGGATCACGACGAGAAGCTCAAAAAGTCCCCTGCCGCAGGTGGTCCCGACGATGAAATCTCACATAATTTCATAGCGCAAAATGGGTATCATCTTCGCCTCATCGCCCCGCAGATCCAGCTTCAATCTGAGAAGAATATGAAGGCTGCTGTACTAGTCACATCCAAAGGCATGCAACTCAAGGTGGTGCAGATTATGGATAAGGACCGTCTCACAGACGAGGTCAGCGGTCTCGTGCAGCGCAGATTCACGGCAGGCATGGACAGCGTACAAATCTTTGTGACGAGCTCGAAAAATTTCTCTCCAGAATTTCTTCGAATGTACGCAGGCAACCGGTATGGAACCCGCGCTGGTAGCAGTTGGCCACCGTGGGTGCCGCTGGAGGCCATGTTCGACTTTAACATTGATCCTTTTGGATTCCAGCGCGTGGTAGAAAGAACGAGTGTGAGCATGCGATATGACAAGTTCAATACTCTTCGTCTCAAATACAATGACGACGTCACAAGTGGGCAGGGCAACGAACAAGGCAATGACCAGGACGAGAACCGCATTGATCACGTTTGGGTCAACTTCCCTCAGTTTCACGCTATTTGCGACTCGGCACAATACTACGCAATGTACATCATTGTGCTTGATCTTCTGCTATATAGCGAACCCCTGGAGAAAACTCGACGCGAAAGACTCGAAAAGATTATGCTCGCTTCCGACTTCAGCGACTTAAGCGACGCTCCCGGTATGGTGATGAAGCTTCAAGAGAAGATCAGAACTATGCAGGAGATCAAATTAATGTTCCAAATAAACGAACAGACGTTAAACCGACAGCAATGGAAGGAGCGAATTCTGCTCGAACATGATCTAGCAAATTGTGAAGATGAACTATTCTTCATTATGAAAGCTATCACTACCAGCCAACGAAGGATTGACGAGCGCGCTTCATCTTCAGTGCAGACTGCACTCTTGCGATGGGAGATTTTCGCGAAGGAACTCGTTTGGCATCTGTTGAGAGAGCAGCACGAGCATCTCGTGGAAATGCAAATTTCGAATGCTGTTTTCAATCGCATCGACAACAATGATGGCTCAAACGAAAATACAATGGAGATCGGCTCAATTCAGGGCTTCAATCTGCTTCCTGATGCTATCTACCCAACAATTGTGGAACCCTTCACAGAGGCTACCAGCAACACAGAGAAGGCCATGTCAAATGCGCATGAATTAGCCCATCACCACAAGAGGAAGAGCATACTCACTGTGCACTGGCTTCAGCTTGAAGCCATCGCTGGCATCAAGGTTGTGGAACGCTTTGAAGCTGACGTCCATCCGCTGAAGATTCAACTTGAGCGGGAAGTTGGTCTCAAAGTCTTCGAGTACATCTTTCCTGGTTCGAATGCCAAAGCAGGAGAGAACGGCATTAGTCCGTTCAACGTAAGACACATGCTGCCACAGGGCGATGATGACGATGAAGAGGATCAAGAAGATGATTCAAACGTCTCGCCCTCGGACAGCAATCAGCTGATGCACAGCTCCAATGACAATCTCGTTGGGGCGGGAGACTTGTCACTGCGCTTGATGCCAACCATGAACTTGCCGGAGATCAGGAAGGACAAGGAGAAAGACAAGAGCAGATCAGATCAAAGCCACCGGGACTATTGGCGGAGTCATTTCAAAAAGGACAATAGTGGAACTGATTTGCGAAAGTTGGCTATGAAATCTAGAACCAAGGAGGCTTCAGAGACGAGCTCATTAAAACCTCCGAGCATTCAACGCGCAGACACGAGCATGTCACAACTTTCAATCACCGCCGAGAAGGGCAAGCGGTTCGGCAAAGGCAAATCATCAGGAGGATTTACGAAGGACAAGAAGGAGAAGGCCACTTCAGATGATCTCAACACTATGCTGAAACGTGCTAATGACTACATGGCACTCGGCTACGTCCGAATTCCTTCCATGGTTCTTTGCCTCAGCTACAGAAGTGGTAAAGGACAGCGCACAATTGTCCCAGATGTTCACGATCTTGTCTTCCGTCTGCCGACGTTGGAATATAGGAATAAAACGTGGAGCACCATGGACCTTGTGATGCAACTACGCAAGGAAGTGACTCGTGGTTTAGTCTCCCATGCAGGTGCCATCGTAGGTAATATGTTTCACAGTCATAAAGTGAGCAAGCTACAGCAAACCCGTTTGCGAGATTTGGCAAGCAGTAGCGTCTTATTAGGCAAGGGCAAAAGTGCCTTGGACACTACAACAAGTAGTGATGCCACAAGCAGCCGGAATCTGAGTTTGATGGAGTGGGAGGAAAATGAGGACGAGAATGAAGGGCAGCCACGAACAAGCTTTGCTAGCAGCAATCGCTACACCGATTCCATCGTGAGCAGCCAGCAAGGCAATGGAAGTCAAAGTAGTAGTCTCAACGGACAGCAAGCGTATACACCACCTTCAGATCGACGGCCTAGAACAGCTGGGTCCATTCCGAGTGGAAATGGTACTGGCAGTCCGCACACAAATCCGGTCAACAGGCGTAGATCGAGAGCAGCCAGCATAGCGGAATCAGAGAAGAGTAGGAAGAGCTCTGTAATGGGCGTCGGACGGAAACTCTCGGTCATGGCAAATAGACTGAGGGATAACAGCGGTGGGGAATTGGATGATGATGGGTGAGTTACCGAACACAATACCGTGTTCTGCGCTTTGGAAACTGAAATTGAGTAGATCTCGCCACAGAAGTCGCATCCCAATCCCCAAGTTCTTGCATAACAAGGTGGACAAAGACGCTACGCCTACACCTTGATTGACAATCTCATTAACAGATTGGCGTTTCCACGAGCGAAATTAGTCCACTGAAGGCTTGATATGTCAAACTTGCTCTCATTGGGCGTTCGCCATTCCAAACCTCAGCCTCTGTCTTAACCTTTCTTTCCCTCAACCACATGACATCGTCAACAGAAGTCATTGCCAAAGATAGAATATTCATTTGTAAATAAGAATAACTCTGAAAATTAATACAGCTCCAAGTTTCCATTCCGATTTTACTTGAATGATTAAGAGATCCCTTTAAAAAAGTGTGAATAGCCTTCGGATCGGGAAGTTCAGAGAAGGAACACAGTAGTTGGAATAATTCAATAAAGCGTCGATAGTGCTAGAAAGTCAGCAGATGCGACCCAAAGTTGTCGTCGGCTGGCGTTTTCGTCGACAAAATGCCTGTGCTGGACTGCTTGGTTTTGGGGCTACACCAGCTGGGATGTCGTCCTTAATGTCTTTTTCAACGGTCTTGCTCCACTGATGATAGTTGGCACACTGCATCGCGTTGAAGAATGTGCACAAAACCGAAACGAAAGCCTGTAGCGGAGCAAGTTGTTCGACCTTGCACTCTGCAGTGACATTAAGGGAAAGATGCATGGCCCGATCAGCTATTTGAGGACCTGTTAGCACATGTTCGCACAAATGACATAATATCCGTAGAACTCGCGTCGGAGATGACATTGCTACAGCCACGATTGCATGGGAAGTCATCTTGATGGCAACCATCGTGGGCGAACCCACCTGGAGCCAGCTCTCCAATGGGATAAACTTCGCAGTACTGTGCACATGAAGATACTGTCCTTAACAAATCGACAAAGGAGAAATAGTGACATTTCTCCCATCGATCATCAGTGAGTCGCATGCTTCAGTGCCACATACGCACGGAAGATATCTTGGTACGAAATCAGGATCGTGAAAAATCTTGATAGAAGATACCGCATGAAAGTGCAGGCTTCTGAAGCCGCCTTTTGCCAATGAATCCTTTTAAGAAAGTGTGATCATCACCAGTTCAGTGTGAAAATGTGGATTGGCCAAATCAGAAGCCTTTAACAGACAGGCTGTGCAAGAATATGTCCGAGAGATGAAGTATGCTCTTATTGCCGCTCTGCTCAACGTGGTTGCACAGAATTTGACCAAGTTTTGACGTTGTGGCACTACAACCCGTCCTTTACTTCAGGATTTTCTAATTTGACTGCCAATAGTCATTACTTTTAGGAGGGTTTCTGTTCTTTACAGTGCGATATCGCATACCTGCGCACACTCAGATCTGAAGTTCGGAAGTTAATCAATCAACCATGCTGCTTAATTTTGTCTTTGAAGGATGTATGCAAGGAATTTGGCCATCTTAGGTTGCATGATTAAGAGTAATAGCTACTTCCTTTGACCACAAGCACTAGAACGATCGAAAGCGACGTATCTTCCCCGATTACATTATTCGCAAAAAATATTCCCCCAAAAACTCAAAAGATGCAAAAGTTTGGCACAGGGAAACGTTTCTACTTACCTAAGATGTATAATTGACAGCGGAGCCTTGATATCAACTGCAATTCAGGCTGCGAAGTAGCTAGAGCGCGTATGCATAGCCTTAAGCCTACAACTCTTGAGAATCCATTACAACTAAAACAGTAATCCCTTGCCATGAAAGTATCTTTTGGTGAAAGGGATTGATTCCCAATGTACTGTACGCGGTACAGTCTCATCATCTTCGCGACTGAAGAAATAAGCTCGATGAAAGCGGGTCTACGTCAATTTTGTGGGGGAGGTTGATGCTCCGGCTAAGCCTGGGTCGACGTAGTGCCAAGAACACAGCTATGCTTCGATCTTTTCATTATTTGCATACGTCGTCAAAGTCCAATGATATTGAACTTCGCCCCCATGGAGAGAAATATCCTGACGACTGAGTAATCATGATGCATCATCTCGAACTTTGTCTACACCGAAATCGGCAACTAAAAAGTGGAGAAGGCGAGAGTCATTTATACTATACGTTGAGCGCTGTTCAACAGTTTACGTCCGTGTTTCCAAGCACGACAAACCTTTGCCTCTGTCTCACATCTTCTCTCAATCCATAATTTGTTCCGGCAGCAGTCTCGCATCCAAATCAGTCAAGATGAAGCTCCTCTATCCCACTAGCCTTGCTCTTGATATCGACTTGATGAAGGGGTTTGCGGTGACATTACATCCGTATAATGTGAACGAGCCCATTCCGGAAGATCTTGTAGACGCTGAAATACTGGTCACTTGGACAAACTCCTCGAGCAATCTCAAGGATGCAGCGTCGCGGATGAAGAATCTTCGCTGGATTCAGTCGCTAGCCGCTGGTCCAAACGACGTCTTGAATGCAGGATTTGACAGAACCAAAATTCTAGTAACGACTGGTTCAGGTCTGCACGACCAGACTGTTGCAGAACACACGTTGGCATTGCTTCTGTGCGCTGCACGGCGGTTGGACGAGATGAAGGAATATCAGATGCAAGGAAAGTGGCCGCAACATCTCGGGGGACCATTGCCCGACCGCCCGAAAGGAAAATTCACCTCCCTTGCCGGAGCCAACGTGACCATATGGGGCTACGGAAACATCGCAAAGACGCTCACTCCATCTCTCACTATCCTGGGCGCCAACGTACGAGGCATTGCTCGATCAGACGGCGTACGAAACGGAGTAGAAGTATCTTCGGAAGCGAAGCTCCCAGACATTCTGCCCAAAACCGACGCTCTCATCATGATCCTACCAGGATCAGAAAGCACGAGGCACGCTCTGAATGAAGAACGGCTCCGCCAACTACCCAAGCATGCTTGGATCGTGAATGTGGGACGTGGAACGAGCATTGATGAGGACGCGTTAGCCAACGCCCTTGACAAAGGAGAGATTGGCGGTGCAGCGCTTGATGTTTTCGAACAGGAACCGTTGCCTGAGGGCCATCGATTCTGGAAAACAAAGAATATCATCATTTCACCGCATGCAGCGGGTGGAAGACCAAGAGGGGCAGAAGAGCTGATCACGTCAAATCTGAGGAAATTTTTGGCAGGACAAGAATTGAGGAATCTTATATAGCTTGCGAGAGGGAACTTGAAAAGAACGTACTGGGAAACACAGCATTTGCCTGTAGGTTTTCGGTCGACTTAAATGTCACACAAAGCTCGCGCTCTCCCTTTAGGCCCAAAAACTCAGAATACCAGCTCTGTCAGTGGACAAAACTCTATGTCGTCCTTCAACGCCGTGCTTTTCGCCGAACACCCACGTGCCTCTGCCTCGTCCAATGCTCTTGTTTCGTTGCCATCCAGAGGCGGAGCTCGAGTTTCTCACTGGTATTGCACAGCACGGGAATGAAGGTGACAATGGTAGTGTTTTAGAATGGCTTCACCAGAAAAGCTAGTCGTCGAGTTTTATTGTCAACCTCGCTTTGATTTTCGCCGCCACAGGACCACAGGATCAGGCGACATGAACAACGGTCAATCACGACAACTTTGTGGCCATCTCTGTAGATTAAAGAGGCCATAGCCATGAGGCACTTCCCGTCTTCCCTTAGATACAAAAAAAAGTGTCTGCGTGGATTGTTTTAGCGGACTCGAATTCGATACTTACATCAATGACAGCGTATCGCTTGCAATTCTCCCAGCAGCGCCATCCTATGTCTATCAATATGCACACATGTCTTAAACTGCAATGGTATGGGCAGCCAGTGGAGGTTCGACTGATGGTGTCTCAATCACCGACACTGCTACAATCTGGCTCTTCTTCGACTCCGAGACTTTTTCTCGGAAGGTGTCCTCTGCGCGCTTCACGTCACCATCGAGATCATGCCACCATATCAATGGTAATCTACGGTTTGCATCTTCAGTGATCTTTACCAAATCGTCTCCAAACTTCGGGTCAATTAAATAGTATGCGCGACCGACTTGAGCGCTCTCTCGAACAACGCCTTGTGCACGCGGTCGTCGAATCGAATCATATATCTCGAGTGCGATAGAAATCTGATCTTTCGAACGGACGAGTCCTAAGAGCCTAGACAGAATCAAAGCGTCCTCGAGACCCTGGCCAGCGCCGGCGGCTTGGCTTGGACTCGATGCGTGTGCAGAATCGCCGAGCAAACAAATGTGTCCGTTATAGTAGGTTGGAGTGTCTGGGTGGTGGAAAAGCGGCCACTTTATCGGCTTCACAAACTGCTGTGTGGTTAGCACTTATCGTCAAAGTGAGGATGTGACGCGGAGCTTACTTCAAGCATGGACTTTAGTCTGCCGTCAAAGTTCTCGAACTCAGCCTCCATTTCTTCTCTTGTCACTTCTCTGGTAACCTGGGCGCCCTCCCATGCATTCTCGTCGTACATAAAGCAAACTATGTTGACCTCGGTGCCGCCGGAAATGGGATACATCGTCCATCCTTTGCGTGGACCCATCCACCACTTGGCGTCCTGGCCAAAAACACCCACGCGCTTCTTCGCCTCTTCCATCGGTGCGATGCCGCGGTAGACGTAGGTGTGAACATACTTTGCTGCAACCTCCTCTGGCCACCGCGATTCCAGAACAGCTTTTCTCGACAATCCCTTAATACCGTCACAGCCGATGACTACATCGGCCTCGACAAAAGTGTTGTCCTCGAAGTCGATGCGGACCTTATCTTGTAAGTGATCTTGCTTGATATCTCGTACGCGCTTGTTGAATTTGACAGTGCCATCTGGGATCAAGCTCTCCATGATGGCCAGAAGCGCTTTTCTGTGAGCGCTGCTCCTTTCGAACTTTGGATGGGAGACAGAACCTCCGGTCCACTCATCGGTGATACCAAACCCTTCCTGCGTCCCAAGGATCTCAAACTGCTCGTTCTTCCGCTCCGGGGTTGTATTGCCAACTTTGACCTTGTTGTATTTGCTGGCGAAGGTAGGATCCATAAGTTCCATGGCGCGCAGTGCGTTCGGACCGAGACCGATTCCTGCGCCCACAGCATCGAACTTGGGCGCGGCCTCGTAGACGGTAAATTTCACATTTTGCTTGAGCAATCCGATAGCCAAAGCCAGTCCTCCTATGCCAGCTCCAATGATAACAACAGAGATGGGTTGGTCGTCTATCGACATGTTGAAGGTTCGAATTGGTCTGTAATGACAGGACTGTGTCGAGGCAGACTCGATCTCGGACTTGTTTTGAGGCTTAAAGAAAGATCATGGCACGGTTTTGAAGTCACGAGAGTCCACGGCTCGTCGCTCCCGGTTCACACCAATAGTCATCCAAGCAACAGTGCTCCACAACCGTGTGTCCAAGGGATGGTAAAACATGGAGATTTGCGGGCCGGTGATCTACACACGAGCAAAGGCAGCGCTTGCCGCTGGTCCATGGTCTGATGGCGTGTCGCATACAAGCTGCCGGCGGGAGTGAGCGGGCGATAAGCGGTTCCCGCTGCGAATATTGCCTAAATTGGATGCTCGCCACTGGCCCATCATAACAAATCCCTGCAGCAAAAGCGACTAGCACAGCATCGCTTCCTGTTGGCCCGAAGAGCCCGTCGCATCGATTGCAGCGAATCGAATACGCAAGTGTAGGATTTAATTCCTGGACTGTATTGTCGGCATGTTCAGCAGCCATGAAGTGGCAGTTTTGTTTTTTCGACTGTTGCTGAACCAGCCCGTTCCGAAACCAGCTTCTCGAGAGAGGGAGGTCAACAGCCGCCGCAAAAATTTATCACGTCGCGCGCGATGGCGCCAATTACCAGAGTCACGATGATCAAGCTGAGAGAGGAGGACATTGACATGGCGCTCAAGGGCTTTGAGACATTTGCGAAGACCCAGACCAAGGTATGGAAGCTGTTTCCCTTGTGATCACATGCTCTGACGACTCGAAGGAGGGAAAACCATATATTCTTTCGATGGAAGCTGGCCCAGCTCGCGGCTCGGTCAGAGACCAGGGATACACCTTCGTTACAAAGTCTGTTTTCACGTGTGTGGACGACCAAAAGTTCTACGAAGACAAGTGTCCTGCGCATCAAGAGTACAAGACCTTTTTGAAGGAGAACACGTCCGGTGTCAGCGGACTTATCTCAGTAAATTTTGAACCCAGCTGTAGTTTCTCAATCTGAGAAATATATCGATTAGCCCCCATTATGGAAGCCAAAACTACAGTGAGGCTTTCCCCATTATCTGTCCAACTCGTAGATAGCCTTGGTGCCCATACAAAAGACCAAGACTGGAATTAAGTACGGGTGAAAAATCAACAATTCATAAGCTCGTCTATTGATACAAACTCAGATTTTGGTATTGAAGTCTTTCGAAACTATTCATGGGGAGGAGCCATCTTTCTTGAGGCTAGCTTTAATCTGTCTCTTGATGTACCCCGACACTCTTGTCTAATGCTTCTCAAGCAGTGAGCCCCAGCCACTAATCTTATCCATTATGCCATTTGTTCTGTATGCATGCCACACAGTTGCAGTGTTGATAGCGATGACGGGCTTTCCAAGCTCAACCTCCATTTCCGCAGCAGCTTTGGCTGCCAGAAGATTTGTTCCGGCCTGGATAAGCAGATCCACGTCGGGCCCGTCGACCTTGCGGAAAGCCGCCTTAATCTCGTCGGACGTCACTTCCGATATCGATGTTGCCGTTGCACACTTCATGCCGTGTAGGGCGACGACTTCACAGCCGATTTGTGTGAAGAAGTCGATAACCTGTTGATCGCCAACGGGCTGGTATGGAGTGATGATGCCTATCCTCTTCGCGCCATATGCTTTCATAACTTCTTTGCATGAGTCGGCACCAGTGGTCACACCAAGACCATTGGACAACTTGGACATGAATTTGATGAACTCTTGCGCGCCGTTGGCACCCCCCCAGAACGTTTCTGCCGACATTCCCATCACGAGATAGTCGACTTTTGCGTGGCATACGCTTTCCACGGCCCTCTGAATCTCCTTCCTTAAATCGACCAGGAAAGCTTCCATGGCTTCTGAAGAACTGAGATCGGGGTTATTTACGAAGATCCGACCGCTGTGCCACGAGACGCCTAGAGGACCATGAGCCAAGGTATCAGTCGATACAGTAAGTGGACCATACCGGGAACAGACATGGCATTGAACTCGGCCTCAACACTTGTATTTGTAGAGGGCAGGATCAACCCAAATTGGGCTCTGTTTGCCATCAAACCAACCATGGCGTGCGATTCGTAGTAATCCGTAGCTCAAAGCTGGTTGAAACTCTTTTCCTGATGCTGTGGCTTGAAGAAGGTGTACAGGAAGTTAGATGGTCTCTTTTTTTCCAAGTTTCAACATATCCTTTCGTTATTATACGAACGGTTGACTACCACCAGCCAATCGCACGGCATAAAGTCCGTAGCTCAAGAAGCCGAATCCGGCATGATGCTGAAGTGTGTCCGCACCCGCGCTGCAGGACGAACCAAGTTATCGGATGTTCTGGAAGCGGAAGTATGCTGACGAGTAGTCCTCTGGGCAGCCGACCAGGGCCACTTATCATCAAGCAGCTAACTATCCCAGGACGCTAGCTGAACTTCCCTAGCGCGTCGGCGGAGGCGGGTCACCCAGCACGTGCCGATTGCGGCTATCTGTTCCGACGGTGTGGATTCGAACTCCAGCCCTTGTCCTCGTCAGTTTGGGCCTGGCTGGAGCAATCAGTGTGGAGAACACATTCAAGCCTAAAACGATCGGCAACCAACCGAAGATAGCAATCGCCGCGCCCCAGCGCCGTTCAACTCCAGTAGCCTTATCTCCAACAACATGATTCAAACTCGATTGGAGCGTTTAGCCATGTCTGCGAGGGCCATGAATGTATAATTGTCTGGGGTGCGTCCACATTGCGATTTTCAAAACCCACGGAGGACTTTATCTCCAAACTTTTTCGACACTTGTATTCTCTCACGTAATAATCATTAGAGCGAGATGTCTGAGCTTGCGGAGAAGAGCCTGAACGACGGCGTTGTTGCCACTGTTGAGAAGGACGCCTTGGTAAAGGAGGGCGTGTTGAGCTCCACATCGTCTGGAGAGTTCACCTATGTTGCACCATCCGCCGCTGAGGATCGAAAGCTCACAACAAAGCTCGACATCAGAGTGATTCCCATCTTCGGGCTGCTTTACCTCATCTGTTTCTTGGACAGGACAAATATTGCCAATGCTCGACTTGCCGGTCTTGAGAAGGCTCTCCATATGCCATCTAATGGCTTCAATGTGGCTTTGTCGATCTTCTACATCCCGTTCGTGCTCTTCGAAGTTCCGAGCAACTGGATCATGTCGAGACCTTTTATCAAGCCGAACCTGTTCCTCGGTGCCCAAACTTTCATCCTTGGTAAGTGCTCGGGAAACGCGTGGCTTTGATCTTTTCGCTGAACACACCAGGCGTTCTTGCTATGTGTCAGGGTCTGACCCACAGCTATGGTGGGCTGTTGGCCATCCGTTTCCTTATGGGCATTGTGGAGACAAGTTTACCTGCAGGCGCTGGTCTCTTGATTGCCTCATACTACCGCAAGAAGGAGCTCGCTCTGCGATTCGCGATGTTTTTTGCCTTCGGACAGATGGGTGCATGTTTCAGCGGCGTGAGTGTGCTAGAGATTATAGATCTCCAATACGATGCTAATCTTTTCCATCAGCTCCTCGCATATGCCCTCATGGATCTCGGAGGACCGCTCGATGGCTGGCAATGGATTTTCGTGGTCGAAGGCTTGGTCACAATTGTGTTCTCAGTCCTTGTCTTCATCTTCTGCCCTAACTTCCCTGCCAAGGACAATCTGCTGTCCGAGAAAGACCGCGCTATGTTGTTGGCTCGTCTAGAAGCAGACAAGGGTAAGGAGGTTGAGAAGGAGAGTACGAGCACATGGTTGAGAGCGTTCGTCGACTATCGCGTCTGGCTCTGCACCCTCCTCTTCTTCTGTGCCGATCTCTCCGCGGGCTCACTCTCTAGCTTCAACCCGACTATTCTCAGCCAGCTAGGCTGGACGGCACGGAGGGCCCAGGTCATGACTATTCCGGTCTGGATCGTGGGTACTTTCGTTGCATTGACGTGCAACCTGCTTGCTGGTCGCCTGAACAAGCGGTGGCCGTTCCTCCTATTTGCAATTTCACTCTCTCTTACCGGCTGGTGTATTCATGTCACTTATCAAAAGTCCCCCGTGCGATATTTCGCCCAGTTCATCATCTCTGCCGGTACATTCATTGCGATGCCAATGTACGTCGGTCTCCTGACTGCAAACGTCAGAGGCCAGGCTTACAAAGGTGTTGCCACCGCTATCATTCTCGGCATTGGAAACTGCGCCAATTTCATCTCATCAAACATTTTCATAACAAAGCAAGCACCGCGCTATCCAGTTGCATTCAGGACAGGCGTCTCGATCACAGGCCTTTGCTTCCCTGTCCTAGCTTTGACAATCTTCTTGTTCAAGCTTCATAATAAAAAGATTGCCAAGAGAGAGGCTGCCGGTGAAGTGTTGGACGAACAAAAGGACTTCAAATATGTATATTAATTACGTTGGATGTACGTCATGCAGAATAAAGCAGTTCAGCAATAAAATATTATATTTCATCGTCCGCAATACCACATTTAACGCTAACATATTCAAATGCAACCTTCACCTGATCGTTTCAGAGTTACTCAAACATTGGAAAGCAATTCTTCACACGCTTGCTAGATTCATATCTTCAAGTCCTTGGGCAAGAGCGCTGGCCTTCACATGCATGTCGTACATATCAACAACGAACATGATCTCGGAAAACAAGGTACAATAATTGGGAGGTTGTAAATCCGGCTACCAGTGTTTGGTATTCCCAGTCCACCTCCCCCCCCCCCAAAAAAAAAAACCAAAAAAAGTCATACTACCTTCGAACGATTGTTTCAATATCATCCCACGTCCAATCTTGCCAGTTCTGGGTGGGGTCATCCATGAAAGATAATTGAGTCCACGTTTGTGGATCATAAAGTTGCCCGCGATATTGCGCATTTGGATCAGGCTGCATGTTAGGGTCCACCGGATAAGCCAGGAGATTGTGAATACTTGATGGTGTGCCAATCTGAGTTCGCGGAGAGTATTGAACTGATGGCGCAGGGGTCGTGGGCATGGCAGCCGGAGAAGAAGGTGGCATCTGCGCTTCCGCTGACGTGGGTGTATCCAGTTGGGTGCGGCCAGACTGCTCAGCTGTCGCATTGACCTCAACAACAATCTTTCCAAGCGCTTGCATGGACCCAGGCACGCGAGGATTTCCCAAATGGCGAGTAACAATGGCTGCCAGATCTCGCAAAACTGTCCGCGATTCCGAGTTTGGGCCGTGACGGTCTTGATTGACTCGGATGTCAAGCACAAGTACTAATGCAGATGCAACCTGTGCACTAATAATTAGCTCCATACCACCACCTGAACAGGGTTTAATTACTGTGAAGAATATATCAAACCATGTGGTGGCATTGAACTTCTGTATATTGTCCATTTTACGCAGAAGCTGACCAAGAGATTTTCCTGCGTCAATACAGGTTTCTGATACAGTAATAAGCGCTTGTTGCATCGCATGTTCTGGCGGATTTTGGGTGCTAAGCACAGCTCGACGCAAGAGTGCAGAGCGCGTGATCAGCACTAGAATGTAGTAATATTCAATGAAAAGGAGTAGAAGAGGCCGCTGCGCTGCTGGAGCCAGGGAGTTGGCAGCATCAAGCCTCAAGTGTGTAGGAAGCCCATCCTTCCATCTGTCAAGGTCACGAAGTATTGCTGCTGTTGGCGATAGTGGCCTATTGTATGCATCTTCTGGTTTTACAGACGAGCTGTTGCCACCTGGATTAAGCGCCTTGCATGCTGAACCCAAAATAATCTGTAGTTTTTGATACCATTTGTTGTAATCTGGAGGATAGTATCCAGCGGTTCCAAGAATTCGCTCATTCGGAACACCAACACTGCTGGCTATGTGTGATATTGCACTTGGCCGATCAAAGGATGAGACTTGCATTTGCTCAAAGGCGTAAAGCGTCCACCAAACTTGCTTCCGATGCTCTCGAGCAAGCCGAGGCTGGTTTTGCTTAATGTCTTCCCGATGAAGCCCGATGGCATGAGCAACACGAACTGCAGTGCCGGTTAAGTTCCAGCAGGCATCCCGGTGATTCGTGTTGTGCAGGTGTAGTGCAGCAAGCATTAGGGCCTGAACCGTGTATATATTTGACGAGAACAGTACACTTGGTAACAACGTCTGTACGTGCGTCCACCATTTCTTTTGTGCTTCTTCTGGAATCTCTATAGAAGCAACTCGACGGGCAAGAATCAAAACGCAAAGCACTTTGCAGAGCCAAACAGGGTCCGATGTCGTGTTTGAAGCTGCCCAGACCTCGTATGACTCTCTGAACGAATTCTCGTGAAGCACTGGAAAATCTGAATGAATGACTTCAAAATATGCATCCATGAGCGTCTCTAGCACCGGGCCATCGATCTCTCGTACCGCATCAGACGGTGAGCCGCAGTCGCTTATAGTCATACTTGATCCCCGACGGTCCATAATATTCATAGTCTGACTCATCCCTGGCGTCTTGGAGATTTCAAAGATTTGGTCTGCTGCATTGTTGCCAAATAGAGCAAACTCAAAGATGGAGTAGTTTCCAAGCAATCGTCGTAAGTTCAGATGAAATAAGAATGAGCTTGATGGGCCCACATATTGCATCTGTTTCTGACCGTCCGGGATCACTTGAATCGCAGTATCTTCCTCACCATCCGCTGGCGGCTTCTCGGCCTCGTCAGTCGGCGCATCACCATCGTCGACTTGGGGAAGAGGGATCCCTAGCGATTTTCCCGTTTCCTTCAGACTCGCGATCGTCGATAGGTTCGCCTCTGGAAGCAAGCCCTTGACAAGCGATTCAAGTAGAGTGATCCGACTGCCAACGCCCTCAACGCTGCCATATATCCTCCGTTTTCGAGGGACGGTGGTGGTGCATGCAATGTTGTGCAATTGACAATATCTGCACTGGTCTTGGTCCAGAAGTCTATCACATTTCTGCTTGCGAGCCTTACAGCGGTCGCAAGACGTCTCGGTGCGCTTTCGCTTGTCAAGCGGGACTCGTCTGCTTGCGGGATCCATTGGAAGCAGGAATCGCGACAAGAGGGATTCGCGTAGTATTAGAAGCACCCCAGAGAAGCCCAGATGAGGGGAAGTAGAGGTGAGAAGATGGGATTATTCTGGCATGTAGAGTACGAAGGGGTTCATGCATACACGTCGATCCTGGTTGGCCATCCACGTATGGCACCAGATCAACTCTGGACTCCCAAAGGCGCAGCTTAACAGTTTGGTAGGCATGATAAGCCCAAAGTTTCGCCCCAGTCCAAACGAAGCTCGAGCCCGACCGCTAGCAGATGGTTGGTCATACTGCCAAGCTGCTACAAGTTAGTGGCCAGCCCCTCTCTATCAGCAGGGTGGAACCCCTGTGCTGGCTGCGGTCTCCAGCTGCTCCAGTGCCCGGTCGCGAAAATTGAGTCAAGATTGACCGACACACATTTGGAAGCGTCCCAAATGCTCATAACTGTGTGAAATACTCTGCCTTCCTGTGGTGATCACGGAGCGTTGAAAGCCAGGCTCAGGGACTTCGTGGCCGCCGTCAAGATGAGGCTTGCGCTACTCTGATGCAGTCCACGGGTTCCGATATCTTCTCAACACGCCCAAGGACGCCTTGTGTCCGGCCGAGTTCGGCATTATCTGCTTAGGGCAACTTTGCTGCCGATGGCGGTAGTGCCAGCCGATAATGCTGCACATTTTAGTATTGAGGTACACATATATATGACTGTGTTTGAGGTTGTCTAAGTAATGCTCTCGTTCAATACTATCTAACGCGTCGTCTTCCCTGCAAGACCAATCAAGAGCATGGCCGACATCAGGCACCCTGAAAGTGAGCGTTACGCTTCCTCAGGCTTTGGAAATCGCATCGGATGGGGCACTTCACCCGCTCTTCTCCTTATCGATGTTTGTAAGGCGTACTGGACAGAGGGTAGTCCGCTGGACACACGGTCAAATCCCGCCTCTGTCGCTTCGATTCAGTCAATGAAGGCTCTTTTGGCGGCCGCTCGTGAGGGCAACTGCCCAGTCATCTGGACCCGTGTAGTGTACAACGACATGAAGGAGGCTGGCATATTCTATCTCAAAAGCAAGCCGTTGGATCTCTGGAAAGTGGGTGATGAAAGGGGCTTGGCCGATTGGGTAGAGGGACTGGTTCCAGATTTCTCAAAGGGAGACGTGCTGGTCGACAAGCGATATCCAAGTGCTTTTTTCGGAACGGACTTGATTACGAGACTGAACGTGTTGCGTGTAGACACGCTTGTCATCTGTGGTGTGAGCACGAGTGGATGTGTCAGAGCCAGCACTTTGGACGCTATGCAGCATGGGATAAGGCCAATGGTGATTGTGACGGTACCTCTCAAACTTCATCTCAAGCTTACAATTCAATAGGTTGTCGGCTCGGCCTGCGGGGATCGGTCTCCCGAGATTCACAATGCAAATATGTTCGACATGAACGCGAAAATGGCGGATGCTGTCAGCGAGGAAGAAGCCGTGGATCGCCTAAGAGCAGGCTGGAAGAGAGCCTGATCCGTCAGATTTGTAGAGATATCAAACAAGTTACTTCATTACGCCTTGCCCTGTGCGACTCCGCGGACGGATGATCGCGTAAAGACAGAATACAAATGCGGTTGCCGAGTAGCACAAGGGTCCAAATAGAAGCCTTGAACCTTGGAATGCGAGTCTTGCAAGTCCAGCTCATAGAAGATGTTCTCCTCAAACCCGGTGCGTGACCAGACTGCAGTTGGATACCTCATGAGCGCAATGCACTGGCCCGGAACAAAGCGATCTGCCACCACAATCTGACTGCCAAACTTCGCGTGGTTGTCCATACGAGCGCACGAAATAAGGTGAGTCCTATTCTCCTCCGTCCGCTCCACTGCCGCGCACGTTGCAGCCTCTATCCTGTCCCAATCCGCCGGATGCGCAATCACTTCGGCCCCATGCAAAGTCAGTAGTCGTGCCATCTCAGGAAGCCAGACCTCGTTTCCGATCATCAATCCAATATTCCCTACCGCAGTCTCAATGACGGAAAGCACATTGCCCGGTGTCGCCCATTTTCTTTCGGCTTGGCTCAGATGGAGCTTCCGATATTTGCCTGCAACCGAGCCTTCATTGTCTACCAGAAACGCTGTAGAGTAATAAGAATCGCCCTCTTGTTCCACTAAGCTCGCAACTATCCAAATGGTGCCAGCGTCTTTTGCAGCATGCTGAATTTGAGTCAGCACTTCTGCCGAACGTTGGGCAGCCGCCGCGGGATCACGCGTAACCTCGTCGCGCTTGAAAATAAACAGCTCTGGGAATACTCCAAGTTGCACGCCTCTCGAGGCTGCATATTTGATTTGACCGATTGTCCGATTTATCGTCCAGACCGTGCTGTGATACCAACTAAGCTGCAAGGTGGCAACTTGCAACGGCCGCTTAGGAGCATCCTTGGGGACAGCTCCATACATCTTTGCCACGGGCAGCGAGTCGATGGGAGCGACCAAGTCGGCATACATATCTGGTCTCCTAAATTCCTCCAACGAGCCGATGCCGCCTCCAAGAATTTTGGGAAACGAAGTCTCAGGCGTGATATCTGCCCAGACCATCCCATAGTCCGTCTCTCCAGCACAAGCCAGAATCTCGCCCGTGGGACTAATTATCTGCGATCCTCCCGTCCATGGGTATTGATCCTCTGGTCCACCCACGCTGTTGCTCGCAATCATCCAAACGTGGTTCTCGATGGCCCGTAGAGGCTCGTGGCTCCGCATCTCATCAGGCCCACGAGAGTTTAGGCTGTTGCAGAGAATCTCAGCGCCCTTTAAAGCAGACAAGCGAGGAACTTCCGGTACGATCCCATCTGCGCAACTCAAGAGACCAAGTTTCCCAATTGGCGTGTCGATGACCTCAATCTCTTTCGAGCCTGGCACGAAAAGGGCATACTCATAGTCCCACTGTGCAAAATCAATTAGCGCTCAGTACAGCGAATATTGGCGCTTCACTTACCAAAACTGTCTTGTGATGCACGTAAAGTACCCTTCCCTCATTTCCGATGAGTACAACTGCTATGTTCACGTTAGGTGGTGTCGCAGTTTTCAAATCCACGCCAGCGACAATGTATATGTTTAGTTCTTTTGCGGTTTCACAAAGGCCTGTAATATATTCACCGTCAATGTCCTCGCATAGTCGATAGGCAGTATCGCGATCCTTGTAATCTATCCTCGTTCGATTTGCATTTTCGGGCAAGACAATTAGTTGTGCTCCTGCCGCCGCTGCCTCTCTAATGTATTTTCGGCTCAATTCAAGATTAGCTGATACATCTGTGTGGGAATAGAACTGTGCGGTTGCAACGCGTATCTTGCGATGGGTACCATTGAGCATCATGATGAACTGGTCTAGTTACAACGGTTTTCATATCAAGAAGACAACCACAGAGTCCTCGCGTATTAAGCACATTCCTTTTGCGTCAAGTACAGTTGCCCATCTGCACCAGGCCAAATTCATAGCTGCATCGCATGCGCATCGCGCTTCGCATGCATGTTCACTAAGCTGCGCGATCCGACAAATGGTCATGCACCGGCGGAACGCGATAGCCATCGGCTCCCGTCAGCCGATATCCCTGCATGTATGCGCGTGTTTCAATCTAGGAGACCGAACCTCCGACATTTGCTCATCAACGGATAACCTTTCCACCCTTGAACTTGAATTTCCCCGAAAGAAGGGTCTCCGCTGAGGAGAAAACACTCGATGTACACTGCAAGATTTGGCTGGCAGCCTGATTGTCGTGAAAGGATGTGCCGGAATCGCAGGCATCCCAGATCAGTTTAAGGCGATCGGCCACAACAGACTTCACCACTGGGCAAGCCATATAGCTTAGCGAATTTACAGTTTCCTCAACATCTCTGGTTCCCAATCGGCATGCAGGAATATCAAAAATGGCTGCAGTGGACAACCTTCCGGCCTCGAACTCAACAGTGATCGTCCAAGCCCTGGATACAACGCTGTGCTTATTCGTCAAGTCGCTGAACTTCCTGGATCCGGTCATACCTGGCCATGAAGCATACAATTGTCCAACTATGGCCTTCCTAGTATCTAACCAGTCGAACGGAAGGAGAATTCTCTTCGATGCAGGTGGTAGAAAGGACTACTGGAATTACTCCCCACTTGTCGACCGTCGCTTCAAAAATGGTGTGAATGTGCTGGGCTTCAGGTGCGAAAAGGGGGTGGATGAGGTCCTCGAGGAAGGTGGAATATCTCTAGGGAGCTTGGAGGCCGTAGTTTGGTCACACTGGCATTTCGATCACATCGGGGACATGTCGAAATTCCCAAGAACCACAAGAATCGTCGTTGGCCAAGGTTTTAAGAGTGTCATGTTACCCGGTTATCCAACAAACCCGGAATCGCCATTGCTAGAGTCTGACTACGCCAACAAAGAACTTCTGGAGATAGACTTCGACGATTCTTTCAAGATTGGCGACTTTCGCGCTTTCGACTACTTCGGAGACGGGTCATTCTACTTGCTTGATGTACCTGGCCATGCAATCGGCCATATGTGTGGCCTCGCGAGGACGACTGAGGATACTTTCTTACTTATGGGAGCAGATACGTGTCACTTTGCCGGGGCTTTAAGACCAACGGCTGCAGTCCCGTTGCCTCCAAGTCTGGATCCGGGAGCTTGGGGTCTTGATGCCAGTTTTCCAGCACCTTGCCCGTGTTCTATTTTCACAGATTGCCACCCATGCTCTGATGTGGAAGAACGAACGAAGAGGCCATGGTATACAGCAAGCAAGGCATCAGGAAGCGCTTATGTAGACCCAAGAGTCGCGGATCAAAGCATCGCGTCGATGCAAGCTTTCGACGCAAATCCTAATGTGCTTGTGTGCCTAGCTCATGATCCCGGACTGTTCGAAATTTTGCCTCTGCTTAACAAGGATCCATCAAGCACTGTGAACAATTGGCGACAGCAGAACTACAAGGAGCAGGCTCGGTGGCGATTTTTGAACGAACTACCGAGAAACGGCAAGCCTGGTCGACCACCTTTGGTGCTGGGATGGTGGAAGGACGGAAGACAAGTCGAAAAAGATGACGCGTTCTCGGCACGTAGTGTGACATAAATGAATCGTTTCTTAGTAGATAAAGAAACATGCAGTCTCCAATTTCTAATTGAACAAATTATTCTTGTCCGATCGTATTCATACAAAGATAAAAGGAAAGAGCAAACTCGGAGTTCATATGATATGGTGTTGAGAAATTATTTCGTGGTCCAAGAATGCAACAAGCCATCCTTCCAAGACATGTACAGAACGTCCTACCATCTATCGTCCAAGTGCAGAAGTCGACGCTTCACCCAGTCCTGGTACCTTGAAAAAAATACTTTTCTGCTCTGTAAAGTGCTCGAGCGATTCCAGTAGTGATTCTCTACCAGTCCCACTTCCCTTCCAGCCACCAAATGGCAAATCCCAGCATCCAGTGGGCGAGGCGCAATTGACGCCGACCATGCCGGATTCAAGTTTCTTGCTCACTCGAAGTGCGCGCTGAAGGTCTTTTGTGAACAGGGCCGCGTAGAGCCCGAATTCTGAATCGTTGGCCTTCGCGATCACCTCCTCTTCCGTATCGAAAGCATTGATCACAACGACCGGCCCAAATATTTCATCCTTCATAATTTTGCTGTCCTCCGGTTGATTAGTGAAGACGACCGGGTGCACCATGTTGAGCCCCTCGGCTTTTCCTTCCAGGACTACTTCGCCGGTTTGCTTTCCAATGTCAACGTACTTCAGCACAGTTTCGTACTGTGCCTTGTCCGCTTGTGGTCCATGGTTTGTGCCAGAACGGGTTGGGTCCCCGAGCTTGCGCGAATTCGCTATCTTCTTAAAGGCTTCTGTGAACTTGTCCTTGATCGACTTTTGCACGTATATTCGCGAGTTTGCCATGCAGGTCTGACCCGAGTTGTACATGATACTGAACTCGGTCGCCTTCACCGCCTAACACAAGGTTAATACATTGCATATTGCGTGCTCCAGAAGGTTTGCCTACTTCATCGATATCAGCATCTTCAAATATTATTGCAGGGCCCTTGCCACCAAGCTCAAAGACGACCTTCTTAAGATTTGAGTCTGCAGAAGCCTTTTGTATTGCGCGGCCAGTTCTCGTCGATCCAGTGAAGCTAATGCATCGTATCTTCATGTGCGTCCCCATTGCCTGGCCTGATATTTGGCCGTGGCCGTGGATGACATTTATAACGCCAGGAGGAAACCCGCACTCCTCGATCCATTGAGCAAGTTTCCACGACGTTAACGGCGCCTTCTCCGACGACTTGAGGACGACACAGTTGCCGGCTGCCACAGCAGGAGCAACCTTTTTGGAAAAGAATACAAGCGGCGCATTCCAGGGAATGATCACTCCCACGACGCCAAATGGTTGGCGCAGCGAAATGTTCAGAAAGCCTGGCGTGTTGAGCGAAGTGTGGCCAGTCGCGTACGCTGCTTGAGCAAAATATTCGAAGTGCACGTTGGCATAGTCAGCGTCGAAGTATCCGTCCACCGGTCGACCCATCGACACGGCATCGAGCTCGGCGAGCTCTCTCTTTGCCGCGAGGACTTTCTCCGCCATCCTTTTGAGAGGCTTGCCCCTCATCTGTGGCGACAATGCGCTCCAGGCTGGGAAAGCAGCTTCAGCTGCTGCCACAGCGGTGTCGACATCCTCAACCGAAGCCTCCGCGACTTTGGCGACTAGTTCGTTCGTGAACGGAGATCGCAGCTCAAATGTTTCGGCTGTCGACGCGGGCGTGAATTTGTTGTTGATGAACAATTGCGCCTCGTACGGAACACCCATTTTTTTCACGAATAAAGGGCAAAGTGTGCAGCGATCGCGATACTGTTCATAGCTTAGCGCACGACACACTGTTTATATCAGAATCACTTCTCGTCTCTTTAAACAAGAACGTATGCATCGCCGGACTCTCTTGCAACGAGATTGGGTCATGAAGATAGCTCCCCTCATCGGATGTTTGCCGACGGCAAATTGCGGGCGTAACACCGAAGGAACACCACAGATAACCCAGAAGCTGGTTCAAGCTATCATATCTCGAATCGATATCGATTCCACCTAGACCGAAGTGCACGAATAAGAGACGCCCCAATTTGGCACGATAGCACGTGCTTCGTCTAGATTGATTTCTAAGCTTGCCAGGAAAATGAGCATTCCGAGCTTCTGGGCCATGATCGCTCTGACAAGCGTAGTCATGTGGAGAAGCCTTATCAAAATCTCTATCATTCTATGAAAAGACCGTCGTGGCTCCACGCAAGATCCACAGACTTCATTTTTGATGGCTATCACACACATTGATACATTGCCACCTTTCAGTCGAGAGAACAGCCCCGGGAACAAGAATCAAAACCGTCCCTTGCTCACTCGCAAATATGTAGAGGGACAGCACTCTGGGAAACACGTGGTGATGTCTGTTCTTGAGGCAGAAGGAGTCCTCCTTCATTCATGCGAACATGTCCAATTATGCTCAAAATTCAAATTTCGATCGTACTTACAAATATTCATCATCCTGGAAGGAAATGAGATCTCAGTCGATGCTCATAAAGATTCGGAGGATGCAATAACTCAGCAAATGTTTGGCATCATACCAGGCTTTGAGACTCTATATGATCCCGTGTGCTTTCTAAAGAATGTGAGATCTACATCATTAATCGATTATTCGAGACAGATTGACGTGCATCAAAATCTCCATAATCTCAATATTTCAGTCCCAACAAATGCCCCTGTCCAACGTAAGAAAAAAAAAAAGAAAAAAAAAGGGGGAAAAAAATTGTGGATACTCTTTCGACAGTAAACCTACACCTTTGCCTCGGTAAACTCAGCTGTTTTGCCATATTCCTGTGTTTTATCGCTCGCCGAATCAACTATCTCCACGATGTGACCATCGATATCGAAGTCAACCTGCACACCTAGCCCCGGAGGTGGAAAGACCATGTTTATCAAATAGTACAGACCACCAGAAACTAGGTATCCGAAGAAGTATGAGATTTGGAAGAACCGAATCCATGTCTCGCTGACCGGGTTTCCGCCAGTAGCGTTGATAAAGCCAGGGAGAGCAGGAAACATTCCGAGGAAGTATGCCAAAAAAGCTCTCCAATTGATGCCATTCCAGAACCAATATATACCTAGAGCATGGCCATTAGTAAGAAATGGACGAGAACATGTAGAGATTCTGCTAAAGAGCTTACCGTGTGGTTGAAAGAGCTCAGGAATGTTCCACTTCTGCTTACGTACAAGCCAGAAGTCGACGACAAGAATAGAAGCTGCGGGGCTCAAGAAGACTCCAAAAGAGCTAAGTACAGTAACCAGAGTTGTTGCCTGGCTTACAAATCGCCAAGGCTGAGCGAGGATGCCAACGACTGAGAACAAGATAGAACCACGGCGCTGTGACAGATATTTGGGCAACAAAATTGCCATGTCCATGCCAGAACAGACACAATTCATAGTGTAGTTCACAAAGACTGTGACAGATAACAGCCCAACACCGGCGAAGAAAGTAGCCGCGCGGCACTTCGCCGTATATGTATCTGCCTGCACTTGCTGCAAAGAAATCAGAGGATTCCACTGCACTTCAGCATTATCGTAGTACGACGTTAATGCAGAAGCAGTGATGACTCCCATAAGGGTCGTTAGAATTACTGTGATAGCGAGAATTGGAATCGCCGGAGTAGAGCTATGTCGACGTTTGCTATATCGGCTCCAATCAGCGAGACGCTCAGATCCCCCCGTATAGGTTCCTGCGACAGAAGTAATGGCTTGTACGATACGAAAACCTTGTTCGGTTTTTGAGAGCGTGAATGCAGGTTTAACTAGATTTCCCGGGCTTCCACCGTTCATCTAACGGCGAAGTTAGTTTGTCTCAAGTCCTTTTTTCTGGTAAGACGATGGACATACAGCTACCGCCCATCCTAGAATACCACACAGGGTAGCTGCAGAAATCACAACATTCGCCTCGAGAAACTTAACAATTCTATGGGCAGGAATAAAGTAGATGATTGGCAAGTACAGGATAATGAAAAGAACGAATCCAATAAGCTCTTTGGTGGTAATGGCTGAGCTCAACGGAATAGTATTCTTCATCCTCAGAAATGTTGGAAATATCGCGTTTAGTATGATAACGAAGGCTTGGCCTCCAAAGTACATTTGGATGCCATAGAATACAAAGCTATCCTTTGTTAGATGCCGAACACAAGAGTCAGTCTACCTTCATACCATTGAAAAATGTTAAGTATGATGCAGAAATAAGAGCCCCAAAGCCCCCAGGCTACAGGAAGGAATTAGCGACTTTAGATGATAATCAGGACTCTGATAAGCTCACCTGCGCGGGCATACGCGCCGTATCCGAGCGCGAATTTAGCACCTGGGACTCCGCTAAGGTAGGCGCTGCCGCAAGCAAGAAACATGCCAATACAGGTGGCGAGCATAGCTTGCCACGCCGTCAAGCCAATACCAATGAATGAGGAGCCCATCGTGAAAGAGCTAAGACAAATGCCACACGTACCTGTCTGCGTAAGCATCAAAATGTGCTATGATCTCAGACAAACATACCCCAGTAAGCCATGTAGGCATATACGCCATAAGTTCGTTTGTCATGAGGAATCGGGTATGTGTCTCTGTTCCCCCATCGAGTAGTCTCGATTTTCTCATATTCATCGTCCGTAGGTTTCACCTCAAGGGCTTTGGATATTTTATGGAGCTTTTGTCGAAACGACATCTTGCAAGAAATTTAGACAGCGAAGACTGAGGTTTACCACCAAAATTCCAGGTTGTCGACCTGAGACTTCCAGGGATTATAAGCACCTCTTATCTCGGCAGCCTGGAATTGGAGTTGATGGCATTTGTCGAGATGCTTGTCATTAGGAACAACTGGAGTAAGCCAAGTCGCTTGCGTCAGTAAGTTCTGGCCCAAGGCCACAGCCAGCGAAGATAAGATCTCTCAAAACCAGGACAGCTTCCATTCATGCATGAGGATGGCTAGTCAGGCCCTAGCCAGCCTTTCGCCGTTCTTGGACAAGGGTTACAACAAACATCCGTCGGATATAACAGCCGATCGGGCGCAGCTTGGCGGAGATAGTCGTCAACAAACTAAGCGCATCCCAGCCATTATTATTAACGTGCAGCAGAGAAATACCTGTAGGTTGAGAAAAGCCCGATATCCCAGTCTAAGAAATAATGGTTAAGCTTGATTAACGTTCTCGCAACTAGTTCAGCTACCATGCAAGCCTAGACTGGGATATTGGTCAGTATGCTTCCGATGATAGACATTGTGTTCGAGAATGGTCTCTTTTTAATTCAGAGTTCATCAGGTCTCGTTGGTCTGGAACGATCGAAAAAATTAGATGGAATCGTGGCGGCCGAATCAAGTCATATATGCTGCACACTAGAGAAATTATTGGAGAGGCATGAAATCGTTCGCTCGCATTTTGAACATGGATTCTGAATATGATTTTATCGTCATTGGGGGTACGACAATATCTTCTGTGGGAAATTGCCATTGACGCTAACAGTTGGTAGCTGGAGCATCAGGATGTGCAGTTGCAGCCCAGCTAGCTCAAACTGCAAGCCGACCAAAGGTCGTTCTTTTGGAGGCAGGCTCGCCAAATGGAAATGAGACGTACCTTGAAGCTTCAGAGCGTTTCAACGTCGCATTCGACCCAAATTCATTTCCTAATTGGGGTTACAAAACGGTTCCACAACATCAGTTGAACGGACAAGAGGTTGACTATTCGCGTGGTCGGGGTTTAGGCGGAACAACTAGTATCAACTTCTGTGGCTGGCTAGTAGGGCCGAAAGACGATTACGAGGAATGGGCAAGACTAACAGGAGATGACGATTTTCGCTGGTTGAACGTAAAGAAGTGTTTGGATCGAATCCAGCACTTACATCCCGAAATTCCCGTTCCAGAGCTTAGAAAGTATTTGAAAGCAAGTCCGGATCATAGCACTTCAGGGAAAATCGATATCTCCTACGGTGGGCCATGGATTCCTGATATAGGAAACATCTTCGTCGCAGCGGAACAAATTGGCATGAGAGTGAACGCGGATATCAATGACGGTGATCCTATTGGTCTTGGCATGGGCACTGTCAATTGCTGGAAAGGCAAAAGGATACACGCAGCGGCAGCATATCTACCTGGATGTGGTCCTAATTTGACTGTCGTGACCAATGCACTAGTTTCCAAGATTATGGTTGAGAACAAGCGCGCGGTCGCTGTAGAAGCTGCGGACGGTAGGGTGTTCTTTGCGCGTAAAGAAATCATTCTCTCAGGAGGGGCTCTAAACAGCCCTCAGCTTCTCCTGCTATCAGGTATCGGCCCCAAGGAAGAAATTGAAAAGCATAGCATTAGAACCGTCCACGATCTTCCTATGGTCGGCAAGAACCTGCGGGATCACTGCTACTCCGCTGTTGGTATTGTTGTAAAGCATGGGCCAGACTTTGTAGAAACGGATGTTGCTCCACTCTGCCCTAGCCCGATGGCTTTTCTAAAGAGCGCAGCGGCGATGAGTTCAAAGGAGTTCGCCAGTTTGCCATGCGACATCCAACGACACCTTTCACAGCCAACGATACCAAACTTTGAAATCGCTACCGTAAGTGCTTCTCGGTGTTATGTCAACGCGAGAGACTGATTTTGACGAGCGTCATCAGCATACACCACCATCAATGCTTGACTACGAGCCTTCACCAGATGTATCCTTTGTCGGAGCCATATGCATTCTTGACAATGCACAAAGTCACGGTACATTGACGTTGAAATCTGCCGATCCCAACGAAGCTCCTATCATAGATCCAAAGTTTGCCACCCACCCTTTCGACCGGAAAGTCCTCATAGACGGTATTCGGCAGACAATTCGGCTTCTTCAGGCGCCTATATATGCAAAGAACACTATCGAAGTGCTTGGACCGGATCCAAACGCGGATGATGAAGAAATCTGGGAGCACATTCGCACGCATTTCGGAAGCTCGTGGCACATGTCTTGCACTGTCAAGATGGGACGAACGCCCGACGAGGCATGCGTTGACTCCAATTTCAAAGTTTTCGGACTAGAAGGTCTGCGAGTGGCGGACATGAGCGTCTGTCCGTTTGTGCCGAAGTAAGTGATAAGAAATGCGACGCCATGGGTTCCGAGCGCTAACAAAAGACAAAGCAACCATGTCCAGTCGACGGCATATGTCTTGGGTGAGATCCTGGCGGAAAAACTGGCAAAGGAATATGGCCTAGTTAGCTCGACCGTTGACGCGAGACTGTGATCGGCTGAGCGCTGATGAATATGAAATGCCCTACACGAGATTGTGCCTGACTGCAACGCGTTGTATTGTGGACTCCAGAGAACGGCCTTGAGGTGAAGAGGAAATTCAACGAAGACGCCGGGCTCAGTGGCGGGCTGAGTCGCAGTAAGCAAGGCGACAAAGGTCGAGGCCTGTGTCGGCTCGGTAACGGTTATTGGGAAAGAATTTGATGTTCAGAGCGAAGAATGTCGACCTCAGGCATGGCACTCCAGGATAGATAGGTCGTTGGTCGATCAGATCTGGCGCAGTTTCACCAGAAGCAAGTAGGACGTAATGAAGAGCGGACAATTGTAGTATGAGATGCAGGTTCCTCAAGAGTAGAACCGCAGTACTCGTTATGTTGTGCTGTCGATACGAACGGGCCAGCTCGTGCTTTGTCCAAGCACAAGAACAGCGACAGAACGCCTGAGGCTGCTTGCAAAAGTGGGGCAGGAGCGCCGGACGCGGGCGTCAGAGTGGCGCCTTCCCGTCCTGGAGCCTTCCTGGCCAGGCTGACCCCTCCATGCTCACCACCACCACCGCCACCGCTCCACGTCGCCTTGGATCTCCCCGCTTCGTGCCAGCTTCGATGTTGCCTGGCGCCTTCTCAAGCAGCATCCCTCAGCAGCGTTTCTCTCGCGACAAAGACATAGCTCTCTGTTGACTTGATTACCTTTCGTTCCTGCTTGACGCCTCGCTCTCTGCGCCAGCAAAGCTCTCGCCGGCAGATCGTGCCTACTGCGGGTCTGTGGAACACGTACGTGCCTAGCTGAGCTGAGCTGTGGACGTGGACTTCCTCTCGCCCCTCTTCTGATTCCGTTCGAGTCTGTTGGCACTTTGACCAGGTTTGCAACCATCGCTGCTCATCTGTTCCTCTCTTGCAACCCCACTCCATCTGCATACCTATCTCCTTGTTGCACGAGCCAAACACGGCTGATGCTGACTCGCCATGCAAGAACACAGAAGTAGCGCGTGGAGCTTCGCTAGCCCCTGTGGACAGGACCGCGACACTGCTCTCAGCTTCTCCTCCGTACTACTTGACAAGTCGATAGCGGGCCTCGTGTCCTCTCATTCTCTCAGCATGCGGCCGTCTCGCGCACCCAGCGAGGCACCTTCTGCCCTCGAAGACTCCGTGTATGACTTCGTCTCCAACACCGATATGTCCGAGAGCAGCATGCTCTCAGACGAAGATGCTCACACTGAGTCCGTCGCCTCATTTGACGCGAACACACCGGACGATTTATCTGTCATCAACAGCGCCGAATACTCAGAGGAGGAGGAAGCTCTGAATACACCACTGGATAGCATTCTTCTCAACAGCACGTATTCACAGCAATTGACAGCCTCAGTGGAGGAACAGATGGTCGACGTTACCCCTACGATCGGTGACAGTGGTTATACTGCGCACACAGTCCGCCCGGAGCCGTCCTCTAGCTACCTAGATTTTTTCCAGAACGATCTCGAGCCCTGCAGTCCCCATCACCTCAACTTGGTTCATGTTGTGCAGTCAGCTGATCACCCTAATTGCAATGGCGAACTCGACATCTATGATGCCAAGTACGTTAGCGTGGAGATGCACATGACAGTGACAAAGGCTCCCATGCTTCCTCGAGACAGTTTCCGAGTCCTGATTTTGGGATATTACACGCATTCTAACAGCGATATTGCACAGCATATCAAAGCGGCGCTGCACTCGGAGATGCCCAAGGAGGATGTTGACAACAAAACCTCGCTCGTCATGCACCATTGCGTCTCGAGCCGCTTTGGTAAGGACAGGCGCCAGGTTGTTTTGACGATCGATCACCCCAAACATCTAGACGTTACCCTGTGCGGTGGTAAGGCTTTTTTAGGCAGAGATCCCTACAAGATCTGGGACCTTGCCATCTTTCTGCATACTTCTCTTGCCAACATCCCCACCTACGAGATACCAAAACTGGAGAGTACTTTTGAGATAGCCCGTCTTGGTATGAGAGCATCCAGGGTGCCGATTATGGATTTATCTATGTATCATCCACTCTATCGCGCAGTTCCCCATCTTTACACGTGCGAAAAGAAGAGCCTACACCTTCGGGTATCGACGAGAAGAACAGAAAAGTCCAAGGAAGTACTTTGCGAATTGCTCCCGGTCGACCTCGACAAATTTCTCGCAATCGAACCACATACTCTGGCTAGGCATATTGCTTGCATTACAGAGCGAGGTCCAACAAGAACACGAGCAGCGCCAACGGCAAAACGCAGAAATTCGCGCAACATCATCTTTAGTGCTGTTCACTCTAGCATCTACAGCAGCTATCAAGCTACAAGGAAGCTAAGCACAACGATCATTGGCCGTATAAGGCAATACCTACGATACTCTGAGAACGGACATATGATCGAACTTTTACTTGGTCTAATCATCATCCTCGTTGCCATAGCATTTTGTACTCAGATTCTGGGTTTCCCGTCAAAATCACCATCATCAGAATCAGTCTCAACACTTGGGCTAAAGGTCCCAAATTTACAGGACTTCAATTGGGTAGGCACATTTTCGCAGAAAGAACTCTTGGCTTTATCAAAAAAGCTATCTTCAGACAATATACCACCACCTCCAGCTAAAACTGCCGAAGCATTGGGGATGAAAAATGGTGATGACAAAGTTTCAAAAGCGACTCGTACGCAAGTGCAAAAACACGCTAGGCAAGAAAACGCACTCGAAATGGAGAAGAGGCTACTTCGAGCGGCGCAAGAGGAGTGGGCGGTGGACGTCGTCGACCCACAAACCATACTTCTCTATATTCCCCGTAAAATCTTCCCATATATGCACTCTTGTGTTCGTGTCAGCGTTCACAAAGACGGAGCAGGACTTCATGTAAGTCACAAGACAACGTCTAGCAAAGCGATAGCGGTCGTTATACACGAAATTCCGGCCCATGGCGATGTTTCCGTCCAAGTCCGCGGCCACTATGAGCTGCCGCAGATGGGCCGATTTCCTTTTTCCCATAGCTTCGATGTGTATCTGGGACATGGTAATGCTAGGACGTCATTTGAAGCCATGAAAGATTTGGTTGCACAGGAGTTCATCCTGGTCCAGAACAACGCCATGGAGCTCTCTACACGGATGACCACCGGGTTGCAACAGTACATAGACGAAATCCACCAACAGACACTGGCACTTCAAAGGCAGGCTATGGATCGGGTTCATGAGACCACAAAGTCTCTAATGAACTTCGTGCCGCGTAAGGATCGTATAATTGAACGAAATTCAAGGCATGAACACTTAAATCAACTACGAAAAATAAAGAAAGCACTTCGGAGGCAAGGAAAGCAACTTTCTGATCAATTCGAAGCAATGTTTCGCCCGCTTCAACAGATGGCTCGGCGACAATGTGAAGAATTTTCTGAGATATTTCGCTTGCTATCTTACTGGCAGCACAGTACAGCTTGGCCGGTACGAGCATCCGATTGGAAACCACATGTTGCTGCAAAGCGTGGGTGGAGTAACGCCAAAGGATTGCTTCACACGTTACGAAGGGGACCAAAGCTAACAGACGATCCAGCACGAGAGGAGCAGGTATTCAGTCGGTTAGCAAAGAATCGAGAAAGTAAGTAAGTTTTCCAGAATAGTAATTTTTGGCGTTTTGGGTTGGTTTTTTGTATACAACGAGTGCATTAAGGGAATGAGGCGCGGGACACACTGAATGGCCCCTGTCTGTTGGGATTTTAGACATGCTTCATATCTCTCTGTGGAGTTCTTTCAAACAAGAATATTTGCAATGTCGAAACATTCAAGAAAGTAAAGATACCATATAAATCTCAGCTGCAACATGTAACGGTTTACTTCGCCACATGATATTCGCTTTATGCTTCTTAAAAATAAGCTTGAAGTGTTTTGAAATTGTGAGGTATCGTTCCTCTTTGACCGATCCTAAACATTAGATGGCCATGCTTTAAAAGACGTCATAAATTTGTGTGGGTATTTTAGAGAAGCGTCATATGAGCCGCAGAAATTTTGCATTGAATCCTCAAAACATTCACACTCCACGATACTTCGTCCGTCATCCATCTTTGTCGGCCTTTTCGGTTCGCCTTGATCCGCGTTCCGCCGATATGCTCATAATATTCGGCACAGAGATCAAAATTTCCCTTGCGGCTATACACCGAGGACTGCCGACATCGTGCGATATCTATACCTTCTATTATGATATCTCCTGCTCACATATCGACTTTGCTGGACGTGAAGTCCCACAGCTGCTTGACCAGCGAGTCCGGCAAAGTGTACAAGTCCACATGAAACTCGCCATCTGTATCTAGCGATCAGCATCTGTCCTGTATCGTCAGTGGAAGCGAGGCTCTTACTCTCCACATCATTCTTCGTGTAGGTATCAGCAGTTTTGTTATCGTGGACAAGCTGGACCACGTGCAAAAGGTCGTCTTCACTGAGCTTCTGCAGCCCGTCTGCTAACTTCTCCATGTCTACGTTCTTCTCCTTACGGCTCTTCTTTTGAGCAGCAGCACTGCCGCCAGAGGAACCTTTCTTGACTCCATTCTCGACACTGACCCCGAGTTGTTCAAGCACTGCAAGTAACTCCGGTTTTGGATTTCGGAAGGTCTGGCAAGAAAAGTTTAGTCTAATTGACAACCTCACGCATGGAGTGACGAGTCGCTGGCTTACCAGAGTATGTGTTGCCTCGTAGCGCTCACTCTGGAAGTTCAAATCATGACTAATTGGATACTCTCTATCCGCAATCGGTCCACGGCCCACTAGTACACATCTCAATATCATATCGAACTCACCCCATCCACGCTCGTCGATTCTGAATGGGGGCTTCTTGAACGGTTGTTTTGGCTTGGGGAAAGTTGGATGGAGCTCGTAGGTGACTTTCTCAAAAACGGAGGCTGGAACGAGGTTGCCATTATCATCAAGCATGTGGATCTCGACCGACCATGCGCGCATAGGGAAGCCCTCCACTTCTTGGGGGACATCTGGACTGAAGCCACCATGTCAGCAACCGCTCATTTGTATTATATGCATTGGTTTGGGGGAAGCAGTGTATGCAACGTATAGATGGTGATTGCGTACAGGATGTGCTGCTCAGTAATGATCCTAAATTGCCTCTTGATCTGTTTCGGCGCCGTCATGTCAGCATGCTAGAGTCCAGAACATATGAGAGAACGGATTTGGATTTCGGAAAGTAGTCGTACTTCTGCAGGCATCTTGAGGGTTCTGTATCGCCTGTTTGGGGCGTTCCGTAAGCCTGATTAGGTGTGTTTGTTGCGGACTAGATCTTGCGATATCTTTGTGCTATCCTCTCCTCTGATCCGCAGATATGCGCCGCGCGCACATATACACAAACAGACACAGACAGAGGTACCCGTAGATGCAAAGTACAATATTTATTGAGATTTAAGTAAAGCAAAGATGGGCGCGCCTTAGAGGCATCAATTAAGCCCTCGATTTTGTCGGTCGCATTTGACGGTGGTGTCTCCTCATCGAGCAAGGATCTCCCAGCCATCCGCTAAATTGTGGGGCAACCACGCCTTCACACGTCGTCACTGAACTCACGAAATACAGCCGCTCACAAGTGATCGATCCGGTTACCGGCTTCGACGCAGCGCAGTCTGAGTGTAAGTGTACGCACAAAAATCTAGCGAATTTTCCTACGAACCTTTTGATGATACTGTGTAAGTTTCGGAAGCAAGCAGGAACAGAACAATCCCCACCAGCGTGTTAGTATTTCTCTATCTACAAAATATTCTATCTACGCTTCAGGCCTTGGCTCCAAAACAGATGAGAAATGCTGCCTCCATGCTTGAGCACCAATTTTTGTTTCCTTACGACGTGAAGTTCGTATAAATCAATAGGTGACGTTGTGCATTGTCGGTAGAGAAGCTTTTGAACGGGTAAAGGGGTATCGAAGCAGGAAGTGACGGTCTGGTGAATTGTATCGATCTGATGCTTGAAAATTGACTCGGGACTTGTTCTGGGCTTCCGTAACTACCGCATGACCGGGCAACGAGCCTGCTGATCTGCACTGTCCTAGCATGACTAGATCCTCTTACTCTGTCTTTGTTTCATCTTTTTTAAAGATGACCTCATTTTCTTGCTGTGCCTTGATGAAAGCCTCCTTGAACTGATTCGCGTCTGTGAAATTAAGCGTTAGCAAATATGATATTGCTTACGGAAAAAAAGATAGACCTACTATCACTGTTGGCAAAGCGGATCGCCAAAGTCTGAGCCTCTGGCTCGCCCTCGCTCACATCTGCCGCCGCATTCCACACCCATGAACGGTCGGAGCCCACGTTAGGGCTTAGTTTCATGTCCGGAACGACGTAATGATTCGCACAGACCTTGAGGGTTTTGTCACGACGCATAACCAGCCTCGTCTTGCCATTTTCTCGATGCTTAAGCAATCGAACATCTCCTGTACCTCTTTCCTTCCATTCTCGACTTTCTCGATCAAATTTGAACAGTTTAGCCCGCATCTTAAATGTACACTCTTCCATTTCCTCGTTGGTCTTGGTCTCAACCTTCTCTGTGAGGTGGACGACGGGTTCGAAATGGACGTCGGCCTCCTCTTCGGCCACCTTGTCATCCTGGGCCTAGTGTCAGTACTTTACACCGTCCAATATTCACTTATACACGTACGTCATCCTCCGCCTTTGCCTTTGAGCTACCAGAAGGCTCATCGACGTCGTCATCCTCCTTCTTAGTCTCCTTCTTCGGTCCGCCTCCAAACATGGAGAAGACGTTGTCTTCGACTACAGTGCCTGCAGCTGTCGCCTTCTCGGCGACCTTCTCAGTAGTGGATTTTTCCCCGGCATCCCTGCCACCAATTACCTTGTCCGTAGAAGTTTCATCCTTCTGTGGTGCTGCACCTGCCTTGACCTCGTCGGCGGGGTTAACTTTCGTGTCCGTGTCTGCCATGGCTAAGACTTAGGCTAGAATGGAATTTTCCAGGGTAGAAGCTGTGAAACGATATTATTAAGGGTTTATTGTAAGACAAATTGTGTGACCTTGCAACTGTTTACTTGAAACTCTTGTGTTGTGCGTGTTCTCTGTATGCGAGGGGTAGCAAGTGATGATTTTCATGATGGGTTGCAGATTCTGCCTCAGGCATAACCACGTGATGTTATCATCTTGGCTTGTCATTACGCTAACCAGGGTTGGCGAGGTTTCTAGACTGACAACCATATCAGGTGTAAGGAACGGAGAAGGCACAGACTTATAGGATATGTGCTATACTGGGGAAAATGGTTTATACTCTGAAGGGCATCATATAATAAAGGGGTTAGGGCCTTAGGTATTGTAAAGGTTTTAGGCTAACCGCCACTTCAGGGGGTAGGACACTCGATGTCAAGGCCTCCCTGAGGGTGAGAAATCAAGAGAGAGAAGCCTCCTATAAATAGGAACTGTAAAGAAGCTTAGGAGTAGGATAGAATAGTTAGGATAAGGGTATAAAAGAAGATAAAGTAATTAGGGAAAAATAAAGTAAAGATAAAGTAAAGCAGGGCAAAGCAGGGCAAAGTAAGATAAAGTTCTGTATAAGGCAAAGCAAAGCTGGTTCCTATTATCTTATTCTTATCTAAAGCTATATCTCCCTTTTATTTTCCTTACTCTCCTCTTCTTACATACCCTTACTATATTATATAATACCTAAGGCCCTCACTCCTATATTATATAATTGTCATGGGGTCACCCCTATGACACGTGATTGGCACCATCCTGTTGCCTGTCTGATTAAAGCAGCACCAATATCAGCTAATATAACCTAACATAACCCAATATTACCTAATATTAGCTAACTAGACTTCTAAACTAAACTGACTTCCTAATTTGATTTTACCGCGCGCGCGCCTAAATCCTAATTAGGAAAGGTATGATAAGGCCCCCTTTATATTCTCAGTAAGAACTACTTTTAGGCCTTCCCTTCTTTATATAATATCTTAATTATTATATAATACTTTAGTATAATATAACTAAATAAATAGTTAATAGCTTTATTAGTTTACCTTATATAATAGCTTAAGTAGATTACTTCTAGTGATTCTATAATACTATATTATATTAACTATCCTTACCAGCTATAATAATAGAATTAGAGGTAATTATCTATACTATATAGGAATAGATAATTATATAAATTTATACCCTATAAAAAGCTCTTATATAATAGAATCAGGCAGTACTTACTTTAAGTAAAGAGATAACCACCCTTAAATCAGCTCTTGGCTCCCCCCCTAAAATTATTTTCACTACTCCTAATATTAATAACTAATAATAAATAGATATACCTACTAAATCTATAAATAGCTCCAGGCTTACTCTATAAAAGGAACCCCTAGTTACTCAAATATAATTATTAGAGAGATTTCCAGATATTACTAAGTTTATAGGCAGATATAATCAGCTAATAGAATAGAAGGCTACTCTAATAAATAAACTCTTAAGTAATTCTAACTACTACCCCTGTCACGCAACCACCCTTTGCGCATGAGGATCGCTCAAAAAGACAGGCTATACTAGCTCAATTAGCTAGTATAGCTGGGTGGTATAATATATATACCCTTACAACCCCAGTAAATTAACTAAGCTAAGATATATATAATCTTATATTTTAGGGGAACTAGCAGTTATACTAGGCTATTTTAACTATAATTTTCTAACCCTATAATTACTGATTATCTAGCTTAACTAATAATATAGGGACTTAAATAAGTAAATTAATACTAAACTAAAGCTTTATAATCTCTATTAAGGGAGCCGCCTCTTTTAGAAATTTTTCACTGAATTCAGGACTTTAGTAAGTAAAGCAGGAGCTGCTGAAGGAGCTTAGTATATACTCCTAAAGGGTGCTATTAGCCCTAAATTATAGTACCTAATAATTACTTAACCTAAATTAAAGTATCTAATAGATTATATAAACCTGGTAGCTAGGATTAATAAGCAGCTATATTTTATTAATAATAATTCTTGCTCAGCCTTTAAATAACTAACTTAGCCCTATTAACACCTTAATATAATAGATATAGATATCTTAAGCTATACTCTAGTAGGCTTGGCCAAATAAGAGTACCGCTGTAAAAAAGGGCTATACTATAAATATAGTTCTGATAAATATATCTTACCTAGCTATAAAATACCTATCCTAAGCTACCCTAAAAGTCCTAAATACTCTAAAAATATTAATATTATCTCCTTATATACTTATTCCCCTACCTATTATAACAACCCCCGCTATGCCCATAACTCCTGATCCAGCTCTGTCTTATCCAGAGGGTCCGACTAATTAAAAGGATGGTCCCAGAATTAAGTCATATTTTAGAACTATACCTTATATCACTATTTATTAACCTTACTAAACTAAGCCTTTTAAATAACTGGAAATACTAAATCACTATCTTAGCTAGATTAAAGCAGGGCGCCACGCTAGCGACCACCTATAAAATAGTAGATTTAGATATTATAGGAAAGGGGTTTTGTTAGGAATACTTTCTCAATACCGACTAGCTTCACTAATGTAAGCCACTTCGGAAGGGTTTAGCTTCCTAGAGCAAAGGAATAATGTATAATAAGAGCTTATTATGGAAGGAATATAATAAGATATTTATATTTATAACTTAGAATAGTCTGAGCTTTAAGAGTATAAGGAAATATTTAAATTAACTACTAGATAAACTAGATAGTTAAATCACAGTTTTCCGAAGCGAGAGAATTCCTCCTTCTTTTATAGATATAGGAACCGGATGATTATTCTGATTATCTAGTGATTAGGATGATTATTCCTATATATCCTATTCGCTTATTCTTATTAAGCTAATAACACTTTCTGGTTAATATAAGTTAATTATCTTAATTATTTTATGATCAGACTAATCACTCTTCCTTATATAACTTATTACTTTATAATATTGTTCCCCTCTTTAATAAGCTTATCTTAAGCTTTAATACTTAAAAGGTTAATAAGGATTTACTTTCCTTTTCTTTAAAGATGGCTTCCTTTCCTTCCTCCTATCGTAAACACCTATTTTCAGAAATTAAAAACTTAGATAATCTAATAATTTAAGCTTATTTTAATTATCTTAGAAATAATATTGTGTATATTATTATATCTTCTTTAAAAGGAATAAGATATATAAGTTATACTTATAAAGAAATCTCCTATATAGGTCTATCCTGGGAATCTTTAGATAAAACCAGAGAAAAAACCGAATCTGTAATAAGTAAGGATTTAAAATAGTTAAAGAAAGTTAGTTTTAAAATAGCTGAACTGCAGTATTATTTATTATAAATATAAAGTTATTTATCTTATAATTAAGTACTTCTTAATTTTACTAAAAAAAGAGCTAAAGAAAAGGTAATCTGTCTTATAGAAGAGCTTAAATAAGAGGAAGAGGAAGAAAGAGTCTATAATAATAGTTTAACAGATAATAAGCTCTAAGAGCTAGGTAATAATCTAGTTTTCTTTCAGCAGCTTAATAAATTAATAGTCTAGATAGCTTTATATAAGATAGATTTACCTTATAAAAGTATTATAGCTTAAAAGAATAGTTAAGATTCTTATATGGTTCCTAAGTATTTTCTTTTGGTAGGTAATCTTTCCATTTTATAAGGTAAAAGTGTTGATATTTCCTGACTTAGTAATCTAAGATCCTTTTAACCTTATATTCTTATCTAGTAGGGTCTTCCAACTTAGTTTTTTTATTAAGAGGAGTCTCTGGATCCGCTTTTTCCAATAATAAAATATAAAAGATAGGATATATTTTTATATTTTTAGGTAATTATAATTTATAGTTTACCAGTTCTATAATCCTTTTAATTCTAAAGGGTCTGATTTTTAGAAAATTAAATTTATTACTTTAATACTTAGTACAAATATTTTACTACTAAAAATAAACTTTATCCCCCTCCCTAAGGTCTAGCCCTTTAGACCTTTTTTAATTTGCCTGGGAGATCATTTTTTAATTTAAGAATATTATATCAGATTATAGTTAAATATAAAGTAATTATAGATCCTCTATAAATAGTATTACTTCTATAGGTAGGTATACTAATATATTAACTATTAATCTTAGTTCCTTCCTAAAGTTCATATAATAAGATAATATTTTTATAATACTTTACTTAGTTATATTATATACTAGTACTACTTATAGTAAAAGCTATATCTAATTATCTTATTTATTATTAATATATATTTGCAGATATTATTCTAGTATTTAATTTACTCTTTTAATCTGGCCGTCACTCTGTGGATAATATGCTGTTAATATTCCCTAGGTTATCTATAGTACTTAATATAATTCCTTCTAGAAATAAGATATAAATATTTTATCTTAATTTAAGATAATTTTCTCTAGTATACTAAATCTCCCTACTTCTTTTAAAAAAATTTTTGCTAAGTAAGAAGCAGTAAATTACTAAGGAATTAGGATAAATATTATATATTTAGTTAACTAATTAATAGTAACTATAATATTTTTATATTCTATATTATTTTTATTCTTAAAGGGTAGTAAGGGTTTAATAAAATCTATTAATACTTCTTGCCAGGATTTCTCTAGTACTTGGTTTGGTTAAAGCAATCTATAAGGTTTATATTATTTATATTTAGCTTTTTTATATAAATAGCAGGTCCTAATCTAAGTAAAGACTTTTTATTATATCTTAAGAAAATAATAGTTTTATTATAGTCTTTCTAAGACTTCTTTTACTCTTATATGTCCTTGCAGAGGTGGTTTATAATATTTAAATATCTACTCTTTCTTAAGATTTGGAAGTAATATAATTTTCCTTTTATATATATAGACTTGCAACTTATTATTATAGTCCATATATTATTTAATAAAGTCCTTTTTTGATTATTTAGTTTGAATCCTCTGAATTTTAGGTATATTAATTTTAGTTAGAGATGCCACTTAATATATTATTGAGTCTCCTTCTTATTATAGAAGAGTATATTTAATCTTTATTCTTCTATTATAGTTAGTTCTTCTGCTTAATATGTCTGTGTTAATATTAAGTTTCCTACTCTAGTATTTAATCTTAAAGTTAAATAATAATAGTTTA